CGAGCCGTCTGGAAACGGGCTTATAACAATGTAACGAGCGAGACTTACGCACCGTTGAAATTCGTCCACAATGTGTGTGTGTGTGTGTGTGTGTGTGTTTGTGTGTCCGAGTAGGTTCGTTGATACAGATGTAGCAGGCATATATCTAAGTCATCATTGGCAGCCCTTTCTAGCTTGAGAAAGAGAGAGATAGCGAGATAGAGGAAACAATGATTACAACTCGCAGATATACGTGTGTATGCTCCTGAGAGGGTGTACAAGATGAATTATTAATCTCCTCTCCCTCTCTTACTCCCTCCCTCTCTTTATACCGGCACACATGCCGCAAAAAACATCCTCCCCAACGTCGACGTCGACCATCGTGCACCGGAGCTGCAAAAGTAGTAGCAGAGCGAGAGAGAGAGAGAGAGAGAGAGTAATGGCACTCGGAGTATAGAGAGCGAGGAGGAGGCGGTGACTGGGCGCTATATAGACGCGCGAGGCCAGTTTTTGCTACGCACAAAACTCGACGGCAGGAGGGTGACTTTTTGCTGGCTGCCTCTGCTGCCCGTTATACCAACATCGCTAGCAGCTATTCCACCGCCGCCGCTGCTGCTGCTGCCGTTGGCTCGGCTACGGGCAAATGCGTCTTATGGTGCATGGCCGCGCGTATAATATACAGGCGTATGGCGCGCTCGGAGGCAGGAGAGGATTTTCAGCTCCGCTGGCGGACGCACGCAAACTCGAGCCTCCTATATAGCGCGCGCGAGTCTACCTGCGTTCTGCTGCGATCCCTTTTAAATGACAACACGAGCGCCTATTAATATACGTAACTCTGCCTGCGCGTATTATTTCCGAACTGACGAATTACGACGAGGGCATTTTTTATAACGCCGCACCAGGGTGGCGAGCGCGCGAAAATTAATTGCGTTTCGGCGACAATCACAGCACTCGATGCCTGTATACCTATAGCTCATGCCTGCGGGCCCGAGATTATATACATACACTCTGAAGCTTCTGTGCATGTACGCATATAGGAGCGTTTTTTGTGCACGATGGAATTTTGCGCTCAAATCTTCTTTTTTTACTCTTCCGCGTGCGCGCCGAAATTCGCACAAATATAGCCAGCTCATCGTTCGCTATATACATGGCATATTACGAGTTTGCGGACTCTTTGGTCAAGTACACTCGCACACACACAAATAATACACGTAAACGTATACAGCGAGCGCGTAAAACTCATGGCTCGTCGTCGAAAAAGAAGACGTAAAAGGCAGCTCGAAACAGCCGCGGCGTCGAGCGAGCAGGCGTACCTACGCGGCGCAAACCGAGGCTATAAAAAAAAGCTCATTACCGACTGCTCAAGTTAACTCATTTATATGCCTGCGAGTGTTCACGTGTGCTCCGTAGTTCTGCGTTTTATTATAAACACTGCACTCGTATACCATTGCCAGGCATATCGGCGAAGGTTGAAGAGATTCTCGGTTGCACGAGGCTCGGAAACATGCCGGTACTGCAGTGCTCGCGCTGCTGCCTCCACGACCTATTACACGATAATTACACGAACGGCACTTATTATCGCCTCTCCAAAAGAGAGAGAAAATCCTTATGACTTTTTTTCTCTCTCTCTCTCGCTGGTCTTGCTTGAGCTTCGCGTATCGGATAATATAGTCATTGTTGTTCGTGTAATATAAGTGTTGGGTATAGAGCGCGCAAACTCGTTGTAGCGAGCGAAGATCGTTGCACGCGTGCTGTATGGATAATAATTTTTTTTTCCAACTCGTTAGCGATGCACAGTGATCCGTGCGTAAAGGCGATTGCACGTATTACACTCGGCCAGACGTGTACGGCTCACTTGACCGCCCGATTCTCTATATAGCATTATACGATTTGGTATATACACATACGCGCATCACCGAGTAAACTAGCGAGGCGCAATATGCGATTTCGAGATTTTATGGATTTCCGTTATTCCAAATAAATAAGAAATGAGGGGGGAAAAAGAAAAAGAAATTACTGCCTCTCTGGCAATTCGAGCCAAGTTATATATTTATACTTTAAAACATACTTCCACGAGGTTTAGTGGACGCGCTTCTCGGTATTTCGATTCGTATACAAAAGCGACCTCGTGTATCGCGTATAGGTATAGAAAGTTTTTGGATTTTTCTTAGCTTGGCATTTTTACGACTGCCGTTTGCGCGAGCTCAATGGGCGCTTTATCATTCATTAAAAGCGATAGAAAAAAAGAAGTCGCGAGTCAACCTTGTCCAACGTCTTACGTCATTACATAATAATTATGTACGCGTGACGAAATTCAAATTTTGCGTCTGTAAATGAGAAAAACGCGTCTCTGATCTCGATGGAATTTCGTCGATTATCTTAGCTCGCAGCAGCACAAAATAAATCTAAAAGTACGATTATGCTCGAAAAAAAAAGGAAAAAAATGAGACGTGATAGCAATGAACCTACACTTTCTCACCGTTTTTTTCTTCATATTTTTATCGATCGCGATAGGCATTAGTGCGCGTGCGATCAACATCTTGTACTTAAATTCTTGTCGAGATGAAATTTCAGAAAAACAATCATAGCTTTTTTGTGCAATCTGGCGTGCGGCTGTGTGAGTAACTTTGGTGCGATTCGTTTTATCGACGTCGATATCTCTCTTTCTCTCTCCTTCTCTCCTGCTTGCCTGTTTTCCAGCAGGAACAGCAGCTTTTCAGCGCAAAATAATGAATGTACATACCTCCCGATCTCGTGCGCGCACCGCATCCGCAAGTGGCGCAGCGTCGTTCTGCGCTTTTGATGTTGCAGATGCCGATTCGTCTCGAGTCCTGCACAAGCTATACTCGCACACACATTCAAGTTTCGTATTGCGGCGCGCGAGTACAGCGACTCATATCCTGTATACCCTATATAAAGAGCGCAGGTCCGAAGGAGCGCGCGCGAGTACCGGTCGTCTTTCGTCGCCGCCGGCTGTACTGGTCCGAGCCTCTGAGACGATACGTAGTTCGGCTTCAGTGAACGAAATTCTGGAAAATAAGAATCAAATATGCACGAGTGCCGTTACGGTCGAGAAGCGCCCCGAGCGCTTCCCGGCAAGCCTGCCGATCAGACATCGAGACGACCCTGATAACTCGTGACTGATAATCCTACACGTAGGTACGTCCTGGAAAATGCAAAATCGTTTACATTAAAATAAACAAGCACTACGAGCTGCGAGGTCAAGTTGAGACTCGATTCATACAGCGTAAATTGGATAAAAGTTATTTTGTAAGTACTGCAAAAGTACTGCATCTGTTGAGAAAAGAAAAAGAGTGTCCAAATTTTGATGAAAATATCAGAAAAAATGTTTCATATCAGTAATTTCAAACTATTAATAGATTAACCATTATTATTCAGTAAAGAGAATACATATTTGAATGCTTCCAAGCGTTTAATTGCAACGAAGAATGTCTGCATCGATCCCACACCGAATTCGCTTGGAAGCCAAAAAATAAAGGTCGATGCAGATAAAAAGAAGAAAAAAATTTTTTTCGACCTATGGTACATGCAGCCGTACAAACACATCGATGGCATTGATAAAGGTGGGAGAGACTATACAGACGATCGTCTCATTCGGCCCGAAAGTGTCCGACTTATACTGCGCGTATTATATATATCGCAGTGGCAGCGTGAGGAGAAAAAAACGGCCATCCATACAAGAACGCGCGCGACTATACACGTATAAGCCTTACTACATATATATACTCGTAAGTGCAGGTCGGCGCACTGTGCAGAATGAAAGTAGGGGACGAATACGAGCCGATGGACTCGAGCGGCAGTGGCGGGTAGAAGGGAGCATGTATTAAACCTGTCTCTGTGTGTGCGCGCCAATGTTGTGTACATACTACATACTTATAGGTATACACACACTGCGTAACGCGACACGACCATGGTGGCTGTAGCTGCAAACGCCGCCGTCTCGACCATATTCTGATTACGAATAGTACGATGATGACAATGACAACGGAGACTGCGTTGAGTTTCCTAATAACGCGAGGAAGAAATCATTTCTGAGTCTGAGAAATAGCATGACTCGTCCAACTCGGAACTTTTCATCCGGGCGCTGGTGTCACTCGATCATTTTTATCAGTTATCCGTGCTAACTCGACCAATGAATTTTAATTATCTCTCGAATTTTGAAAAATTATTCTGATCGCAAAATCGAAAAAATTCCTCACAACGTTTTTAAAAGAACTTCCAGTATGTTCTTCGTGCCATTTCAAGAAATTTTAACCCTTGGAGATTTTGTCCCCGAGTTGATTAATTTTAAGAAGAAGATTCATGATTGCATGAATAATTGTTCCCGTTTGCCAGATATTTTTAACAGACTTTGAACAAATAAATATGATAGTTTTGTACTTTTTACCATAGAATTCAATTTCGGGATTGAATTTAATTTTGATATTTCACGTCCATAAATCGAAAAAAACCATTTTGACACTTTAATTGTTTATGAAAAGTAATTGCATTGCGGAAATTGTCCTGATACCATCGTGAAGTGGATACAGCGATCCAAAAAAACGCAAAATAAGCCAAAGTTACCGTGGGAAGCTCAGACATTTGCTCCACCGCCAGCAGACCAGCGCCCGGATTAATTTTGCGAATATCTATGTCGCATGCATTGGCTATTATTCGAATGTTGCAACAGAGCTAACAATCGCGAGTCTGTCTAGAGGCGCACTACGAGACGGCTCTTTGCCGACTCCGAGTTGGAGCGCTGGCGGCGGCTGTAGGCCTGCGTGTGTGCGAATATTTGCACGAGTACACGGTATACACACCGGTACGGGAGCAGCGGCTTTTGCGCGTGTGTGCGACATTCGGCCATTTTGTGCGCTTTCGCAGGCGCGCGCGCGCCGAAAATACACACAAGCACGCACGTCGCACACATGCTCACGAACTTTGGGCTTAGAGAGAACAGCGTTGTATATCGGCGCTGGCATGCATCCACTCACACAGGACGCGTAACAGTATGTATACGCTCGCTTCGCGCGAGTATGTGTGCATCTATATAGATATACAGCTGTCAAGAACCTCGGCGCAGATCGGCGCGCATTAGCATTACATGTAGTACAGCTGGGCGAACTGCGAACTGACTCCTCGCGACTGGTGGAGTTATATGGTCGAGTAGCATGAGAGGCAGCGGCGACGGCGGCGGCGAGCAATGCGACAGCCAGCAGCAGCATCGTATAGCGTATACACACACACATAAAACAGTAGGCAACTCGGCGTCAACAGAACAGCGCAGAAGAGCTTCTCTATCAAACAGTCTACCGAACTGATATACGGTGTGTGTCTCTCTCTTTCTGTCTATATATGTGTGATAGTTTTATGTGTGCCGTTCGCGACTCCGATTTCTTCTTCTGCCACGGGCATGAGACCATGAGCGACTTGGTATACTCATTATATATTTTGTACGCTCGCTAGGCAGTGGTAGCAGCACTCCTCCTCTGCGACTCAGTGCACAATCACGAGAGATTATACAAGCTGATACCTGTACTCACAATTTTTGCATTTTTCACCTCGCGAGACGAGCCTCTGACAAATTGTGTGCCTTCCTCGTCTTCTGCTGATATCCCATAGGTATAAACATACTACCTCGCTGCGAGCGAGTCTACATATTTCGAGATCCGAAAGGAATTGAAAAGGAAAAAAAACCTCAGAATTCGCACGCTCGTGTGTCGTCGGACTGCTCGGTCGTAGCGGACGTTTCAGATAATATCTTATATACATACGTATATCGTGTTTAATTGTGTAAGCGCGAGTGTCTTTGTATGCCCACCTAATCTCCTTGCTAATCCACCGATAATATGCATATGAGCAAAAGTGAACAATGTGTCTAGAGTTTAGCGAGAGTGAGGTGAGGAGAAAAACAAGGTGCGCAATTTCTCTCGATGTGCAGGTACAAACGTGCATGGACCTTATACACAAAACACAAAATATACGTATTTATATACATTGCAGCAGTTACATATGTACAGTTTACACATTTTACGTATGTACACAATGTAGCGTTGTATACGATGTACACGATCGGAAAACGACGAACTGTATCGCGAAATGAAAAAAAAGCCAAGCATAAATATAGGCACGCATTTGAAAGGGGGTGCCCGCGATGACGAGAGTACTTAATATATACGCCTCGTATGCGTACAGCCGTATTGTAACCTACTCTTTCGCGCCAAATCGCCAAATTGCACCTGGCCGTGTCTTATTCGCATGGCGCTCAACCCTAATAATATTACCCTATTGCACAGCTGTGGCCGCGCGCCGCCACGCCGTGTACATACGCGCTCCGTATTGCGATATAGCTACATGTTATAACGTGTATATCAGAATTAGCAGCGTCGTCTCGTCCAACGTTTTCTCGATTTGCGCGTCGTGATAAATATCACGCAAAAAGTTATACGCGAATTGCGCCTTCTGCGCGCAACTCTGGCCATTTGTTATGACAGCCACTGTAGACTATTCTATTTCACGGTTTGTATTCGTCGATGCACATAAAATACATCTTTCGAGGTCATTTGCGCGCGTGTGCAGGTCAGTTGCATCGTGGAAATTTTTCCAACTTTTTGTTTTTAATCTCAATAGGGACCGTCTTTGACTCCGATCGCCGCGGTTGTTTAATTATCTTCATTCATATAAATGTGGAAATATAGCCACACGAATTCTTATTATGTTCGAAAAATGACATTTGTTGGGTGCGCTCTACGAGTTCGCGAACTTACTATTGAAATTGTTGTGTGTTTGTGCAAAATTTCATACGACTCATTATGTTGCGTTTTCGTACTCTGTACCTTCTATACACTTTACCTACGTTTTCTACACTGCTGTAGTATACCGTTGCTCGTGAGCTCGCTCCAGGGTTTTTTTATTACATTCTGTTGCTACTATCGTAAATATAATTGCCATGCATGAATGATCATCATGTTTGCAGTTGAGCTAACAATAAAATTTAATTTTTTTTTCATCGCTTTTCAGATATTCACGCCGTTCCATGTGCATTTTTTGCACAAACACGTCATGACTTGCAAGTGAGAAACGATACGGTTCATAAAAAAAGTTAGCTGCTATTTTGTTGTGTGCATTGACTTTGCAATAAGTGACACTTACTTATAATACTTACATGTGGAACACAGTGATAGATGATAGAGTTGTTAAAGTGAGTGAAAATACTGGTGTATCAGTATAAGTCTGTGAAACTTCAACAGTAAATCAATTTTATAAATATGGAAGTTTCTACAAATATAGTGAATGTTTATGGATAATATTAAACAATGTCTGGTGACTCGGGGTGGCATGCTGTTATCCATCATCCAGCAGAACTGGAGTTACCTAATTGGGACTGGGATGGAAATGATGGAGAAACTGATCGAGAGTTACCATCCACTGTGGATATGGGTGCTATCAAAGATAGTGGACCTTGGGATCCAGTTGCAAATGGTATGCAAAATCTAAATAATAAAAGAAACCAATATTATTTACTTTAAATAATCTATTATTAAAATTAAATGAGTATCAATAATTAAGTGATTTTGTCTTTTTTATTTTTGTAAACAAGGTACAACATCTGAAAATTCTGAAGATGATTCAGAGTCAGATGATGATAGTTCTGGTGGGAGCGATGGTAGCAATTCATGCTCAGATTCTAATTCAGATTCAGAAAATGATAGTAGCGATAGTGAGTCTAATTCTGATTACACTTCCGATCATAGCGAGCAAACATTTGCAGTTGAAGAAGGAAATGCTGATCAGGTAATGTATACCAGTAAATTGGCTAGTAATATAAATAGTGTAAAACTAACAAAATTTAATTTTTAAAACTTTATAGGGAGGATTAAAATTAAAAATAAGTATGAAAGTACCAAAAAAAGAAGATTTCGATAAATTGAGATCTGACAAAGTTAAGCGCCTAATGCCAAGAAAAAATAAAAGCCTTGCTGCTAAGGTTATTTAACACCAATGCATTTTAAATAGATTTTTTAAAGTAATTTATAAAATAAAGTAGGCCACTTTAATTTATAAAAGAAAATTTTTTTCAATTTTTAAAAAATTTTTTTAATTCAATTATATGAAATTAGTTTGAAATAAGAATTAACGATAATTTATTTATGATTTATTAAAAATATTTTTGAAACAAATTTTATATTCATCCATCTTTTACATTTGATTATTATTATTTTTTTTTAATTATTTTTTCTTTTTCATTGAAAACTCTAGCTTCAGTTGTAAATGTACTATGACAGTAATTTTTTATTGTTTTACTCACATTATTAATTTTTAATATATAGTATAAAAAATTATTTTAATTATTGTAGATAGTCACTCAAATGACATATTTACTTTCATTTCTTATCTGTATATTTAGCTAGGACATAGCTGTCGTATTTTGCAGATTTTTTTACTTGCTAATAATAACATTCTGTAATAAATTCTAAATTTTTAGTTTTCTTGGTAAAAAATATGTAGAATTGCTATGGATAAAAATTTAAGATTTCATTTTTTTTATAATAAACATTCGTTATATTGGTTTTACTACATTAACCAAAATATATTTGACCATAAAACTAACATTGATTTTATTTATTTCAGTCATCAGACTGCAGTAGCGATGATTCAGACTCTTCAATCATTGAAGCTCCAGTTTTACCAATACCTAATCAGCTGTTACGTCAGCAACAAAAACCACAACCACCAGCATCACATTTGGCTCGCTTACAACAACAAAACAACACACATTTGAATAGCACGGTAAATAAAATAGCAATGTTTCCTAATGCAGAAACTTTGAAGTCCAATGATTTGATTTTAAAAATTTGAAAATCATATATTTCAGAATCAAACTTTGCAATCGCCTTTAAAAATGTTGCCACAATCAATAAAATCACAAGAGCCTTATTCTTCAAATCAGCCTAGTGTAATTCAGAGTCCACAGCAACCGCAGCAACCATTGCAAGAGTTGAATCAAGAAGATTTAGCAGCACTCCTTCCAAATGAGCAGGATCACTCAGATGCTGTATTTGATGGTTTTGAAGATTCTGAAAGTGGACGCTTAGTTTCTAAAGCAATTGAGCGCATGTCGCTAAGTGCTGATTCAGATTCATCTGAAAATGTTAACGATCGAAATTCAATGCCAGTGTATAGTAGCTCACTACTTGAACAATTTGCTGAAAAAACTGCTTTGTTATCGGAGCAACAGTCTCCCCGTAAACGAGGACGAAGTAGTAAGCAAATTACAAAAAAACCTAGTGAGCCTGAGTATGTCAGTTCTTCAAATGTATCGCCTGATTCTGGAATACAGTCGGTTGACAATAGTCCTCTTCATCAGGTCAATCCAACTAGTCCTCCAGTAATGCCAGTGTCCAACTCCAGCAGTGCATCTAAAGTCGTTGTGAGTAAAACGGACAGTTCTCCTAGTACTAATCATAGTAATGTACAAGGTTCAACGTCATCTACAAGCGCAACAATAACAACGTCGCCTTCATCGATGACAAATAATTCTTCGTCTGGTAAAGTTATTCAAATGTCCCAAGCAGCAACAGTAGCTGCAGCTTTAGCTGCGAAAGCAAAACCCGTGGTTAATGTCGATCGAGTTATGGAACAACCGCCAAAACGTAAACCAGGCAGGCCAGCGAAACATCAACAATCAGGATCTCAATCTCGAGGTCCGGGTAGGCCTCCGAAAAAAGATAACGCTCGGAATCAAACTTCTGCTTCAGCGATAAATAAAGACAATCCGTGCCTCAAAAGAGCTAAAATCGTGGTTGCACCGTGCAGCAGTAAATCTCCAGTGTCATCTACCCTAGTCAAATCCACGACATCCGAGGGTGTGACGCTCGAAGAAAAAATTGATCGTCGAAAAAAAGCGAGAAAATCGCTCATGGATGCTGCGCCATCCACGACCAAACACAGTGCGAAAAATCAATCGGTTGATGTGTCCAATAAAGTGTGCCTGACAACGCGTAAAAAGTGCTCGAATAAATTAATACCGGATCCCTCAGTACCTACTGTCGGTAGTAAAAGAACGAAAGAGATTAGTTCTCTAGACAATGAACAACCAAATAATAGTAAGAGAATAAAATATGATAAAACTGTGACTGCGAAGAAAGAAGTCAAAAGAAAATCGAAATCAGCAGATCGAACGATCGAAAGCATAGGTAAGCTAATTTCAACAATAACAAAAAACAAAAAAAAATGAAACCATTTGGTTTTTTATCAATTATTCATTTATAAATTTCAAATTCAATCAATTACTGCAGGTCAACTCGATGGTAAAAAAAGCTCAAAAGAAAATCGCCACGATACAACATCAGTACCAACCTCCGCAAGACGTCCTGGTCGCAAACCACAGCAGTCTACGCAAACACAGACAACTTCGATGACTACAACGACATCGACGGCAACGTCGCGCCGAGTTCTCAAAGAAAATAAAGCCAATAAAAAAGTCAGTGGGTCTACTTTCAACAATAACGAGCCTATGGTAACGAGCGGTATCGGCGTTCAAACTATTATATCGCTACCCGTCATTAATCCAATGAAAAACCGAAGCAGCAAGGTTGGTACTGTTTTATTATTTGGGGTCAAACCATTAGGCGATTAAACGAATATAGTCTTGCTTCAATTCACCAAATGTATTGAACCTCGAAATAAATCACCGTGCTCTACCACTAATATCGACCATTATAATTACTCAATGTTCCGGAATAAAAGCTCTATTTGATACAAAGTTGGCAAAAATATATATTAAAACGGATTTCAATCAATAAATTTTAATAATTATACTAAAAAATGAGATACGGCATTTTGCATACCTATAAATTGTGAAATGTTTTTATAATTTTGTTATCAGTTTCTTTTGCGTGTTTTGATATGTTGATAAAATTAGAATGGCTCAAACCTCGTTACATATGCCACAAAGCTTAATCAAAGCTTTAGAAAATAGGAGGGTAAGTTCGTCGTTGTTACCGTGACGGAAATTGATTAGCGCGCCCGGCTAGCTTTCCCCATTACAGGGTGAGGAAGGAGTACGTGTGCATATGTGTGAGTGCGTCGGTGTAGATGAGAGCAAAGCTGTGCACTCTCACCATCTAGCAGTAATTCTCTATCTTACTCATGAAACATGCATGACCCCGAGTCAAATCGGCCTATGTATTTCTACAGCTGTGCTTCTCTGCTAATTGATGTGCGTTGATGGCCCCGCTGTTACTGTAGCTATTCTGTTTATGACCTTAGCAATACTACATTTTCGACTTTATTTGCGATCATTATCCAATAAAATGTTTTTGAGGGTGGTTTCGTTCGGTCTTTAGTTATTTCTTTTATTATTATTAGATGGGTTTATTGATGTGAGTAAAAGGATTTTCCGCTAGTTGATGTAGCGTTACTAAGAGTTTAATTAATTTTTATATACAATATGTCTTTGTAAATAAAAATGTAGAGCTAAATAGTATTTTATGAATTGTTTATTCAATTAATCATACCCAATGAACGAGAATTTTTATGAATAAAATACTTTATGATTGATGATATGAATATTCAATGAAGCTCTAGTCAATTTTTTTAAATATTCAAATATTTACCGAACAAATACAGTTATAAAAAAATCATTCATTCAAAGGTAAAAACTAGATTTATAAGAAATGATGTTGTAGCTGTCGGCGGGACACTACAGAACGAGGGTTGCATAGATTGAACGATACTTATTTCTCCATTCGATGCCTTCAAGTTTATCGTATTATATCAAATTCAGATTCTGTAATCATCGTTTATCTTACAGCGTCGACATAATGTAGTGCTTGAGAATGGCAAGAGTCACCATCGCCATCATCATAGGCATCGCAGACGATTTCACATGGCACCAAAAACACCAATTCAAGTAGACCCGGCCGTTGGTCAGGAACTCGAGCGGCTTATTGAGGAATTTACCAAGCTCTGCAGTCTCGGCCGTATCGGCACTGTAGGACCGCACAACAATAATAACGAGGAAGCCAATACAGCCTTGGCTGTAGGCGCCCAAATTGGTGAGTTACTACCGCAGATATTTCACACGAAGAAGAACACAAAAAAGAGGAAAAACGATAAGCTGAGTTTGCTCGATAATTCCAACACTGGTGATTACTTTTCCTATATCTTCTGTTAATTAAAACTAAAAACTTTTAATTTCTCATCTTCATTCTTAATCGCGATTTGTTTTTAATTTCAGGTAAAGTACAAAAACGCCGTTGTAAAAGTCAAAAGGCAAGCAGCAGCAGTAGCTGCAGCAGTGCTAGCAGCACGAGTGGTGCAAGCGTCGCTGGTACCGAATCGTCCAATCCAAACGAGCAAAGATTGCCGTTGAAAAAGCGTCATTATCACGTATTCAGCAATAACTCGCATAGTAATTCTCAGGAACGTCGCGGAGACGAGCCAGATCACGACTACGATGATGAAGAAGAGGTAGATGACGATGAGGTTGATGAGGATGATGCCGACGATGACGAGCAGGATGACGTAGAGAAGATGAAGGAACAACGAAAACAGCAGCCTTTGTCTCGAGGAAAGGATAAAAGTGTGGAAAAGAAAAAAGAAGATGAGAAAGCAACAGAAATTGATCAGAGAGAAGAGTGCACGGCTAATTCGTCGGCAATCGAGAAAAAGAAAAGGCAAAAAGAAAATTCAACCCATCCAACACAGAGCAATGGTATCACTAACTCGCCTGATTCTTCTACTGGCCCTACTGCCTTTTCTTCCTTTTCTGCGGCAACAGTTACTGCGGTGGCTACTGCAACTGTTATTTCAACTTTAACTAGTACTACTTCTGCGAATAAGACTGGTAAGGGTATATTTATTTTCCCTCTTACTTTTCTACGCGTATACTTTATATACAGTAGCTTCGATCAATTTATGTGCTCTATATATTATAGTCATAGTTATATGAAAACTCGTACAAGTTTTCTCCTTTATGTTTTCGAGTTGACTTATTTTTTAGTATTCGCCGTATTGTTCTTACAGCGTTTCATCGGATACACTGTGGGAATTTTATATTACGATAAATGAAATAAATAATGTTATTTTCAAATAAGAGCTAATATATGATTCATTTCATGATTCATTTTATGTTTTATTATTTTTTAGAAAATGAGAATGGTTCAACGAACAATGATAAACTGTCTCAAGTAAATGACCAGCAAACAAAACGCAAAAAAACAATAAATGAAGTCAAAGATCTACGAGTCACCGTAACAAAATTATCCGTGGAGAACAATCACATTGTTGATAAAATCGAAAAGATCGAAAAAATGTGTGCAGGTGACAAAACAGTTAAATCTTTTTCTTCGGATAAATCAACAAAAATTGATAAAAGCAGTAGCGGAAAAATTGCCAAGAATTATGCTGAAAAAAGTGAAAAGGCAGAAACTAGATCATCCGAGCATCATCTTCGTCCACTGAAAAACAAACAAAAAGAGGACAAGGAACCAACATCGAATAAATCAAATAAAAAGGATACTGAAGTTAATAATAAAGTAACTAACAAAAAAGATGCCGAAAATAACACTGTCAAAAATTCTAAGAAAGAGTTCGAAAACAATAAATCCACAAAAAAAGATATTGATAGCAGTCCAAAAAATATGAAAAAAGATAGTGAATCTGGCAAATCGAGCTTATTGAAAAAGGATCAGCTTTACAATAGTCCTAAACAAATAAAGAAAGATTCAGAATCATTGAAATCTTTAAAGAAGGACTCTGAATCTAAAAAACCAGATAATAATAAACATCTTCAAGACTTAATTAAAAACAGCGAAGTGGTTCTCACTAAAACGCCTACGGTTACGTGCGAATCACCCGCATTATCATTCACATCTGTTAGTACAAGTACAAGTGGTTCGTTGGCTACCATAATCAAGAAGAAAATACGTCGACGAAAAACTATTAATCGTACAGGTTTTCCGACTATCAAAAAGAAGAAAAAAAAGCTTATTTCGACGATAGAATCTCTTCGAGATGACATGAATACACCTAGTTCGGATATGAGTAGTATTCCCGAAGTGAAGGAAGTAAGAAGATGTAGTCCGAAAGTAACTGAATTAAAAACTGCTCGTATCGAACTTGAAAAGCAAGAAATTCCTCTAGCTAAAAACGATCTCAAAGAAACAAATTCAAAAAGAGGAGGTAGCACCAGCGTAGAAAGTGGAAAAAAAATGGATCTTGATACTGACGAACCGATGTCATGGGACAATGATAGTGTATGTTTGGAAGAGAGAATGCGTACTTGCTCAGCTTTGAGTAAAGATTCAGAGATCGAGTGTGATGGTACTAAACCATGTGATAAATTGTGTCCGGTAAAATACGAAAAAGTGCAAGATTCTAGAATGTACGACGAAAATGCAACACTAGAAGAATCACTTGAAAGGTAAGGCTAATCGCCAAGTAGCATAGCGATAACTTCTTGATAGCTAATTTTTCAACGAATTTTTTAGATACAATCAAAGTCAAAAGATAGCGGTTCTAAGTGAAGAAAATTTACGCAAACTTGAGTGTGCTAATTCACATGTGAGCGTGAAAATTGAGACGCATGCTTACCTAAACAATAACCATCGACGAATGCGTGGTTCGGCTAGTCCATGTCCGTTGACAGTTAGAAATCTCAAACGGTTAAAAAACGAATATGATACTGAGAGCGATGCTGTTCCTAGTAGTGATGTGGCGAGTGACGATCAAAACAAACCAGTATGATTATCATCGTATTTTCTGTACTATCAAATCTCAATGAATTATTTTTAATATTATTGAAAAACATTTTTTAGACAACTGGGAGACGACGGAAACAGCCGCGTTGGAAAAAAAATTACTTGCCCGCTGGTTTGTTTTCCAATTATTATAAAGAGGATGAGCTTCGTAAAGCATCGAATGCAGATTCAGGTACAAGTAAGAATAAATTGACTTATGATCCTGCGGAGCATCCACACGGTCTTCTTCCACCACCATATCATTGCGGAAAATTTTTGAGGCAACGCAAAATACCATTTCAATTACCTTACGATCTTTGGTGGTTACACACACATTCTAGACTTCCTGGACGCGATCTTGTACCATCATGGAATTATAGGTACTATACAAAAATTAGCTTACGAATTTCGTTCGTTAAACGTGGCAAGCTTATGCTAATACAATTTTTTTGTAGAAAAATTCGTTCAAATGTGTATTACGATGTGAAACCAGCAACTCTTTATGAAGCTCAAGCCTGTGAATGCAAACCTGAAACTGGTTGTGGCGATGACTGTATAAACCGCATGGTTTTCAGCGAGTGCTCACCTCAATTATGTCCATGCATCGAACACTGTAAAAATCAAAGAATACAAAAACACGATTGGGCTCCAGGTTTGAAAAAATTCATGACGGAATCTAAAGGTTGGGGTATTTGTACGCAACAACCCATCAAACGTTAGTATTTCGTTTCAATTTATGTTTTTTTTCTTTTCTTAAATCGAATTGCAATTTGCATTTTGCATTTTTATAAACATGTTTGTTTTCCTCTTTTAGCTGGTGAATTCATTCTTGAATATGTCGGTGAAGTCGTATCTGAACGTGAGTTCAAATCGCGTATGGCCACTCGTTATGCTAATGATACGCATCACTATTGTCTTCATTTGGACGGTGGCCTCGTGATCGATGGTCATCGAATGGGTGGGGAGGGAAGATTTGTCAATCACTCGTGTGAGCCTAATTGCGAAATGCAAAAGTGGAGTGTTCACGGTTTACCGCGCATGGCTCTCTTTGCTTCAAGACATATTCAAGCTGGTGAAGAACTTACTTATGATTATAACTTTGCTCTTTTTAATCCGTCCGAGGGTCAGGAATGCCGTTGCGGAAGCAACGTATGTCGCGGTGTTATCGGTGGTAAAAGCCAACGGGTGCCTAGGATTTCTGCAGCTATTAATTCGTCGACGACCGCTACAAGCAACAATTCAACAAATGAAAGGAGATCAGTTGGTAGACCTCGTAAAAATGCACGTAAAGGGTTAATTACACAAGCTTCACCTGTACGAAATAATGTCCCGGCCAATGATGCTAGCACTTCGACTCGTAGATTTAAGGGTATCATTCGACGTCGTAGATTCGGTCCCGATGGTGCCCCACTTTCTGGAATACCTCCTTTCAAATTATCGAATCAACAGCGATGTTTTATTCAAGAGCATCATTGTTTTTTGATACGAAATATCGAGCGAATGCGCAAACGCCAAATGTTATCTGCCCAACTTTCTATACAGGTAATATTAGCATTAAGTCTATTTTCTATATTTCTTTTAAAAATTATTAATGAATTTTATATCAATGATGGATTTAACTCATTTTAGAATAAGAGTGTTGCCAAAGCAGCTGGAACTAGTGGAAACAATTCTCAAGCATCAAAAGAGAGGACCACGTCCGATGGAAAAACCAATTCTGAAGTTATATTTACAAACTTAACTGCCCTTACTAATCCAAGCTCTCGAACAGTAAGAACCAGGAGACTTGCGCAGGCACAAGACGATCCTGAAGTTAATAAGACAGCAAAATTGGCTAAGGTACTCAAAGATCTGTACACAGTCTTGACGAGCGCTAAAGATGAAAATGATGAATTATTATGTTCACCATTTATCACATTACCTTCAAAGCGCAAAGTTCCGGAATATTATGAAAAAGTTCTTGAACCGATTGATTTGACGACTATTGATCAAAACATCGAAGCTGGTCACTACAAAACAGCTGAACAATTCGATCAAGATGTAATAAAATTATTTGAAAATAACGTACGATTCTTTGGAAGGACCTCTGATATTGGTATTGCTGCAGCGAGGTTGAGAAAAATCTACTTGAGTAGAAAAGTAGATTTCGTTTCGCCAATTACCGAAGCAACCGGGCTTCCACCTTCTCAAGCATTTCTACCTCCAAGAGGTTCGACTGCTGGCGAAGAGGACGTCATAAGATGTATTTGCGGTCTTCACAGAGACGAAGGTTTGATGATTCAATGTGAACGATGTCTTGTTTGGCAACATTGCGACTGTGTAAGGGCGGATGCCAGTGTCGAATCTTACATGTGTGAACGCTGTCAACCACGAGAGGTTGACTATGAAATTCCTCTCGAAAACGAAGAAGAAGAAGACGGCAAGAAGTACTATGTCACACTAATGAGAGATGACTTGCAACTTCGCACTGGAGATACAATTTACGTTCTACGAGATACACCAGATAAAAATACGTACAAAACTATAGAGAAATTCAACTATGAGGAGATGGATATTTTCAGAATAGAAAGACTTTGGAAAAACGAAAAGTATAGAAAACATTTATATTATTTAATATATCATTTTTGAATATTTAATTTTCACAAAAAAATTTTTTTTTTTAATTAAAGAGGTGAAAGGTTCGTATTTGGACACCACTATCTGCGTCCTCATGAGACATACCATGAGCCAACACGTAAATTTTACAAAAATGAATTGGTATGTGCTCCTTTATACGAAGCTGTCCCATGTGATTTGGTTGCTGGTCGATGCTGGGTTCTTGATCCTCACACGTTTTGCAAAGGTCGTCCAGTTGGAGCGCCACCAGAACATATTTATATATGTGAATACCGAGTCGACCGAGCAGCTAAGATGTTTACAAAAGTTGCTCGAGCTAGACATCAGATTTGCACAAAACCGTATGCGTTTGAGACTTTTGTTCAAAGACTGAAAATATACCGCGACTATTTTGTAATTAAATTTTGTTATTCAATTAAAACTTTAAAGAAACTTATGAATCATGAATTAATTTTTATGTTTTATGCAGCCTCATCACGTTGACAAAGTTCTAAAAAATACCAAGGAGAAAAAGAAAACCAGTCAAGATGTAGAACAAACCAAAAGTAAATCAGATTCTCGGGAATACACGAAATCATCTGATAAGGATCAACCTAAACAAAGAGGTAGAAGAAAGCTCCTTGAAAATTCATCTATAACAACACATATAAAGTTTGTGCAGGTAAAAATCATAAAAATGTTTATGAAACCTTTGATAGTAAAAAATAAAATTTTTATTCATGAAAAATGATTTTTTCAGAGAGAAACTAGAAAAAAGAAATTGAATACCATTTTACTTAACCTATTAGATAAAATGCCTAATAAAAATGATCCCTTGGATGTAACAAATCTTCTAGATCGTAATAGAAGAAATAGAAAAAGACCAGGAATATTAAACCCGTGATATTGGGTAAGTGACCAAAAGATAATTTTTTGAAAACAACAGGAAAGTATTAGGAAAAGTTTGTGACTTAATTTTTTTTACAGGTAATTTGAACGCGTGATTTGGAACTTTGATTGAAAAATAGATTTTCAGGGCTTTATATTTTTCCTGTGAATTGAAAATCTTCTGAAATTCATGACTTGAAATATTTCACTGAAAGTATTTTCATGCTAAAAACAGCATGATCGTTTAGATAATACAAAAAAGAAAGCGAACTCTTTTTGCCATTTTTGTTTCAATAATTCTAATTGTAATATAAAAGAAATATAGGCATAATGGCTAGATTTCGATTGCATCTTGAAAAAATGATTTTAATCATTTTTAACCGAACAAAATGATAAATTGTGAAATAATGTAAAAAGATAAACTTCCGTAGAATGCTAAGTAACTTGAACTAATATTTTAAAGGAACATCATTCCTCAGACTTTCAATTTATACTAAAAACGTTATTTCTGTTAAATCGGAATCAAGAAATACTGTACAGAACTAAATGTAAATTATTTGATTTGTATTAATTTTTATTTAGTTGATAATTGTTGCGACATTATAGTCGAATGTACAAATTTTAAAATAAGTGCTTATTGAAGTCACGCTAAAAAAACAGCGCAATTTTTAGTATTATATTTTTCATAAACTAGCATTTAGTCATTAAATCTTGTAGATCTTGAAAACTGAAAATATGTGTAATTAAACAAGCGGCTGTTCATCACTCTGTAGTATTTGCGTTGTTTTTTGTTTATCGAATTTTTTTCGGTAACTAGTTATCCGGTTGTATGATACTTAATTCAGAAAAACAACCAAGATGTTAGAGTTCTAATATTTAATTATAGCATTCAATTTTCAGTAAAAGTTTTTAAAACATTGTAGAAAGTATTTTCTAGTTCAGAGTATCTTTTTCTGGAGAGCTAATAATATTTTTCAGGGCTTGATAAGAAACACTTTAATATGATCGTTGAATTTTAAGTCTAAAATTGATAATAATTGTAAATTTTGAATGATTTTCTATATTTCTAATACTTTGTTAATTACTTGATTTTAACTGTTGATAAACTGTTTTTATAATGACCCTTGTTAGAGACAAAGTTTACATTTATCTCAAACGGGGTAAACTTATCCGATATCGAACTCTCGTACATTCATTAGTAAGTTTACAAGAAAAATTCATTCAAAATTTAATTTTTAAAATGGAAATAATAAAATAGTTATTATGTATAAGAATTTTTTTTTATTTTCACAAAGAAGACGTTAATAAAACGTATTCAATATTCTATGCACCATAAATGACACATTATTTTCAAAATCTGAACATTTTTGTGAATCGTTAGTTATAACTTTGATTATAAAAAAAATAATTTTCTGTATGTAAGCATACGATGTATCTGCTCTCTCGCCTGCTCATTTCTAGATTAAATTCGTAAAGATTGAGCTTGTAACATAAGATTAGAAAAACCAAAAATGATAAACAGCTAAAAAGATTAAATTATGAAAGTTATGCAGAATGATTTGAAAAATTGACTTCACAATCTAGGTGAAAAAATTTGGAATAGTATTTTTTATTAACTTTATAGTAAGTGTTGTTGAAAAAATGATATATTGAATTATTAATTGTCTACGTACAATTGTTAGCTGCAATTTATGTATAAGATTTGATATGATTTCTGAAATCATTGATTTTTATCACATAGTTGAAAATTTATTATAACATTTTAAATATTGTCTTGTTTCATAAAAGTCACAAAAAGAATTTTGTCATTTTTTGCATTAATATCAATCATTAATAATAACTTTGAAACATTTAAATATTGCACAATGAAATTTGAACACTATTAATCAAAAATAAATAAAATACTTTTTACCACTTTAAATTTTTATACAATGCTACACATGATGAAAAATTTTTTAATTATATATCTATATTGCATAATTTTAATTTTTTATTCAAGGTATTATGAATATGTATCATTGAAATAACGATTACATTGAATGCAAAAATATTATTTAAAAAATTAATTATTTGATAACACAATTGTTAGCAACTTCCAAGCGCAGTGGTAGTAAAGTATGCTATGTAATCTTAATTTAAATAAATTTTCTGTTTATTTCTTAAATGTGAACATAATTTATTTCTTTACTAATAATTGCAATTTATGAACACATTACGTGGATATTTATTCATCAATAAGATAAGCATCACGCGTAATTGAGGTATGTGCATTTATTAAGTAATGACAAAGTCTATTAGAAGAAATCTGTTTATTATTCTTATTATCATTATTATAAACAAGAACAAAGTTTTAAAGGTAACTGATACATTGAAAAATGATTTCGTATAAAGTGTACCTCATAAAGATACTTACATGCTAAACCTTATCTAATTATAAATTGAATTTTAGACATTCGCCAATTCTTCTCTGGAGCCAAAATTTTACTTCATTTTATTGCTAATATTTTGCAAGCATAAATGAGATAATATTCAGTAGTATAAATATTTTAAACGAACACTCATTCGTTTATTCATCAAGTCTCTCGAGTTTAAAACACACACATTGAACGGACGAAAAAAAACGACAGTTTTAGCTGTGTCGCGTGATTTAAAAAAGGCGTAACTACAGCACATTTTTGCGTTTTTAAGTTTGTAGAAATTTATTTTTACATATTTACAAAAAACTGCCTTTTTTTTTATACATTCAGTAGAGTCAAAACTCGTAAGTCAAATTGCAAAAAATGCAAAATAACTTATGAAATTATAATTAATTTGACAAATCCGTCTCATTGTACTTTTATGAAGTACTCATACCGTTAAATATATTAATGTGCATATAATTTTTTTTTTTAATATTATCATTCTTGCTTAGTGTAACATTTTCTTGACACAATGATAATTTTAATGTGTTTATAAGTTCAAGTATTTTATACTAACAAATAATGATACATTCATACAAATATGCTACATTAAACTGACTTAATTTTTAAATTTACCCAAGTGAGTACAATATACTCGAAGTAAAGCAAAAATAACTCAGGCTCACACATTACTTTTCACTGCAACAGACTTATAAAATACTATTCAAAATGCATTCAACACGTGCGCATAATTATAGTTATAATTTTTCTGATTAGAGTATAAATCGATCAAATTTTTGTAGTTTCTCTGAATATCAGTGAATGTTTTTTTTTCTGAAATCCTCGCCGTCATCACGTTGATCTTGATCAATAACAATTATTTTTTGAAAAATCATCTTAGTTATCTTTAAATGACGCGTAATTTACTTCTGAAACATAATCAAAATTGCACATCTTAGAGATAGTACAAAAACCAAGTAAATTTGAAAGTAGTTTTTTTAATTTTTATTGGACGTAAGGAGAAAAACAATTAAATTTAAAAAATCGTTTGCAGATGGTAATATTGAAAAATATTGCAATTTTTATTTTCAAGAATATGATCATTTAATTATAAAATGTACAAAGCTTATAAAATAAACAAATATTTCGAATGTAAACAAGGGCAAAAATTTACATATGGTTTATTATTTTTCCCCTACAGTATATTCAATACAAACATCATTTTTTAATAGTGAAAAATGACTATTAAATTTAAATTTAGTACTATTTAGTACTTAAAAATGTAGTATAAAATGTATTGAAATACATTGTTATCCGATAAAATGAGAAACTTGTTGACAAGCCAATGCATGCTTTATCTAAAAGTTAAAAATATCAATTTCGTGGTGTGGAAAGAGAATGAATGCACATAGAGTTCAAATATACATTTGAGAATTGTTATTTGTTGAAGTGCATTTACCCGTTATGTTTGAATTATTTGCAATATTACACACATCAAAGCTTTGAATTGAATACGCTTTTTCTTATAAAAAAGAAAAAATATTATATTTTAAATTTCTTAAATGCCCTATATATATTTGTATTTAAATTGTTCTACAAATAGTAAAAGAAAACTTCAACAACGAACTATCAATGATGAAAAACTACCATACCATCATGAATTCACAGTTTTACGATATCGATAATGTAACGATGGACAGTCAAGAGATTGACTCCGAAGAAAGGCAAGTTTTCGATAAAATTGTAACAAATCATAATCGAAAATGTAATCTCATCACAAATTAGTACAAAATACGAATGTATTGATGATTTTTAATGTACCTTGATGTGATTACTAGTCTTCTTCGAGAGAAGTTGTGAACTAATGTAGTTTTTTATTTTTTGACAGCAGGTTGTCCAGACTGCGTTTGTGAACCTGTGATTTGTCCAGATTGTTGCTGCGTCTGTCCACCCCAATACTGTTGTTGCTGTTGTTGATTATAATACTGACCCTGACCACTCTGACCACCACTCCAGCTACTCCAGTTTCCATTCCCATAACCACCTTGCTGACCATAGCTGTCTGAGGTGTAGTTATTTTGGGCTCCATATGCTTTCCAATTTGAAGCACCACCCCATGCTTGCTGTCCACCTCCTTGATTCCAACTAGCAGCGCCGGATGATTGGTATCCGCCTGGATATCCACCACTTTGACCGCTCCAATTGTTCTGATAGCTATAAAATGATAATTTTTACATGAAAGAACATTTAAAATAATTCATTAGGAAATTGCAAAGATTTGATGAAAAATATAAATTTTTATTTTTTATTGTATGCTTACCCTCCCCAACGTCGGTCATTGTTACGTCGATCGTTATTTCTTTGACCAGAGCCTCCTCGGCCTCCTCTCCATCCCCCTGGTGATCCATATCCACCACTGCCACCACCTCCTCCTCCATGCCTCATTGGTGGGCCACGCATACCACCACCACCACGCCAATGACCACCTCCGCCGCCACTACTGCCGCCACCACTTCGGGAAGAGCCTCCACGCCAGGACCCTGCTCCACTTCTTCTTTCATTGTCTTAAAGTAAAATTTTTCATTACTGTGTTATTATACTCTCATATTGTAATAAGTAAAATCTATGTTGTGTGATTAATCAAAACTTACAGTTACTAGGTCGACGATCTCTATTATCTCTGTTATCTCGGTTATTTCTATGATCTTTTTGTCCATTATTATCGTATCGAGATCGTTTGTGTTGGCTTGATTGGTTTTGTCCATATCCAGCAGATTTACCTTCTTGATTGTATGTTTCAATCAATCTTTTACCTTCTTCTTCGCTAACTGGATACCAAATAACTTCTTCGAAAGATTCACCGACGACAGGAGCATTGATAATAGCTTTAACTTCCAGCATGCTTGATTCTCTAATTTCTTCGTTATTAGTTTCTTCTTTACGTTTGGCCATACGGGTTTTGGTTTCATCATCATTCGATATCAACACTACAGCTTTACGATGGAAACCATAAAAGTTCCTCATTTTACGTTTTTGCGCTGAACCGTACACATTCGATTGTTGATCTAAAATATAATTTCGTCTGCGAGAAGGTGCAGATTCTAGAAGTTTGCCAAGAGCACGAGAACACTTTTCGACGACTGTTTCCCACTGTCCTTTGAATCTTGATTTGAAAGGTTGTCCTTCAACCTAAGAAAGAAATATAAATGTCAACTTGACTTTTTTCACAAAATGTAAAAATCTTTTTACATACCTTCATCTTGTCAAGAAGATTAGATATTCCTAAAACGGTATATAATTTATCAGGATATTCAGCCATGTGCTTTTCAGCCCAATCTGTTTTTCCAGAAAATGGTAAACCACATAACAAAATTACTTCGCATTCGTCTCTTTTTGTAGGTCTTCGAGGTCCTACTATTCTATCATTAACATCCACTTTTTGAAGAACTTGATATCCTTCCAGGATGTTATTGCTCCAGGGTTCTTCTTGCCCAAGATTCAAATTAACGGTACAATTTCTAATCAGTATGTGAGGGAACAGAGCCTTGCCCTCAAGTTCTTCTTTTTTTATGACAAAAGCTGGATCTTGAACTTCTCCATTAACAGTATACGTTAGAGTAATATTGTCATCAGTTTCGAAGTCAGCATAACATCCAATAATATCATTTTTGGCAAAAGATTTACCATACTCAGTAAACTCATTATTTGTGCATTTCTTTCCAGTACCTTCATAGCCAAAAGACAATTTTTCTTCACCTATAATTAATCATGTATAAGATGTTTGGTTCCAAAATGAGTAAATCATAATTATGATAACATGAAATTACCCAATTGTAGTGAAGTGCCCATGGTTGACCAGCCTAGCCTCATCAAACTCGGAATTTGCTCGCCATCATCAGGTAATGCTCCAGTAGTATCTCTTGGTCCACTAGCTATATTATTAAATTCAGATGCTACCTTTGCTTCATAGTAGATTTTACCCTTATTAAATCCATGTGAAAGACGGGCACCGGCCCACATAAAATTAAAACCATCACCCTGCATTGGAGAAGCTGATAGATAAGTCATTGGATTTAATACCAAATGCAGGTCGGAATCATCTGTAGAAAATTTTAAAAATAATTATAGTAGATATTTCTAACGGAAAAAGATATTTGAGATACTGGAGATTAGATTTACTTACACCACGAGAGTAGAAGTTCATCTTCTTTTAGTAAAGGTTCATTTTCAGGTCTCGCAATTGGAGGGGCTCGTGGAGTATCTTCTTGGGGACTTGGTGATCGTTTACGTTTTTTGTCATTTGACTTATCATCAGACTTAAATTAAAATCGTTTCAAAAATTAAATAATTGTTCATCCATGACATGGTCAATAGTACTTTGATTGAATTACCTGATCAGTTTCCATTGATTTGTCATCGTTTTCCTCTTGTTTTTCATTGGGTTCTTCTTCAATTTGCATGGCTTCTTCTTCTTCTGTCTTTTGCTTCTTTGATGGACTTTCAGAAGCAGCTTGTTTTTCAGAGCTCTGTTCAGCCACTTTAGAAGGACTTTGTAAATGTGCTTGCTCTGGAGTTAGCTCAGTAGATTTGCAAGGACTATTTGCATCAGTTTTTGTAGTATTGTGTGAATCTGGTTGAGCCAGATCTTGTACATTTGATTTGATGGGACTTTGAGGCACTGACTTCACAGGGCTTACAGGCACAGTTTTAGGAGAGCTCCGTGTCATTGGTTCTACTTTTTGAGGACTTGGAGAACCTATTTTAAGTGGACTTTCTGACACTTTGACAGCTTGAGTGGTAGATTTTACTGGACTTTGAGCATCAGATTTCAAGGGAGAACTAGTGGTTTGTTCAGATGCTGGAGTTACAGCCATTTCTTTCTGAACTTCTTCCGTTGAACGTTTTGTTATCAACTGTGATTCTTCTTCATTTTCATGTTTTTCTGCTTCTTTTACAATTTCAAGCTTAGCTTCAGGAGACTAAAAATATTTTATTCATCAAGTTATTATGTATTTTACCTTACAAAAAACATTATAAAGGAAAAATTAAAATACCTTAGCTTGTACTAATGTACTTTCTTTTTTAGGTGTCTCTTTTTGAGGTGAATTGGTCAAATCTTTTTCTTTTGCATCCTCGTCCATTGATGCTTTTTCTCTTTTAGGTGATGAAACATCACTTTCTGCAGTAGAACTTTCTTTTTTAGGAGACATTTTTTCCTCTTCGACAATAGGTTCTAATACTGGAGTTATTTCAACTTCAGCATGTAATTGCTTAGCAGGAGATTGCCTATTCAAAGAAGATCTTGAACTACTGCGTCTGGTTGGAGTTTTAGCAGGTGTTGTTGGTTCCCGAGAAGACTGCCTTGAAGCTCTGCTAGGAGTTCGAGGCGGTAATCGTCTTTGAGGTTCCTGTTGATCTTCTTCGCTTTCTTGATCTTGGTCAGATTTTGAGCTTTCTGATTCTGAAATAAGATACAAGTTTAAAATAAATTACAATTAATGTGCTTGATAATTGATTTTGTTTTTAAGATTTAAGTTATACTATGTTTTACATTACTTATTTATCATCTTTACAAACAAAAAAAAAGAAAAAAAGTACTGAAAAATTTATCAAGTTTACAAATAGATAGGTTAAAGCTAGCGGCTTGCATAAGTCTATCCTTGTTCAATCGCATATAAAAACGAAGGGCTGAAGCGCGCGAGTTTATCTCGGAAAGCGCCACCCGTGGGAGCTGACATTCTCCATCTTTGTCGCACTCGAGCAAATGCATATGTGTGCGTGAGGATGTGGATAAAATTGTGCACAAATTGTTATCAGGGGGCTTGAACGTGCATTGAAATACATAACACTCGATGGAAAAAAACAAACATGGAGGATTGTTATGATTTGCTGAGAATCAACGTGTACCTGGTTTATTAGAAACAGCATCGGTATTGGATGCACTACCGCCGCCACGTTCTTCATCGAGAGCTTGTTTCAATCTTTCAACGAGCACGGGTTTGTTGCCTTTCGTATCGAGTCCGCGTTTTTGCAACTCTGCACGCAACTCGACAACTTTAAGCTTCGCCGGGTCCATGATCGTCAAATTATAAAAAGAATTCACACGATCGCAGGCGAAAAATATAAGTCAATCAGTTGGATGTATTTGCTTGCGTCGTCGTCGTTGTATGTTTATGTATCGTCGATAGTATTACACACATACACTCTCTCTCTCTCTCTCTCTTTCTCTTCTTCCCACTCTCTGTCGCACGAGCGGCTCCGTCTTTCTCTCTCGCACTTTTAGAGAGATACTGAGTGTGCTAGGCTGCTGGGAAGTTTTCAGGCGTGCACTAAAAACACTGCTTCTGTGTATACCAGAGCGGCAGGGAAAACGCGGAACAAAAAATGTCGTTACACCAACACCCGACGTCGCCGAGTCGTGCGTGTACGTTTTATCTTTGTGGTAGTTTAGTACCGTACAGCGCTGCAGGTTCTCCGCGGCTCATGCTGAACTTAGCTCTCAGGAGTCAGGCTATCCTTTTTTAGCTTGCACAGCTAAATGCTTCTACGGCTGCACACGCACACTCGAGCAGCCCCTACATATACATACATACAGTGGCAAACAAACCAACGCGGCGCGCACATACGCTCGTGCTACGTACTTACACACACGTAATTCACGTACGTGCCTCGAATAGCCGCGTCTCTTTCTCGCTCGCTCGTGCAGGATGGTGCATTGTGTGCTCAGCTCACGCAGTAAATGGTAATGAGTTGATCCCTTCCTTTAGGAAAGCAAAATAATGGACTCCCTCCACTTGCAAGACGATAACGTTCGAGCAAGCGTCGAACAACGCTCTATTTTTCTTGCCTTCAGATCTTTTTCCGCGCGAAAACATGAACACGAGTAAGGTGGCCAGTGATTAATCGGCGATGTGCATCACAACATAAAAATATCAATTGTATTTCACACGCTTATGCACCATACAGAAGCAGTTTCTTTCAAACTGCAAAAATGCGCTTGTTCAACATTTTGAACGAAGCCATTGACACTGCCATTCCCGCGCTCGGAATTCGAAAAATCGTTAGACGCGCAACGCTGTTTAATGTAAAACCGCGACTAGGACCGACTTGCTCCTTCGCAAAGCTATTGTAAGCCAGTGCGAATTTTTTCCACCAGCCGAATCAAAAGAACACAAATGATCATCAAAGCACGTTTTAAAGTCACCTACAGCTGCTTCTGATTGTTATTAGTAGTATATATCGTTACTTAAATTCTATATCTTACTTCCCTTTTTTTTTGTAAACAGAATAATCACTAGTGTCTTCGTATAAGTTACATTGTGTAATTTATTCTTTTAATGATTATTGATATATAACTTACCAAAAATGGATGACGAAAAAAAAATATTGATCGATGCCATTAGAAGAGAACAGGCTTATTTAAAATCAGTGATAAAGGCAGCGGATCGTGAGGTTTTAGATCAAAAGTCAATCGATTTATCCGTGGAATCAAGAAAAATAGCTAATGAATATTACTGTAAGAAAAAACACAGTTCTGATGATCATCATACAATATTTGAGTTTTACTGCAAGTGCATTGCCTTTGCACCTAATCATTCGCAAGAACTCGCAATTGGTTATCAAAATCGATCGGCATTTCTATTTCACATCGAAAAGTACGAACATTGTCTGCAAGACATAAACAAGGCGATCAGTTTTGGTTTTTCAACACAGAAAATAGAAAAATTATTGCTAAGAAAAGCTGAATGTTTAAAAATACTTGGAGAAAATAAAGAAAAGAACTTAGATACAAAAAGTAAACATGATAAATATGAAAAAGATATTTTACATGCAGTCAAAATTGAGTGTAATGAAAAATATGGAAACCATTTGATTGCCAAAAAAGATTTTAATCCAGGAGATATTATATTTTCTGAGAAAATTTATGCTAAGTGTCTGAGTTTGCACAGGATTTATACACATTGTTGTGTTTGCTTATCAGTTTGTTGGTCTGGTGTTCCATGCAAAAATTGTTGCAATGCCATGTTTTGTTCTGATATATGTCAAGAAAAGTCTAAACTGTTCCATGATGAAGAATGTTTGCTGATAACATCATTATTAGATTTTAATGAAGAAATAGTAGATGAATATTCCCTTTCTATTCGATTATTGACTTTAGCAATTAAAGAAGCTGGAGGTTTAGCTGCACTAAAATCTGAATTTCAAGCCAATTTGAAATATGCAGGTAACACATTTATCATTATTGAAATTATTAAAAAATTCATAATATTACTTTCTTTTGAAGACAAGAACTGGAAATTTGATACAGTAGATAAACAATACTCTCCTGTGTTTCAAAATTTATTTAAAATGTGTGATAGTTACACTGTACAGGACACAAATGATCTGAAAATAATTATGACTATACTTGTTTACATTTTAAAAAAAACTCATTTGATCAACTTTTTTAAAATTAATTCTCCTGAAGATATATTAACCAACGAAGATATTCTATTGATTGGCTCTTTATACATAAAATTTGTCAAGATAAAAGCTGCTAATGCTTACGAAGTAATTTCACAACTATTAAGTATCAAATTATTTGTGATACATTTTAAAATAATATATATTTTTTTAGTATTCTGATCCTCTCATCAACCAACAAAGCTATTTTCCTGATAATTTTGTAACAGAAGGAGAAGAAACACCTCACAGCATGAGCAAAATGAGAGGGGTTTGCATAGCACAAATAGCTAGTTTAATTAATCACAACTGCTTTCCAAATGTGGGAAGATACTATACCGAAGACAACTATATTACCATTTATGCCTTGCTTCCTATACAAAAAAATGAGCAGGTAAATAATAATTAATTAGGGAATTTAATACATTTGGTATTATTAACATCTACATTCTTATTTATGCAGCTTTTTGTCAGTTATTGTTCAATTTACTACTCAGCATCCAAATTAGAAAGATCTGATTATCTCAAACCATATAATTTTGATTGCGATTGTACAGCTTGTCAAAAGAATTGGGCGCCTAATTCTATCTCAAGATATAATAAGTATTTGCAGGTATTATTGCAGTAGTTAAAACTTTACTTCATTGATTGAAATTCTATATTCAACACATACAAAGATTTGCTAATAATTTAGAATTAAATACAAAAAATATTTAGAATTAACTTGGAAAATTTTAATGAAAAAGTCCAAATATATTATTTTTTTTAGGCACTAAAAGATAAAAAGGTATCTTCATTGGAAATAGAAATTTATGAATGTGTATTTCCAATAATAGATAATTATCCAGGAATCGTCAGAGATAAAGAAATAAAGACGTTAGCTGAGTCTTTAAAAAAACTTATAGAAAATGTTTCTTTACCAAATCAACTAATAGAAATCATTTATTATTATTTGAAAAAGATGATAATTGCTACAAATAATTTCAAGGAACTAGAAATTTTAGGTTGTTGTTAAAAGCTTATGTTTCATTGCAGCATACAGTTTAATTATATGATAATTTAATGTTATACATCGTTGATTTTCAAACAGAAGCTAAAAGTTTTGCAGTTTTTTTCATGTTAACAAAATAATTATTTATCTACACTATAAGTTTTCATCATATTGTTATCTAATAACTTCTACACTTAGTTTAATGTGTAAAGATAACAATGAATGTCCATCAAAATCAACGAATCAATAACATTACCACCGTAAGAAAACTTTGAATAAATTAATCTTTATATTTTTACAATATAGCATACTGCATTATTTGAAAGAATTTAGATGTGAGTTACAAGCATTTTATGAAAACATAACTTCGTTTTTGTTATCTAAATCTTTTCCAAATGATCATTGTGTAAAAACGAAAGAAAATTTATCTAAGGTGCTTAAAATGGTCATAGTATATAAACATGGACGAGAAAACGAGTTTGATTTCTCTAATAAATATTATTCAAACAAAGACAAAACGTGTCTCCTTGTCGCGTTATAACGGAAAAGGCCCTCTTAAAATTGTGCGGAAGCTATTCGGAAACATTACATTTTTCGATACATTTATAACGATTAATGTCTGAACTTGATTAATAAAATTATATTTTAATCTCTTACCTTTAATATCCTTGAGAGCAGTCATATTTGTGTTTAAATGATGGTGAATATAATTTCTGTAAAAGAATCCCGCTCTAAATATCTAGTTGAAAGAATAAATGAAACTGAATAAACCAAAATTATTGTGTATGAAAATTTTAAAAAACAAAAGAAAAATATTTACTTCGATAACTATGTTGCGTTGAAAAAATTTTATTCAGATAATGCCATTAGAATAATTTTCATCAGTTGTGTCTGCCGAACCAGTACTTATATACAAAGCCCACTTAAGTTCTCAGAAAACATATAAGGTCGAATATCACGACAAACAAAGAGGCTCCTAAAGAAAAAACCTATACACATTAAGTAACGACGTTCAATTTGTTCTCACTTTGCAGACCGATAAACGCGAGTCTTATTTCGCCGAAATCATAACAAACCGAGTGCCGGCTACGAGTCCCTTGAATCCTGTAGCGCAACTGATTTCAACGCTCTCGGCAGTCGGCATACGATAGTCAATTCTTCGTCGAGAAGGCACATAAGCTCCGTCCGTAGCATGCCTCACGTCGACCATCGAATCATTTTCGAATTTCAAAGCGCATAAAAACTTGTAGTTTATAAATAACTTTGAAAAAATATTTCAATCTTAGTGAGGCAATATTAAATAGTATTTTGCATTGTAAAGTGCCGATTTTTCTGTAAGAGTGTGAATTTGAAATCTTATTATAATAATTATTGTATCAAAATGGAAAAATATGCACCAGTACTCATTGAAGCTTTGAAATCGGATAAAGTAACGACTATATTGGACGCGTGGGGTGATCAAATACGCACAAAATCGAGCGAAGCTTTTATTGAAGCTAAAAAAGAGGGCAACAAACTTTTTGTTTCAAAAGATCACAATTCGGAGATACACGAAAAAATTTGGAAGCACTATTCTAAATGCGTGGCGCATGCACGATCTTCAAACGAGTTTGCTCTTGCCTATGGCAACAGATCGGCCTTACTTTTTCACATTGGAAAATTTCGCGATAGTGTTAGAGATATTGACAGAGCCTTGCAGCAAGACGTTTCTGACAGCTTAAAAATAAAGTTACTTTGCCGAAAAGCTAAATGTTTAGTGTTACTCAATATTCATGACTTGGATCCTTTGTCAGAAGCTAAAGAATTATTAAAAACAGTGAGCTGTCAAAAACAGAATTTAACTTTGTCGAATTTAGTTCTCAAAACTGAAAAGTTTTTAATCGATAAAAGGGAAGATTTGTTTGATAAACCATGTGCATCCAATTTAGGAGGAAAATCTCCATGTTTCTTGAGGTAAATTTTAAAAGTATAAGTCATATTTTTAACGTTTTATATAAATTTGTAAATTTTATTACTGTAAAGTAGTTACTCGGATTCGACAATTCATGATGACAACAAAGATCCTATTCAAGAAGAAGTAAAACATATTTTAGAAAAAAAAAATCATTCTAATGTGTTAGATTTAGTCACTGTACAATATAATCGCAAATATGGTAGACACATGATAGCTAATCAAAATATTGCACCTGGAGAAATAATAATAGTTGAAGATATATATGTTAAAGTAATTAATTTAGAGAATAAACATGTTTTCTGTGGTCATTGCTTACAAACAGCCTGGTCAGGGATTCCATGTGATTATTGTACTTGGTGCATTTTTTGTTCAGAAAAATGTAAAGAACAATCATTACAACAGTACCATAAAAAAGAGTGCCTAGTCATCAGTTATATGCTGCACATTGGTGCAAATTATACTGATCATCGATTAGCATTACGCAGTATCTTAATGGCTATAAACGAATATGGAAGTATTACTAAACTCATGGAACGTGTAAAAGAACTTGATAATATGAAAGGTATGAAAATATAGTAAGTAAATGAGAGAAAATTAATTCAATACTCATGTTTATTTACTGTTTTTATTCATTATATTATAGAAGAAACAATGAAAGGTATTCAAAATGGAAAAAAAAGTAGTAAAATATTTGAAGGCATATATTCTTTGGCTAGTATTGATACCAAAGAACAGATAGATAATAGTTTAGATATTACTATTTTATGTTTGATTATTTTAACTAAGACCTCTTCTTTATTTGGCAAGAGTTCAAATTTTTACAAGAAAGAGCACTTTCATTCAAACGAGGAGATAATTTTCATTGGTTACTTATTAATGAAACTGTTAGCAATAAGTAGAATCAATGCTCATTCTGTAAGTCAATGAAATTATTGTGAAAATTTATGATAAAAATTTTTATTAATGAAAATTAATTAAATTATTCTTTTCTTTTGTTCCTTCAGATAATGGAAGGTGTAGATTGCAGACATTCAAAAACATCTACACAGTGCAGTGTAGATTTATGCTGTGATAGAGGAGCATGTATAGCTACTTACTCTAGTCTTGTCAATCACAGTTGTCACCCAAACATACGAAAATGTTTTACAAAGGATATGCAAATTGTTATTTATGCTATTCGACCGATACAAAAATATTCACAAGTAAACAAAATTATAACAATAACATAATTCATGAAGATGTTTGTAAAAGTAAATAAAAATCTTTAAAATTTTGTAGCTCTTTGATTGCTATATTGGAAGTTTTCAAGAAACACCTAAAGACACAAGACAAAGCAAATTGATTTCAACTTATAATTTTACATGTATGTGCATTGCTTGTAAAAATAATTGGCCAAATATTCTGCTTGATAAGGTGTGAATTTTTCAAGACTGAATAAGTTATTTTTAATTTCTAATCACATTTAGCAATAATATATTTAATTTAAAACTTTATTTTAGCATGCACTCACTTCAATTTGTAATCAAAGCGATAATAAAAAAGAACTGGAAATTTTAGAAGAATATGGAAATTTGATGGATTGGCATGACTTAAAATCTGATCAGATTGATTTAAAAACAGTACAAAGATTATCTCAAGCTATTGAAAAATCTTCAAAATTATTAACTCAACCTTCATTCATAACATCCAGGCTAATGGCATCATTAGCCTCAACAATTGATTGTATTTTTGGTATAAAATTGCAACTAACAGATGAATGCATTGATTCTTAAGTAGAATTCTTTATTTAATCAAAATATCCATTGTAAGCAAATATTTTCAATGTACTTATGAAATATGTTTTGGTATGAATAAATACTAAATAAATTTGATTTGTAAAAATTGTTTAATTATAGTTTTTAAATTACAACTCAATCATTTTATAAAAATACTCTTCTTCCTTCATGTCTCTACATTTTACTCATGTAAACCTTAAGATTAACTCAATTATTACTTTTACTTTTGGAGGCTCTCTCTGGCCAGTGCTTCTAAACTACTTTTGATCTTTTTGTATGAATCTTCATATGAAGGATCTTCTTTTATGAGTACCATTAATGAACCTCGTTTCACGCCTAAACATTCACCAATATCATATCGCGATGGGGAGAAAGCATAAGGAATATTTTTATCTTCGCACACTACCGGTAGATGACACATGATATCAATTGGGAACACATCCCCAGCAAAGATGACAATTCTGTAATAAAGATAAAATATAAATGAACATATCTGTATTGAACTCAGATGTAGTTTATTCTAAAAATGAACACTTACCCAGTCTCCCCTTTACGGATATGCTTTTGCACATCTTTTAATCCAGCACGAACACAATTTTTTGTTTTGTAGGCTGAAAAGAATCAAGATTAATGAGAATAAGCTTATAAAACTGAGAATGAACTTTTGAAACTTATGCACAATAAAAATAATATTTACCATTTTTGATCAACTTGTAGACTTTTTTAGCGAGTTTCTTTGGCATGAGTGGTGTAGCTATTGAATTACAATTTTTTATTTTTTCTTCATAACTCTCTTCACCTTCCTCTTTGATATCAACGGTTTCGTTTAAATCTTCATTTGTTTCCATTTTTATTGAAGTTTCTTTAGTCATTTTAAAAACACGTGTTTTTTTAGTGGCAAGTATACTGAATAATGGAACTACTAAGGTTAAGACCTTCACACGAAGTGTACCGGCAGCAGACGAGAATAAGATAGACGCTTTGTGAAACGGGAAACCCACACGTGCAGACTGCGCAGAGTTGTGTAAAAAGGTACAACCAACTCAAGAGCGTATGCAATTGACAGTCACAGTTTGCTCTACCATTGACTGTCTTGAACGCTGCAACGGCCTATACTTTGACACAGCTCTGCGCACGTAAAAGTCTTGCGAGAATTAGCATTTCTTATGATTTTTAAAAACATGATATTCCGGCTCCTGGTTCTTTTTGGTATTGTAATTCTTTTTTTCAGATTTTTCCCACGTCATATTCATTAAAAAAAACATTAACTAAAGTTAAGAAAATCTCACTCGAGTCACGTGATCTCAAAACGTACGCGATTGGTTCGGGCCGGTGTGACGTCACAATCATAATAAAATTTGAATTTGAGGCTGAAAGTACGGGAAAAAATTAATTAATAAATGTTGTAAAAAGATATTGTTAATTTTTTTAATGCTATAATTTACAGAATGACCAGTAAGTATAAGTGGCCTTTACTCATAAGTGAAAAGAATATACACTTCAGAAATGTGATAATCATACAATCAATATTCTGTGTCACATGAAAAAATACTTTTTCTGGAATTTTTTTTAATGGGGTCACTCAGGAACAAAATTTAAGTTTTAATTGTGAGTGAAAACATCAGCCCTCTGAATTCAATTAAAGATGATTCTGAGAGATTCTGTTTTGTTCCTGAGTGCCCCAGTAACACAAAGAAAAATCCAGAAAAACTATTTTTTCATGTGACATAGAATATTTATTGTAAGATTATCATCTTTCTGAAATGTATGTTCTTTTCACTTACAAGTAAAAGCCTGCCAGATTCTGTCGACTGCTACCTGTCACCAACTCACTGGTACGGTAAATGCAAGGAACACTATTTGTCATCATGTCTGTACATCTATCATGTTTAATAAAAAATGTCAACAGTTAAAGTGAACAGTTAAAATGAACAAAAATAAGAACAATTTGTATAATTGAATTCTAATGCAATAATTTGAAAGACAATTTTTATTATTGAATAGATAGGTATTGATGCACATCCAACATTTTATTTCTTTTAAAGATAAGATATTTATTATGATATCAATGAAATAGTATTCAAATGAAAAATTTATTAATAAAAAATAAAATAATGTCTTTCTAATTCTAAATATTTTTATTGTTGTATAGCTCAGGTTTTTTATAATTACGTAAACAATTTTTAATCTAAAACGATTTTATAATAGATTATTTTTTTTTTGATGTTCCAAATCCTGAAAATCCCATTATTGCAGCCATGTCATCCTTGGGTCCATCGTCGTCATCATTTAGTGTTTCGTCTATTTTTCTTTTCTTATCTTTTCTTTTTTCTTTCCTATATTCTTTGATTTTTTCTTCTTCTTCTTTCAATTCTCTAACTCTTTGTTCCAGATCATAGTCTTTTTTTTTCTCCTCCAGTTTTTTTTTGTTTAAAGCAAATCTTGCTTTAACTTGATCTAATGTTGAACGTTCAACTTTCATTGACATACCCAAATTGCGTTGATCTGAAATTAAAAAATGGTCAAATATTTAGATTGTTGTTCATAGTTGAAAATATTTAAATATTCGCATGGTATACTTACGTTTAGTTCCATTAATGTGATCTAAAAAGTTGATTGAGTCTTTTACAACACAGTCACATACATTGCAATAGTATCCGCCACTTTGAGATGAAGGTGTGTTTTTGTTTATAACTACACTTTTTCCTAATTTCGATTCGAGATCAACTTTATAATCTCTTTGCTTCAAAAGTTCCCTTTTGACAGCTGGTTGCTTGGGTAATCCTAATTCTTCCTCTGCTATTTCTGCTTGCAAGCGGGCCAATGCTATTTTTTCGTACTCCTCTCTGTCCCATTTTTTTCTGTGATCGTCTGGCCTCTAATGAAATATTGTTGAAAAATAATTAGATATGTTTTTTTGATAAAATACACTTTTGGTGCATTTACTTAGATTTTTAAGTATGATTGAACTATTGAAAACTTACCATTGACATGATGAAGCTATCTGTAGAAACTTGATGCAATAAATTTTGATAATTCCCAAGTAGATCTCAAGTAGACCACAAGTGTACTTACTTATACAAGTAATATACAAGTTTATTGAAAACCTGAATCAAATTACAGAAATGTAATACTATTGACGGATGTCAAGTTTGTTGATATAGTAGCTAACCTTAGAGTGTCAATAGTCACTATCTCACTAGGTTCACTACGATTCGACCTGGTCCAATCTCGTTCCAATTCCATCTCGTTCCGCCTGGATGAATCAAAACTGAAAACAGCGACCACTTGCTACAAACTGGTTTTTGTTAAGTATACGATTTTAAATAAAAATTTTATAATTGTTATTAACTTAAAATATCGTACTAATTTAATGACCAAAATTTTTTTTATTTAAAAATGTGGAAAAGTAGTGATTTTTTTTAAAATACTTAGATTACTTCTTACCGCTTGATCTCGTCTGTAGAATTCTGTGTTGTCGAACGCCGGAATTTCCCATGCTTATACAAGTTCCACTACTCTATCGGATTAGATAACGCTCTCACAGTCACCGTGTGGCGTGTACTGTAATTTTCTGGACTTTTTTCTACAATAAACTTGGTTTTTGAAGTGTTTAAAGTGCCCTTCTATACCGTCGGCCGTACTGCCAACTAAATAAGTATACATGTACTCGTTTAATGTTTCGATGATAAAGCGCTCAGCGCTGGCCGCTGGCCGCCTGAGTGAGCGAGTGATCCGTTATCTAGACCATCGAAAACATTCCTTAAGTTGGCAGTGCAGCCGATGACATAGGTAATAGACCGTGAAATTCTAAGTAATATAGATTGTAGAGTGACCCGAATACGGAACGAACGTTTGTGTACCAAATCAAACTATCGAAGTGTAGCAGTCAGCACTAAGCAACGTGTTTGCGACAGTCGTAACTCGTGCCTTGTTGATTTTGAACGTTCGCGTTGTCTGCGTATTTGTGAAAAGCCTCAAAGTTACACCAATTTCAGTTCTTGACCATTAGAAATGGCAACGCGACAAGAAATCCTTTTACAAAATTTTCAAGTCAATTGGACAAATCTAAGAGATGACACAGGAAAACTTTTATGGCAGGGCAATGAAGACCTGTCCTGCCCGGATACCGAACAACAAGTTCATGTTCCAAAAGAAATTTTAAAGTGTCAGACTGTTACCAGAGACATGAGTTTTACTTCGGTAGAACAAATGGAACAATTTAGGATCGAGCAGAGGGTTCTTTTTAAAGGACGTGTTTTTGAAGAATGGTTCTTTGAATTCGGCCCCGTGCAAGCTTGCAGTACTAATGTTTGGCAAAGTTCGTTCAGAGCTGCACCTGAAAGTCAAATCATGCCGGCTAAAGTTCTGGATGGGAACATAATTATCGAGACAAACTATTTTGATGGGCTAGAATGCTTTGCGTCAAGTCGCCTCCGTCTGTTTTACGTTTAAGATCGCATTTTAGGTTAATTGTGTAAATATAGAATTTAATGTTCAGTTTTGTATCATTTAGCTGATACTTTGGTTAAACAATACCACAGTATTAAACCATCAAAAAGTGTAAATAATTGTATTAATTAATATTAAAACTTAGTAATAAAAATACTTTATTATATTTAAAATAAAAGTCGTTGTACACATTAAGACAGCATTGAGTTTTTACTGATATTTGAAAACTACCACAATAAGTTCACAGCAAAATCAAAAACTTAGATTTTCTTGATGTAGACTAAGAAAATGAAACACTAAATTCTTACTGGTACAGTTATAAAGTTCATTTTTTTACAACTATTACTTGTTTTTTGCCGTTTTGTATATCTTCACCTAATTTTGATTTCTTGTTACAAATTCTGGAAAATTTTTTTTTATTAAACAAAAAAAAGAAATAGCAAATATCGTATTATTCATAAAAAATTATTATTACCTCACTTCTAATACTAAATCTTCAGATGATTTTGAGGATATACTAGAATCACTACCGCATCGTTTTAATGATGCTTCTTTGATAGGATTTTTATTTTTTTTCATCATTCGACTAAAAAAAACAGTAATTAATAAACTTATTCAATTTTAAATGAAATAATAAATAATTTTCATACTTTAAAAATTTTAGATCGATCATCTTGAAATAATTTTTGGCTTGATTTATATCTTTTGCATTTGTAGGAAATAACCCGGTGTAATCAAATTTAGAGGCTCTGTGAAATAATTTTATATAAAAATTTTAATAAGTTTTTTTAATAACTAAGTAATAAACTTACTTGTATTCTAATTTTTCCAATAAAGCAGAAAAACCAAAATGGATTGCGAGTTCCGAAAGAACAATTTTAATAAAAGTCTTTTGTTGGTCAGAAATGTCACTTCCTATCACTTTAAAAATGGATAAAAACTCCCAGGAAATAGCATTTTTTATCAAAAGCTGAGCCAAAAATTTACTAGAATTTATTAATTCATTTTCTTCTAACATGTTGGCTGAGTTGTAAGAATCACTAAATACTTGTTTAAAGGCAGAATGAAAATTCAAAGTGCTAGAGCTGAATTTCTGAAAATTAAAAATTCCATTAATTAAAAAGAATAAAATTAAAAATTTTTACTAATGTACCTTAGCAATTGTTCCAAAATAATTTTCGAACTTTTTTTGTTCTGTACAACAATCTAATAATGTTTTACAAATGGATACTTCATCTCCAGCTTTAATTTTAGTTTTTAAAACATTATCTACAAATTCATCAAAATCCAAAATTTTTTGGATAACTAAGTCAATGGATTTCTTAAGATTTAACATATTTAACTCTCTATCATCGCTATTGTCAATTTCTAAAATTGCATCTGGAATTTTTTCAATTTCAGCAGTTGGTATTAGTATTTCTATTCTATTATCATAATCTTCTATTGAATTTTTGTTAATTGAGTGAGTAGGGTAAGTGAATTTGTTAATTATTTCTCTAACTGAGAATTCTTTTTTACGTTTCCTAGTATTTATATATCGAGTAGCATAATCTGTATCTTTTTTCAGCTTTTTGAGATGAGCTTTTAAAAACATTGAAGGACTCGTGGATTCTTGACTTATTTTCAATGATGATAAATAATCAGTAGCACAAGTTGATGATAAACTTACATTAACACTTTCTTTTAAAATTATTTTTGTCCATGATGGAAATTCAATAAATAATTTCATCAAATCATCTACAATCATAGGACAATAGTAAATATTGTGATTTTCATCATTGTGCTCACACATTTCTAAAGATTGTATTTTAAGTTGATTGATGTATTCATAAATTGGATGAGGTGATTCATATACCACATTATTTTGTTTAATATTCAAATATGAAAAACATCTTGGACCAGTTTTTGATACCATCAAACGTATAAATTGTTGATTGATTTGTTGAATTGTATCGGAAGTTAAATGTGTCCATAGATTAGCTTTTCTATATTCTGTTTCATCATTTGTACCAAGACTTTGACACAGCACAAACAAAGTAGTTACAACATCTTCAAATTCAACTAAATTATTAACAGTACTCAAATACATGATTCCACACAAATATAAATCCTTAACTGATTGTTCAACATTTTCAAAACTGGGCCAGTTGTCTACTACTTTAATAAGAGATATTATATCTATTTGCAGAAGTGTAGGTGGTAATTCTGTTTCTTCATTCAGTAAATATTTGTAACACCTACAATTAAAAAGAAATTATGTTAATACGAACATTTTTATTTCTCAAGGATGAATTTCATAACCTTTTACCTAGTGTTATAAACTTCAAAAGTAGATAAATTAAAAGCTAATGAAATAGCATCAAGTACCCTATAACAATAACCAATTACAATATTTTCTGGAGCTGCAGCTTTCTTTTCAAGCCATGCGTTTAAAAAGAAATGGATATCAATAGATTCTAATGAATCACAAATCATCTGACCTAATAATATAACTGAGTTTTCTACCATAGTAGCTAATGCAATTACAAACACATCATTACATTCGAAATTTTCACTTATTTTATCAACAAGTTTGTCTAATACTATTAAGCATAAATTTGGTTGCAAATGAATAAGATCTATCCATGTTTTAATTTGTTCTGGTTGCCAATATATAACTTGAAAAGGCATTAGCCCAATTTTATGAATATTATTTTTGTGTTCATCACTTTTTTTCATCTCCATCAACAAATCCAATTCAGATGGAGGTATTTCTTCTTCACCATCAGAATCCATCTCATCAAAGATATTGTAATCATCCCATTTGGTTACTAAACCAAATTCTGGCAACTTTATTTTCTTTTTTCTTTCTATAACAGGAACGTCAATACTTTTATACCTCATTAATCTTTCTTGTATGCCCCATCTATTTTGAAATACAAACTGATACAAGTTGTGCAAATTCAACTGTGGTATACGCTTTCGAGCTTCTTCCCAACAAGGATTCCTCATTTTCTTTAGTTGTCCGTTTTCAAAAAACAACGGTTCATCTTTGATTGCTTCAAAAATATCATCCACTGATGCAGCGGGACGCCTGCCCGGTTTTTTCTTCACCTTTTTTGAAGCTGGGCCTGCTCCGTCGGATGTCCGACCCATTTTTGTAAATTGCTTACTTCTGATAAATAAGCAACACCGACAAAACTGTGATCAACTTACACTAATAAGCTAAAACGATTCATGAGTCCAAAGCATTTTACGAGACTTTTTCAATATTTAATATTGTGTTTTCAAAACTTTGTAATTATATAGAGTAACCTACTCAAAATATAAGATTATTAAATTAGTTATATGCTCACAAAATGTAGCCAAAACACTCTGGAGAGTGGAGGGTCATGTTTACAAGTTTTGAATTAGACCCATAACCTTCTTTAAGTAAAGCGCGAAACGGTCTGCACTCTCTGGCCTCTGCGGACTCTTTGGTCTCTTGGTGAAAAGCGGGATGATTCAAAATAATATGAGAGTACGCGAGAATTAATAATTAATACGACGATAAAAATGCAAACAAAAATGAAATTAATGTTCAATCAGAGATTAACATTACAGTCGTAAAGAAAGCTACGCTATAGTTCAAGTTGTTTGCAGTTCATGAAGAAATTCTTCAATGGTATGTAGAGAGATTGGGGAGAATTTTTTAAGCCTGATGCCCTGATCAGGAAAAAACGATCTTCTCGCGGCGCACAGGTGCACTGAGTGCTTTGGAAATTCCCAGAGAAAGTGTTTAAGGTCCTACATTATTAAGTCGAACAGCCAAACATTTTTCATGTTTCTAACGTAGTGAAACCATTATTTTATAAGTCCGAAAAGCCCGTTTGAATTTTTTTGAAACTCATAGTTATTGTGAGTATTTAAAAATTTTTTATTTCAGCATAAAGCGACTTTAAGACTCTAAACATTTTTAAGTATCCATCACAATATAAAACAAAAAGTCGAATCAAGTATTAAACGAGCTATCATTACCAAAAAATTCAAAAAATCGGATCGTAGATCGACCGTCGGTCGTAGCCGTAGATCGGCCTATGATCGATGACTGATTTAAGGTACTTTTTATGTTAGTTTTCTGTAGATGATATGATCTCCGAAATCCTGGTCCTCTAGAGATTAATCAAGGTGAGAAAACACTGAGTAAAAACTCAAAAAGTGGAAAATAGCAAAAAATAGCCTTTTCTTCATTCTGATTCATTTTAATTTATTTCTACAAAATATACTTTGTCAATTCAATTTTTCTTCTTCAATAGCGCTGTCTTTGACACTTTCTTATTACCGGCACAACCAAATAATCGACAAATTATTTTAATGATACGTGTCAAAATGAATAAAACTATAATTAGAGCAAGAGCCAGAAATGCATAAATATCGAGAAGAGATGATTGCCACCAAGGCATTTCGGAGAGCGGAGAACGTAATGAGCCTTTGCCATGACGAACGACGTACTCTATCCAATACACGGCTGTGTCAATTGGTTTCATTGGTCGATCTAGAAATCGTTTTGCTAGTTCTTGTGAATTTTTCCTTAAAAATGAAAATAATTTTATTAATGATTATATTAAAAATTTATGACAGTATTGAGCCAATAAAATTGGAGATCACTGACTGATATTTTGGATCGAACAAGACGGCTTTGAGAGCCGATGTAACTTTTTCTTCGCTTATGTCTTTGAGATCTATTAACTGAGCTATTCCTTTATTGACGTTCAATTGCACATTTGTGGGTTGATCTCCAAAAACTGGAATGCCTACCATAGGTACAGCTGCTTGTATTGCTTCAAGTGAACTCATCATACCACCGTGAGTGACAAATGCTTTGACGTTTTTATGCTCTGAAACAATTTAGAAAGATTTAAAGTCAAATGAGTAAAAAATGTCCAGTAAATAGCTTGATATGGACACTAACTTAAAACGTGAACTTGAGAAAACCAGGTTTGTGTCATAACGTTTTTTGGCAAGCCTGAAGGTAGTTCTTCGGGTTTTGCAATTTTCATAAGAACACGAACTGGGGCTATTTTTTCAAAACTCGTGTAAAACATATCAATTATATTTTTCGGAAATGTTTCAAATCTCAGCATCGATCCAAGCGTGAAGTAAATACAGCCTTTAGTACTTTCGTCCAGCCATTTTTGTACTTCCTGACCCAGTGAGAAAAAATTATAGCGATAATTTAAAAATGAAACTGACATTATGCAGCGTCATACATGAATATTTGATACCTTAGACAGCGGCGGATCGTCTTCGGAAATGTGTACACCAGCGACAGGGATAATGGCCGGTGTCAATGGTCTTACTCCATCGAGCGAGTGATGAGTGTTAGCGAGTACCAAATCAATTTCCTTTTGCATTTCCACGACATTAGGATATCCTTGCCCGAAATACTTCTCCACGTATTTGTCTTGAACGCGAACCTCTTGGTTGAACGAGTGGACTATCAAGTTGTGCAAAAGCGTATTGCCAAGACGCTGCCAAAAAGTCATAGGGTGAAGACCAGTAAAACCCATGCCAGGGCTGATCGCCGTAAAGAAAGGATTACCAAGGGGCGCGTGAACCCAGTCCAAAACGTTCGATGGGATAATGTTGACGATTGGTATATTCAAGTGACGCCCCCAAGCCAGATAACAATTAGATACGAACGGCTGCAAATTTTTTCATGATAATTATTCAAAGTTCTTTTTTCTCGAATATTCATTGAGAGATTATGTTTCTCGTTACCTCAACGAGTAGCACATCGTAAGCTGGATCTTTCGGTGGGTTTTTCAAAAGGTTTTGAAACAATGGGAGTTCCATTAATTCACAGAGTGGGTGCCCCATCAAATTTAAAAGCGTACCCACGTTAATCATCTGGAAAGTTACCGCATCGCTGTAATTCATGTTATTGATGTACTGTGGTAGAGTACCCTTGAGACTGAAGTCATTGTAGTTGGGAATAGGTTTTTTTAAAGGAAAATGACTGTAAACATCAACTTGATGGCCTTTGGCTGCCAAACCTTTGGCCACGTGCTCACATACTACAAAGTGGCTCTTAGCATTAGCCGGGAAAATCGCTAAAACTCGTAAGGATTGACTTGGCTGACTGCAGCAGCCGAGCAATACTGCGATCGACAATAACCCTACGATTTTCATTTTGAATTCTGAAAAGAATGTTGATATTTTTATTGCAACGTTAGTGTAGTCAAAAACTATAATCGATGTAACGATTAAATTTTTATTTCAAATAATAGAATACGTCATAAAAAACTTCTTAGACTGCGCGCATTTGCATTTAATGAAATCATTTTCAAGCTTATTTCAAAGTAACATTGAGAATAATTGAGTCTCAAAGTAAAATGTACGCGCGAGACCTATATTATTGTTTAAATAATGTACCTTTACTTGAGCTAAATTTACTATCATAGCAAACTGACTATCTTCTCCTAAAGCTTATAATTTCATGTAAACTACTTGTAATAATTCAAATGAAAGAAAAAAACGAAAAGAAAGCAATGAGATGTATAAATTAATAAACTAGTTTTACGGAATTATTCAAGCAAACGATTATTGCTAGCACCTACAAACCTGGTCGATTTATCGTAAAATATCTCGTGCATACTACGTTGTGTCACATGTGATGGACTACTAAGTCTATATATGCGTGTCTACAATACGATCTGCGTAATCTATGATATATATCTATAAATTTGCGCGAAGTTTTAATGATAATCAAATGAAAAATGATTCATGCATAACACGTCAAGGTTAGACATAATGGATTGCCAAGGTTTGGCAGTGGCTTATAAGATTCATGGTGACGATGTATTATAAAAACGTACGTAAAAATCTGCGAATCTATAATTACAAGAAAAAGAAAATGACTTGACGTATAGTGTATACTCATTTGACATACTTTGTTACTAATTATTCTGAATTTTTTGTCGATAACTAACAAAATGTGTACTTACTCATGAAGATAAAAAATTCTCCGGATCGAAAATTGAAGTTATTTTTATTCGTGGGTTATATTATATAATAGTTAAGCAATCAAAGGTTGTACATGTGTTAAAACTTGAATTGTATTAATTGCATTGATTTTCTATCGCAAAGATAATCTTTGCTATACGGAATTGCAATACTTATGCAAGCCTCATAAAAACCTATCAATGAGTTCACTTTATTTACATTATTTTACTTTATCGTTTTAGCACAGATATTGTACAGGTTTAACAACAATTTTATTCAAAGATCAATAATATTGACACTATGATTTCGCTTGTATTTGTATTTCATTGATTTCTACATGCGACGGTACCCCGAGTACGTGTACGATTGACTCGGCAATGTCTTCTGGACTCAGCGCGGGCATCTTGTTGATATTGGGATTTTTCTCAGCAGCTGCTTCCATCATGTTGGTCTTCACCAAGCCTGGACTGACACTCTGAAAAATACCGTTAACATTTCATTCCACATACTTTTCGATCATCCGTTTTACGAGCGACACTCACGGTGACGCGGATTTTGGTGCCCACGAGTTCATTCTTCAGGGTTTCGGACAGAGCCGTGACGGCAAATTTCGAAGCGGGGTACACGCTAAAGTGATGAGCATTGCCCATTGGTACCATGTGGCCTAGAACGCTAAAACCGATCATATTGCAACATTGGAAGTTTTATTTGTTTCAAATTATTTCGTTCATACGAAGTACCTATTAATATTGATGATGTGACCTTCATTTTGATTCTCCTTCATTAATTTTATAGCTTGTTTTGAACAGTAAACAAGTCCCAATACATTGACTTTAATAATGTGCTCGATATCTTCGGTAGCCGTATCTGTTTGCGACCAAAAAATGACCAACTATTTATCTCAAAAATTTATTTGTGCTTACAGCCTTCAAGTACCTTCTATTTTTGTATGTTTTATGGCTCCAGCGTTGTTTATTAAAACATTTATAGACCCTAAAGTAGTTTTCACCCAGTTTAAGGAATCAATAACACTTTTTTCATTCGTAATATCGCATTCACGGGCAAAAAATTTTCCAGAGCCTTTTACGTCTTTCATAAAATCCTGTTTGAACACAAATTTGAAATAAATTATTATTTCAAATAATCCTTAAAAACTATGAACAGAGGAATGAAAAAAGATAATAAATAAATGATAGGAAATGTTCTACTAATTAAAATACTATTTGAGTTTCCAACCTCCATTAGTGTTTTTCTGCGAGCGAATCCTACGACGATCATTCCCTCGCGTACCAAAACTTTAGCCGTTGCTAGACCAATGCCAACCGATGCTCCTGTGACCACGGCGATTTTACCTCTCCAACGATCCATTTTGAAATCGCCAGTTGATCAAATAATTTCAAACGAAATTTTTTTTGGTCTGTTGTATTTTTTAATATAAAACAATTTCGCAAATAATTCCACTAAAAATTGGTGTACATCTGCGGCAGATGCAGCTTGTGTCAGTGATGTGGGACGACTTGATTCGTATAAATAAGCTACGTACTGGAATGAATGAGAGAAATGATTATAGAATGCGCAATGGAATTTTGCGCATCTGTGACGCAATGCAATGCAAGTGCTTTGGCAAATGGCAAGCACTACGTATTAAATCAAATGAACAATTATACATCTCATGAGAAACTATACATTTTTTATATGTACGCATTGGCAATACGTATATTAATGCAGGATAACAAAAGTAAGTCTTCGTCAATAAATTGTCAAAATTATGTAAAATAGATATCATTTTTATTGAATTTCATAACAAAATAATAACTGATTTCAATTCAAAAATCCATTTTCTTGCCTTGAATCGTTAGCTCGCTTATCTCAACGTGTGGGGGTACACTCAAGGCAAATACAATTGAATTAGCTATATCATCTGGACTCAGTTCCGGTAATTGAGACATGAGTGGTGCATGCTGTACTGCATAGTCCAGCATATCTGTCTTTACAGCACCTGGGCTAATATTCTGGAATCAAAATTCTCATGAAATCTAATTTACTTTCTCAAAAATGAATAAAATAAATTATTCCTTACGGTCACACGTATTTTTGAATCAAGTAGATCATATTGAAGTGATTCAGAGAGGGCAGTTACAGCAAATTTCGTTGCTGGATAAATATTGAAATGTCCAAATATTGGGGGAGGTACTCTATGACCTAAAACACTGTGAAAAATACAATAGAAGGAAATGTAATCATTTGAAACAGTGAAAGGAGCTTTGAAATTATTTCTGCACATTTGTATGTTTACCTGTTTATGTTCAAAATGTGTGCTTCCATAGAATTCTCTCTCATTAACTTGATAGCTTTTTTCGAACAATATACCACACCAAGCAAATTTACTTTAACTATTTTTTCGATTTCGTCCGTAGAAGAGTCTGCGAAAATATCAATGGGATGAAATTTTCTTTTTTTTCAAGTACATTATATTTTACCTTCAATTTTCTTCATGCTCGTTGTACCGGCATTATTTATTAATATATTTAATTGACCAAACGTACTTTTAATATAATCGAAAGATTGAATTATATTTTCCTCGATTGTTATGTCACACTCTCTAGCATAAAAATTTTTAGAGTTTTTGCAAGTTTTAATTTCATCCTAAAAATTAATAAAAAGATACATATATAGTATTAATTTGGCCTCATCAAATGAAAAATATAAAACTTACAATCATTTTATTTTTTCTTCTTGCAAGGCCCACAACGATCATTCCATGCTCGAGTAATATTTTAGAAACAGCCAAACCAATTCCTCCTGAGGCACCGGTAACAACAGCTATTTTTCCGTTCCAACGATCCATTTTTTTTTTTTTAATTATTACACTTGAAAAATTCAAAAATGTATTACCAAAATATCTTTACGTCAATGGCTCATGCACTTTGCAATGCGAGTGTTCTATCGCATATGGCCAAAGAAAGAGACCGACTGCATGGGTCATGGTGAAAGCTGCTTTGCCACTTTTACCTGCGAGTGAAAAGTTTGCAATCAGAAATCAGACTGAAGGATACCAAGAACCGGTTTGAAGCATGCTTTATTAAATTATAATTGTGAAAATATTTTAAACTTTTAGAATTTGTTAATAGTTTTTATTTGTAAGCTAAAATTTGTAAATATATCAGGGATTTACAAATGTCATTGCGTGTTAAACACTTGTTGTTGAACATAATTCCATAGATCTTTTCAACGTGAAGAACTTGCATGTAAAAAATAGTATATGCCAAGAGCACTTACATTAGCCTGAAAATATTGGACTTCCATTAAATTTTTAAAATAAAAAGTATTACTAGTTTATTGTACAATAAATTTCAAAATTTGAATACGATCGATACAAACGAGAAGAAGAAAATGATTACATTTTCGGGTTTACGAAAAATCTCTAGTCTGCACCTAGCGAGCGCGTGGCCGAATCGTTAAATTTGTCGACTCGAAGTCACTAATGCTCGGAGATCTGGTAATTAATTAAGGTAAGCAAGCGCTTCAGATGGAGGCAGCTATGCGATGAGGCTGATTGTGACGTATGGGACAGCCCTTATGGAACTATCATTTCACGCCTGAAGATATTAAAAGTAGCTAAAAAGATAGCGTTCGTAAAGTAATTGTATGTAATTTTTGGCCAAATATATTGTTTTTTCAAAAGTTAATCGTTTCAATTCTTCGTCCGAATGAAATTTTTAACGATTTTAAATCGTTATTTACTTGAAAAATGTCTATTTAAGAACGGATTTCAACTTTACAAAATCCAATTTTGGAAGAAGTGAGAATAGCAAAGCAGTAAATGATCATGCAAAAATATTTTGAAATCTTAATAATTTTCAAAGAAACTTAAAATATTTTCTAAGAAATAAAAAATTTTTATTGTATTTCTCATTTCATTTGTTTCAAAAAGTACCCTTACCAGAAGTAATCAAATCTCGCGTATCAAATGTACCAACCGTATAGTGAAATTCACAACATTCGAAGAATGTGCGAGCTATTTTTATGTTCAAATATCCTTTTCTTTCATCTTCACTCCTTTCTTTACTCTTCGACCAATGAGGTAAAGAATAAAACGACTTCACATGATTTTTTTAAGGAAGGAAATAAAATATTATGAATTATTACAAATTATCTAAAAAAATGTCAATCAGACTAAAATTGTAAATCATATATTGTAGCTTTTTTTGTATTTAACAGAATAAAAATACAATTTTTTTAAAAATTTCATAAAAATGTAACTTTTACGAATTACGTAAAATTATTAATTTATTTATTTCTGTGTGTTGTGAAAATCGTACTTTTATTAGTTAGTTATTTTATCATCATTATTAGTTTAGTTATTTTATCCAATGTGAAGTTGTAAAAGGGTTATAAATATTTTTTTTAAATTAACAATTTTAACTTAATAATCGAAAATAAAGTGGACATGTTGTTAATTATTATGTTAATTAAGTTCCAATTATCTTTTATTACTCTTATTATAGCTTAAGAATAACAGACTACGTGCATAACGCTTCTGCACACCGGCCACCCCTTCGACCACTTTGCAAGCAATACGGCATGGCTATAGTGTAATTGTGAAAAAAAATTTAATTTTTTTTTCTGGTTTACTAACACTTTTTAGAGTGACTATAATATTTTTATTTTAATAAATAACAAAAAAATATAATGTTCTCTAAATATTTCACATTACATGTTTGCGCGATTTCTCTTACTCTCGGCCGTCAAGTCACTGTATTGCGATTTTGCGCGGCAGCCGCGCGGCGCTGACAGTCACTATGCTTTTACTCTCTCAGTGTATATCTCGAGAGTTCGAGTCGAGACTCTTATAGAGGCAGAGTAGCAGCATAGTGCACTGCACACTTAGTTTTTTCACATGCCACGCTGGACAAGCGCACCATCACAAGCCATATAGCTGCAGTGAATGTTGGTGCAGCGTTGGGCAAGCATGGTAAAAGTGTCTAATTCCTGTATCATCGATGCATCATCGTTATAAAGTGTTTATTAAATCATAAACTGTTGACATCGAAAGTCAAAGGAACAAGCTTTAGATACGACGCGTCTTAAAACGCTAAAATAAACTTACTTGTGCTGAACTGATACCCAACCCTTTTTAGGTTAATCATTCCAGTTTTCAGTTTTTTACCGGTGTAATGGGTTTTAGTTGCTTGTAAAGTGTTCATTTGTGTTACCGACAAAAGCTTCTTGCTTCATAAGAATAACTCAGCTTATTTAGTTGATAAATACAGCGGAAAATTGTAAGAATAAAATACTATACTACTACTAGAAACAAACCAAATCACTAAATGTACTCTAATTGATGCTCTTTTATTTTCAGACATTTCCACATTTTGTTTACTAATAAATTCGTTTGCGAAAACATTCAAAAATGCAGTTCGACCAAACAGTTATGAGTCTTCCGAACATGTCGGTACCACCGCCGACGGTGTTGAGTGCACCACCTCCGACTCCCGTTAATATTCCACCTCCTGCTTTACCCCAGATTCCTGGAACAGCATCTAACTATGTGCGTCATCCAGGTAAAGGGTTTTTTAAGTCTTTTAAACCATATCATGCACCAAAGATCGCTAGCAGTCAAGATGTTGTGCAAGATGAATTTGATGGTAAAAGGCTACGCAAATCAGTCATGAGAAAAACTGTAGATTATAACTCAGGAATAATCAAAGCCCTTGAGAATCGTGTTTGGCAACGTGATTATCGTGACAGGCAAGCTTTACAGCCAGATGTAATTTATACACCTGACTTACTTCCTCCACCAAGCTATATGGATAATCCTATTAACTGCGTTACAACGAAATTTGTCAAGACAGCTACAAATAAAATGAGGTGTCCAATTTTTTCAATGGCTTGGACTCCAGAAGGGAGACGTCTTGTGACTGGTGCATCAAGTGGAGAATTTACATTATGGAATGGCTTAACCTATAATTTTGAAACTATATTGCAAGCTCACGATAGTCCTGTTAGGACAATGGTATGGTCTCACAGCGAAAGTTGGATGGTAACTGGCGATCATGCTGGATTTGTCAAGTATTGGCAAAGTAATATGAACAATGTAAAAATGTTCCAAGCACATAAAGAAGCTATACGTGGATTGAGTTTTAGTCCATCAGATAGTAAACTAGCAACATGTAGTGATGATGGTACTGTAAGAATTTGGGACTTTCTACGCTGTCAAGAAGAACGTATATTACGTGGACACGGTGCCGATGTAAAGTGCGTAGATTGGCATCCACAAAAATCCTTAGTGGTTTCAGGAAGTAAAGATAATCAACAACCAGTCAAATTATGGGATCCAAAAACAAGTAAATCATTGGCTACTCTTCATGCACATAAATCAACTGTTATGGATATTAAATGGAATGAAAATGGGAATTGGTTCATAACAGCTTCTCGAGATCATCTTTTGAAACTATTTGATATAAGAAATCTTAGTTCAGAAATTCAAACATTTCGAGGACATAAAAAAGAAGTTTCTTGTGTGGCTTGGCATCCTTATCATGAAGGTTTATTTTGTAGTGGTGGAAGTGATGGAGATATTCTCTTTTGGCATGTTGGAACTGATAAGGAAGTTGGTGCTATTGAACAAGCTCATGATAGTATTGTATGGACATTAGCTTGGCATCCACTTGGACATATTCTTTGCTCTGGCAGTAATGATCATACATCAAAATTTTGGACACGCAATAGACCTGGAGATACAATGCGAGATAAATATAATCTCAACATACTTCCTGCAGGTGCAGAAGGAGTAGATGACCAAGAAACAGCTGATAAAAACTTGATCATACCAGGAATGGGTCCTGAAGATAGAATTGTTATTGAAGAAGATGTTGAAAAAGATAAAGAAAACATACCTGGCCTTGATCTTGAAAATGTTACTGATGACAGTAAAAAGAATGTTACCAAAAAAGTTCCTTATAGTAAGCCTATACCTCGAAACTTCCAAGCGCAATGGAATGAAGCTGAAGCAGATGATGTTGAACAAGCAGAAGCTTTAAATACAATTGTTAATCAAATTATTGAAACAACACCTGGTGCTGTTCCTCTGAACGAAGTGACTCCAAATGCTATAATATTGTATGGAAAAATGATTCCTGTGGAAGCAGGATCGAAACTTGCTGAAGCTATTACTCAAGGTACTGAAGCCATTAATAAACTTGTTTTGTCTGGAGAAATAGAAGAACTTCGGAATGTAGTGAATGTTGAACAAGATATTGAAGAAAGTGAAGATTATTTACGAGATGAAGGTGATGTAGATTATTCTAAGGTTCCCGATGTAGAACTTCCTCCTCCGTTGGCAAGTTCAAAGTTTGCTCAAAATCCTGAACTGCTTAATGCTTTAAACAGAGGAGGTAAACGAAAATTTGAGCAATTGATTAGTGCACAAGATAGTAATTCAAATGACAAGTCTAGCATGAGTCAATCAGGTTTTAACCGTATTGAGGATGCTAGGATAAATGATGTGGCTCCAAGTTATTTTACTACAGAATCTTCAGTTAAATCTCACTTTGATGATCAAAATAAACAATATTCTGGCCCTGATAGTATGCCAGGATATAGTAATTTCAGTGCTTCTTCCTCAAGCTTCAATAACAGTCTAAATAATCCCTTGAACCAAAAATATCTTGGTAGCAATAAAATAAAAACAGAGAACAACATGCATGAATCTTTTGATTATAAGCACATGCCACCACGAGGCCCTAACTCATTTTTCAATAGTAATTCAGATGAAATTAATTCACACAATATGCCAAGAGGTAATTGGTCATCATTTCCACCTCCACCTCCAAATATGCCAATGGGTATACCACCACAGAACCAAAATCAAATGAGATACCCTCCACACAACAACTTTCAAAATAATCCTAATATGCGTCACATGGGAAATAATTCAAATCATCAATCTCATGGAAACTTTTCTTCTCCTCCACCACCCTTTTTTAGGGGCCAAAACCGTAATGAAAATAATTATAATCGACTACCTAATTTCGGAAACCAAAATCAAAATCAAAATTCATTCAATAGAAATGAATTTAAAAGAGTCAGAAGATAAAAATGCATATTTAATATATGCTTAAAATTTGATGTAAAAAAATGTATACATAAAAATTCCTTAACTAATAATAACAATAGTTATACTCATAATGAATTGAATTAAATTGTGATATTAATGTATGCTTTATAAACGTTTATTATAATGGACAGTTACTGCCATGTAAATTTTGTGCATAACTGTGTGAAAGAAATAAATACAAACATTTATTTTTTAACAAAGTAAATGTTTTGATGACTACAAAACATCATGCAGAATCATGAACATTTTTTATATTTATTTCAAAGTATTTAATACTTGCTAATGTATTAAATACTTGCTGATACTTAAGATTATTTATGCATAATTTTATATAAATATATTATACATTAAAAATATAATTACATACATATATGTGTTATAGATATATGTTTATTGTCTACACTAACATCAGGCAGTATTGATTTTACTTATAAAAGTTGTTCATATTAATTAAGTTTGTCATTAAAAACTATATACTCTGTATATAATTCATGTAATGTATATTTGTATATATAGAATTAAATATTCACATCGTGTAGAGCATTGAATAAATTGTCAAAAGTGAAAAAAAAATTACTTATAGTTTTCTTTTTTTTTTTTAATAAAAACTCAAAACTTTTCTCCTAGAGGCTTGATCGTTAATTCCGTAATTTGAACATGAGGCGGGGTACTTAAAACATAAACAATGCTGTCAGCTACATCTTCACTACTCAGAGACACTTGTTTTGTAGCTAATAGATCTTTCACTTCTTGGGTCATCCCCGAAGAATTTTTTTCTGGTATGATCTCTGTTGAAGTGTAGCCTGGACTTAGATTCTGTGAAGAGAATAGTTTATTTTTAATACTCCGTAGGTTGAAAATGGTTTCTCTGACCTGAAGTAAAGTTCAGAATAATTTAAAATTAGTTGTTGTAAACGTACTGTTATGCGAATCTTGTTCCCTTCATTGTTTAATTCATTAATCAAAGTTTCTGAAAAAGCCGTAATAGCATGTTTTGTTGCTGAATACACGTTAACATGTATGTCGCCTCCACCAAACCAGAACGGATGAGGAACTTTACGTCCTGCAATACTAAATTAATTTTTTTTTTAAGTAATAAATATTCTCTCACGACTGATTAATAAAAATTAATTAATCATAAAAATACATTGTTTGTACGTATTTGTGTAAACGTTTAATTGTATTTTGATGCTCGCCACGAAGAGTAACACTTCTCATTTTAACTCAATTCGTAAACGTGCAAGTCTTCGTCGGAAATTTCGATTTCCTTATAACATTCAATTTTCATCTTATAATTATATTTCCGATGGAAATTAAAATTGCTTAAAATTTTATAAGTTTTCAAAAAATTTTAAAACTGTTATATGAGGTCAAAATATGACTTTTTAATCGAGTTTTATATGAATAAGTTTATAATACTTTTTAAACTCTTATAACAGTTTATGAAAGTAATGAAAGATTAATATATAATTTCAATTTCCCTAGGAGCTAAAAAACATATTATAATCTTTATGTCATTCGTCAAGGATTATTTTTCTTACCTGTTAATATTGACCACATGAGCCACGTCACCGTGTTTTTTCATCAACGCAATTCCATGTTTGGAACAATACAAAACTCCGAACACGTTGACATTGATTATATGTTCTAATTCGCTCATTTCTGCTTCTACATGAAACGATTTAAATGTCAGTTTAAGTGTATATTTTGCAAGTAATCTGAAACAGAAACTATGCACTTACGTTGAACGCTCTTTAGAGTCACAGTGCCAGCATTATTTATCAGTACATGTAATGCACCAAAATTCTCTTCGACATATTTGAATGCTTCAATCACGTCACTTTCTTTTGTCACATCGCAAGCTTTAGCGTGAAATTGATCCCGCCTCGGATTATCTTTCATTTCGTCCTGTGAAATTGGAGAATTTTGAAAAAATGTTAGCTCAATTGCATGGTTATCGATCAAGTTGGCATTGAGAAAAGGATAAAGTATCTGAATTATCTTGAGCTACATCGAAAGTAAAAAATGTTTGCATCTAGTTCATTTCGCGAATAAAATTCTCTCATTCGTAAAATTTTGAAACTACACAGTAAGTATTTTTTTTAATGAACTATTCAAAGAGCTTCATCATGTCCTGTTATGAATTGTAAAAAAAATTCAACAAACTATCATTTTTTCGAGTCTACGAGCGAGACCGACTACGATAAGACCTTCGTTGAGAAGGGCTTTCGCAGTAGCCAAGCCTATTCCCGATGATGCACCGGTCACAACCGCTACTTTTCCTCTCCATCGATTCATTATTGCACTTGTTACGGCGAACTCTGACTGACTGACACTGCAGCGCAGTTGTTTTACTCGACGATTAGCAATCAACTATATCGTTATGTCAGCGTTCGTGCACCGGCACTCCCAAGCACTTGTTGGGATCTACAAGTTGTTATTGCGCGTTCCGTAATATCGAAAAAGACTCGATTACGAAGCTGTTTATCTTTTCAAAATGTTTTCTGAACGTAACGTATTGATTAGTATGCGTTAGGTAGGCTAATATTTAGAGTTACTTTTATAACATTTATTCAATTTTGATATCTCATAGTACCAAATTAAATTGAATTTACTGGTAAACGTATAGATCAGCGGTACAGATAAAGTACACGTGTACATTGCACACGATATTACAGAATATGAAATTATTTTGTATTTATCGGACCACATTTATAATATCCATTTGAAAATCAGTGATGTAACTAGAATTAAGGAAAAAAGTGCTTATCTCAATTTTAAATAAGATAAAAAGAAAAAGTCATAATATAAAATTCAATATTTATTAAAAGGTATTGTTAGTCTCATTATTTATCTATATTGTACATAAAAAAATATTGAGTTTAGAATTTTCTAATTCCCACTATCTGTTGTTTAATATACAATATCGATACAATATTTTATTAAAACTACTAATATTTCCACTTTCATTTTATCGATCAAAAAATATTTATATGGTTATTTGCGTGACTGCAACTCTATGTGGCGTTCCAATAATGTAGACAACTGCTTCTGTTATATCTTCTGGAACCAAAAGAAACCCAGACGAATTCTCCGTCATTGCTGTGTCAACCAGCCCTGGACTCAAATTCTATAAAAATATGATATTTATTCTGAAATATAGGGAAACGTAATGGAAAATATGCTCGTAACATTCAGAGATATCGCAGATAGATCTCAATTTTCATGTCTTTTATACATTCTACGTATAAAAGTGATAGAAAATTGATGTATTTTGCACATCTTACTCTTAAAAAGTCCGAATGGTGTTGACAAAATTGGTATTTCTATTGGGGTGTCGAAATATTCAAATGATGGAACTAAAAGTAGCCATGATTAATCTGCGTAACGTCGTAATGATAATATGCGAATCTTCATTAATTGTCTTTATCAAATTAATAGCTTGTTTGATGCAGTACAACGCATCCAATAAGTTGAAAGTTACAGTGTTTCGTAAATCTTCGCTCGAAGCGCCTAAGAAATGACAATTGTAGTTATATTACATTATTAATCATTATTTTTCAATATACAAAACATACCTTCGATTGAGTTATTCGTGCCTGCATTATTAATTAAAATGTGAACTGTACCGAGGGTATTTTTTATAAATTCAAAAGCATATTCTCATACTTTTATTATCACGAACGTCGCTCTTGACATCCTTCATTTCTATTTTAAAAAGTCAACAAGTAACACCTAATCAGGATTTTAATTACAAATTCAATGGCTACTTATTTACCTCCATTAGTTCTTTTCTTCGCGCGAGTTCGACAACGATCATGTATGGACCATGTTTCAAAAATGTATTAAAACTTAAAAGTAAATGCATAGTAGGTTAAAAAAAAAAATTAAAAAAGTATGATGTTAAGATTGACGAAGAATTACTCATTCAAAATTATATTAAAGTGAGTTTTATAAACATAATTATTTTGAACGCTTTGAACTCGATTGAAACGGTACAAGCTTGTAAAGTCTTATTTATTATTTTATTTTGTATTGTGCGCCTTAAAACTTTGTGGAAGTTTTTAAATTTAATTATTTTATCATAGTCAAGTTTTTGTGAAAAATTTGGTTGTTGAAGTAGTAGGAGTCAGACAGTCATACTTATTTTAAAATAAACTTGTTCAAAAATATCACTTAAACCCGTTGTATTTGTTCGATCTTTTGATCACAATTTTTTATAATTTTATTATTGAAACAGTAAAGAATTAGCATTTAAAAATGTGTACTTTTATCTTCGAATATGATTGTAGACTGTACATTTATTAAAGATTCAGAAAAGTTAAGTGTATCTTTGATTAGATTACTGATCACGTTTAACATATTCATCAAGTTTGAACTAAAAATTTAAGTGACTGTGTTGTGATTTTTGAAGAATGGTATTCAAGTAATTGTTACGTCTGTGTTTGCACCGTAAAAACTTATGATTCTAATTGAGTTATCGAAACCAGAGCAGTAATGTAAGATAAAGATAATCGAATAATCTATAATAAAAGAAAAAATATTAAAATCGGGGGAAGAAATACTTGATACCATTGTGATAGCTACCGTTTCAGTTGTTTCGGAGTTTAAGTATGTGCCAGGTGCAATTTCCATGCAAGAAATTTTAGAGGCCCTTATCATCATCATTTGCAGCATTTTTCTGGTTTTTGTCGAGTATCTGTACCATTCAGTACAGTAACTTTATCATTCATTTATTATTTTTTGAAACATGAAAAGTTCAATTTCAAAGTAATTTAAACATAACTTGAAAGCCATCGAAAAGTAGCACGACAATTATCGATATGTGTTTAATCTTACCATAAGTCATGTATGTCGTTACTTGCATTAGCTATTTTCTGAGAGGGGTAACTTGCCACAAATAAAAACTCCATACACAAAATATAAACGCAAATCATCATGATAACAAAATTTATATCTTGTTCGTGTTGAGTTATTATCTAGAAGTAAAACTATCAAACATGTTTCATTTTTCAGATTTTATAGATGAATTTCAAATCGTACTAAACAACCAGAAACGCTGCTGCCGATGATTAAGTAAAATATTATAATAAAAATTAAATTGCTGCATAAATTATTCATCATTTCAACGTGGCTGAAAAAAAAGTAATATTAAAATATCAAAATAACTTTAGGAAACTTATCAACTCAACTGAAGACAATATTGATGTTCTTGAACAAACTTGCAGATACAGTAGTAAATAAAATCATGATCTTTTGGTTGTAGACAAGTTTTGGTTTCAAAGTACGCAGTAAAGTGCTGTATTTTAAATCTAATTGATCAAATAATTGGATTTAGTTGTATTGTGGATCAATTAATTTAATTTCAATTTATAATATTAAAAATTACCCCAAAAATCGGAATTTTCCTATGGCGAAATATATAAATGTTGCATATACACTTCCCAAACTTGAAAAAAATACTTGTATTATAAATGTAAACATTAATGACAGAATAAGGTGAAAATAGAAGTAATCATTATCATTGATAAATAATTCCATGTGCACAGAAAGCTTTTTTTCACGTGTATGGTTTCCCGGTAAAATCACATTTGCAGCGACAGGCCATAGAACCGGAAGGATAACGTACATAGAATAAGATCCACATATCAAACCTTCAAAATAATCAATTCCTATGTTTATAATAAATGTTCCATGATTTAATTTAATCATCAAACGCTACCTGTTAAAATAAGAGATATTGCATCAGACAGATTAATTTGATCCTTTAAAAAATGTCTTTCCTCAGTACTACAGTGCATCCAGTTTTTTATTGAAAGCTCCAACAAACTTTTTATCTTTGTATTTAAAATGATTAAAAATTTTTACGCGAGGAGTTAATTTTATATCCATATAATATAATCATTAAAATATAATTTTTATTCATTATTTTTACCGTCGAAGAGGCTTTTTTATTGAAAATAGTCCAGTACAAGGCAAACATACCAAAAGTCCCTGTGTATAATTGAATACATAATTCCGCCATTGTTTGAACCTTTAACTCATTTGCAGAATACTTTTTTACTGCATAAATTAGCTGCAAATATCAAAATAGTATGTAACAAGTTGAATTTTCACGATGATTTTAACGGTTTTGTGGAGTACTTCATATTTAAAAAAGTTACATACCGTAGATATGCAAAATGTAATACTCATAATAAGTATTATCAATGCTAATCCAAATTTCTTTACCCCAGTCCAGAAAGGCCATATAAAAGATATTTTCATGAAAAATACCATGAGGGGATAAATTTCAAGAGCATTTTTTTCAATATCCACCATTTTTAACTTTAATAATTATTTTGGTACCCTGCCACGTTTTTCAACTCAAGGTCAATATAGATTTTATTAAATGAATTCAAATCTATAGTAACATGCGTTTAGAACTTTGTTTAATGCAATATAACTACTAGAGCGTCACCTTTTCCGAAGAAACGTAAAGTTTCAATGACGACAATGTAGTGAAAGGCCTCACGATCTTAATAATACAAGTATAAATAAGAAATCCTATATTTTAATTATAAAACAACAGAGGGGAATTATTTATACTTGACTTATAGTTTAAATATAACAGTTTAGAATTTAATTATATATAACAGAATAAAATGATTTAAACATCATTTTATTATGCTGAATTCACCCTCTAATGATTATAATATGGCATGCTTCCTTTATATCTTTGTTGAAATTGAATTAATTTAAGAAAAAAACTTTTTGATCCATAACTTTTTTATAAGTAGATCAAGTGTGCTTTACTAATAATCTGTGACTGTACTAAGCCTACTGTTTCACGCGTTCCTTGATGACGATATGTTGAAACGTATGCAAAACCAATTCTTTCAATTCTCCAGAATTTCAATTCAATTTGTCTGGCTCTCAACCAGTTCTTTTTGTTAAATCATAATCAAATGGCTCGGATAATTGAACAGTAGAAAATACGACTCGTTTGAAGTTTTCCAAGAACTTTGGCTTTTAATGCTAGTATCTTTTAATTAGGGAAGAATGAAAATTTCATGATATTCATTTTATACAAAAAGTGAAATTTATTTGACAGTAATCAAAACCGTTACATCGAGAGCAAGGGAACTTAAAACTAATATTCTACAAACGCTATAAAAAACGTTTATCGGAAGAATTTACGATCTTATACAAATTCATTAAATTTTAAACTATAAGTACTATGACGAAATATTTACAAAATGTTTCAATACAAATTTAAGTCTAATTTTATCAAGTCATTTTTAAAAGCTCCAACATAACGCATTTACAAACTGAAATTATAAATTCATTTGCGTTACTGATGATAATTGGGTGCGAATAAACTTAAATACTTTAGAATGCGAATCTAGTTCGAATGTCTTCCAATCTTTTTGACACTTCGGCGGCTGTTCTTTCCAGATCGCCAGCGATACTTTTCTGTTTGGTTGGTTCGATACTGTTGAATTGTTCACAAAGATCACCATCAATGACACTTTTAACGGGATAATAGTACGAACGGAAACTTAGATGATCACGTCCACATAATGGTGGATGCTCTGATCGCATGTGCATTTCAAGATGTTGAAAAAAGTCGTGATCTTCATGATTCGTGAACGGTACTAAAACGCCGACAGTACCGCTGAGAGTTGTGTAAACCAATGATTCACTGCCTCCTGGTATAAGCGTAGCTTTTTGAAGTGACATAACGGTTTCTCCAACGTGGAAACATGCTACTGTATCAGCTTTTTGAGAAGCGCCATTCAGTAACCCTCGATCCCACAAAGCTTTATTGCCAGTAGGATCTTCGTCAACATCATCGTTTACACCACTTGCCAATCGTATCTACAATTGAAAGAAAATGCATTAAATAATCTGGATGTACAAATTCTTATTGTATAATAATCATGTAAATTTACACATGTATGTTTAATAACGACTTTAACAAGCTATTAGATTGCTAGCTAAAGATGGGATTGAAAAAACACTTCGATTTATGCGCTATTACATCCATAAGCCTATTGTGGAAACTTACAGAGAACAAAGCGCAATAAAATAATTATTGCATATCTAACTTACCACGGCTATATTTCCGAATTTATCCGCTGTTGCTACGGTATCGTAATCCAAAATACAAGTAGTTGTTATCCATCTGGGTAATGTATCATCCGCAAAAACAATCAGTTGATTTTCTTGCCTCTTATATCTTACAGCGTAAACAGATTCCTGAACATCGCTTACGTAAATGCGTTGTCCAATAGCAACGATCGATACTACTGCGTTAGGAATATGCTTGTTTTCACATTTACGAAGCAATTTTTTCTTGCCCATGTCGTAAAGGCGAAGCATTTTACCAACGCCAACTAAAACTCGTCCTTGATAGGCACAAACAGCTAGAGGAATTTCATCAAGTGGCGTTTCATGTATCAGTTCAATGCTAGTGCAGTCGCTATTAACTCTGAAAATCAAATGTAACAATTTAATTAATTTTATGTTCATGACTTATTAAATGATAAAATTAGAAAGAAATCTTAAATCAGTACTGCAGGATTTCATCAAATAGTTGCAGGTAGTGTGTGTAAGTCATCATATCAGATTAATTCAAGAAAATAATTGATACTTCTAAATTTTTCGAATGTATTTACCTGTATGTATGAAGGTATCCACCGTTACTTATCCTAGGATTAAGCTGAAATTCTTTGGCAACGCCAACCACAAGAAATTGTTGGTCTCCTTGATTGGAGAATTTTACAAAAGCCAAACTAAAAAAAGATAAATTCGTTTAGTTTGTGATATTTTAAATCAAACTTTTAGTTTTTTTTGCATTCATTTTTACATTTCATTAAAAGATTTGTATGCCCTTTTACGACTTTAACGAGCAATAGATGCAAGGTAAAGATGGGATATAAGGGCAATTTAATATTCGCGTTTGTGCAACCCACAAGCTACAAGTGTTCTTGCGGAGAACAAAACGCGCAGTTCTATATAAATAAGCGTTCAAAGCTCTTACCATAACGCAGCAAGATTTTGTTTAAGTCTTAAAACTTGATAGGTAACACCAGTTGTTGGTGCCATAATTCTTATCATCGAAGCCCACAAACCAGGTCCAGCCCTCGGTGCACCAAATATTTGTTCATTGGGTTCTTCTGTAAGAAAAGCTTCAGCTAATTCTCTGGCGACCGCGGCTTCATCTGCACCTGCAGCTTCTTTCATTTCTTCAGCCATTTGAAGTCGACGTTGTTGTTTCGTTTCTTCTGTGTAAGCGTTGTGCTCTGTTTCGAGCAAAACAATGTGTGTTGATTCATGAATTACAAACTTCCTTGGAGTGTATTCCAAAGGGAAACTGACTTGATTGAAAACCGCACCGAGTTTTTCTAGAGCCAAAATCCTGAAAAATCATAGTATATTTAAGATGGATTCTTGGGTTAATTAGATATACAAGCCGTAATGAAATCATCAACTCACCTCAAAGTGTTGGTTGAAATAGCTACTATACCCTCCGGACATTGCTCGGAACTAAAGCCTGATGCAAATTCCAGACTCTCATAAGAGAGTGGCGTAAGGTGAAAACGATTTTGGTAGTAGTAACTGAGCCACGAACGACTGCTCATCGCAAGCACGGCTTGATTACCTTGCATTTTAATACGGAAAAGTTTGACTGGTCGTGAGCCCAAATAACGAGTACGTGTGTCAGACAAATCTCCTGAAATCGGGTCTAACACCGTTCGTAGCAATACACCGTTTTGCAAACCTAGAAAAAATGAAGTCAAGACGATTAATATGACTTGCAATAATTCTAATAACTCATTTAATTATTAATCAAAGTGTCATAATCAATAGAGTTTTAATCAAAATATATCAGTTGAAACACGGACATTGATAAAAATAATCATATAATAAATCATTAGTTTAAAATGTTACATTGATGATAAAACATCACTCACCGATATTTAAATGAAGAGCAGGTTGAACATTACTAGATGGTTCATCTTCGTCTTTTTCTTTAATTCCCATTTCAACAATACACAAACTTTCAGCGGCAGCTGGTAAAGCTTGCATACTACGTGGAGCAAGACAATCTGATGGGTCCAGAGAGATTATGCGTACAGTGTTGTCTTGTAAACCAACAGCAAGGAACCAGGACCGCTGCTCACCAGCAGCGACATTGCCCAATGCCATGCACATCACTTCTGATGGCATCTTTTTACGTTCAGTATACTCATTTAACTGACCCGTCTAAAATTAGAAATCAAAGTTTATATAATGCTGGTATTGAAGCAATTATAGTATTTTTGAGTAGAATAATTGTAAAACTTACTGGGTCCATTTCGAAGTAAACAAGTTCTCCACCAGTTAAAGCAATAACGACTTGACGTTGATTAACAGCACATTTGATAATGGTTTTTTTACCGGGTGCTTTCCACTCGTTAACACGTTTGTCTGCACGAATATGACGAATTCCATCAGGATAGACCTTGTGGTACAAGAATATTTATTAATTTCATTCATAAGAATAAAAATAGAAGAAAAGGTTTAAATTTCAATACAAAATTGTCTGAGCTAGAATACCAGGTGGGCTTAATAAGGTTCAAGCACACCAACGATGCGAAGCTTCAAATTTTCTCTTGCACTAATTTGCGACCGATACGTGGGGTGAGTCCAGGTATTGGAGATACCGCAGTGCTTGATTTATTGTAATTGTGTTGAACAAGTTATATTTACCTGAACAAGAGCATCATCTCCTAAAGCTGAACAACTAAGAGTTGGTGTAGTACCAAGAAAACCAGAATCTGTTACTTCTTCGACTGTTTCACCGATACTTAATACAAGAGTGGCATTCACAAAAGACACTATAATGTAAGCGTCGTATTCCTCTGTAACATAAAAAATCGATTACTTAGTTAGTTTTATCAATAAAAATTAATTTTACAGAGGATAATCTTCATTTTGTAGAACATGTAATAAGAAAAATTCAAGCTTTGAAGTGAAATATAATTAAAAAATTTCATTTGCTGCCAATAATATGCCAATATGTTTTCAAATTTGAATTCAGTCAATTTGTAGATGATGTCCTGCCATTCTCAATACGTGCTTGATCTTCTCTTACCTTCAATTTCAACTACAGCCAGGTATCAAATGAGTCATCACGTGTTGATCATGGTCTGAAAGGAGAGAACTGGTGTTTGAAAAGAGAGTATCAAACCACCAGCTGGCTATTATCTATGTTTCAAGTTTTTGTTTGTAACTCTGAGCAGAAAAAATTATTTTTCTTTCACGGTTTCAATTTAAATACGACTTTTAATTTGTTCTTTACAGAGTTGACTAGTATTAGATTTGATAACATTAATAAATAATTATTTTTAGAAAGAAAATAATTTTTTTTAAATTGGCAATCTAATGTTCAAAAGCGAAAAACTTATTAAAAACAAAATAGAGCATGAATAAACTATGATTTGGTAAAAACTAACCGTCTATACGTCTTTTAACAGTCCACACAGCATTTGGATTACCAGGAAGTTCACTCACAGCCATCTCAGAAACTTCAAGACCATGGCGCAGTACTCTAAGAGTTGACCGTGGTCCTCTGCCACATGCCATGTATAGTTGTGGTGTATCTTCATTGGCCAAATCAGCGACCTATTAGTTGAAAAAGTAATGATTAGATTCATAACTCACTTTTTTTTGGAGATCAATTATAACTATTGACAATTGATTCAATTTTTATCATTCAAATAAATGTCATTCTTTGGTTCACTTCGACACTGCAAATACAGGTCAAAGGCGACAAAGATTATTTAATCTAGCACTCGTCACAGAGAAAAGACTTGATGTTTCATCTTTTCTCTACTTGTGAGTGCCAATGTAAATAAAATTTTTGTTAACTTACATGACAGTTCATTATTGGTGAAAGACTGTCCAATTCATCAACAAGCACCAAATTTCTCAACGGTCTTGGTGCAAAAAAGAAAGTATCACCTTCCTCTAAAGGCATAGCTGAACTGAATTCTGGTTCATCATCATCATCACCCAAATGTGCGATTTGGTACAAATAACTAGAGTAAAAAAATTGAAGTGAAATTCAAGTATTGAATCTAACAAACTATTATAATTATAATAATGAAGATATCTTACTGGTTGCCGAATTCTGAAGCAACAAAAAGGAAACCTGTTTTCAGTACACACATACTGGTAGCTACTGGCACAGTATCAAAATATTTCAGTTTGATTTCAGTGACAACATCTTCATCAGTTTCAAGTGTAATTTTGAAAATGTCTCCTTGTTCAGTTTGTGCCAGGAAGAAAAACATGCTCTTGGTTTTATGTGTTGCTGAACAAACAAAAATCATGCCTCTTTCAGGATCATCAAGATCGTTACGACGTCGTGGAATGGGACATCGAATATCTGGTTGATCCCCCAAATTCTTGTATGTAAGATAATTTTCAGAGCAAACCAGTACGCCACTAGGGCCATCATTTCCACCAGGTACAGATACCAAAAAATTAGCATGCTGAAAGTAATCAGACAATTGGAAAATATCAGTATAAATATTTAAAAGATAATAAACCACTTATTTCACAGGTGATGCAAGATTTTTTATCAAAACCTACTTCATTTCAACAAAAATAATTACCTCTTCTAATGGTTCACTGTACTTCCTGACAACGTGATTCAAACCCAAGTCTAATTCATAAAAAGTCAAGGTTTGCTGAGTTCTCACAGCAGCTTCACCAGTAGGATCAGCATCTGCTTCTTCATAGTCAATTTCTAAGCAAGCAAACATAGGATTTTCAAAACCCACATCAACACCAACTAAGTGATAGACAAGAGTATTGCTTTTGTGAGCCTCTAGAGGCGACGAAATTGTGAGTCGTGCTTCAGGATCTCTATTTAGAATATAGACTAGTTTTTGTTTTTCAATGGCCCCTGTAAAAATTGGAACATGATTAGTTTATTTGAATAATTGCAAGTAATATAAACGTATTTATAATTTATGAAATCATTATCAGAGGTTTTTAATCAAAAAATATCAGGTGAAACACGGACTGATACTATAATCATTTGTTTTATTGCACAACATAATTTTTTATAGTTAAATAAAAGATGGTCTTACCAATCATAACTGCACGCCCTTTGGGGTCGATGGCTAAATACTGTCCAGGAACAATTCTCCTGCATCCACTTTTACCAAAAGTTTCTTGGTGAACTTTTTCAAAAATATTTTTAGCAGGGATATATTCAAGAATAACTATTCTCCCCGAGTCTGAGCCTACAACAATGTAGTCTTTGATACCTCCAGTTAACCTAAAGCCCATAAGTGACCTTATGACTCCAAATACTTCTACGGTTAACAAAGTATGAACTTTGCCAGTATTTGGATCAGGTCTCAAGAGCTCGAGCGATTTGCCTCTTGAGACCAAAATCTCTTGCATTTTAGAACCGGAGAAATTGCCGTGGACAGCATGGGTAATGCCCGTGGCACGTTGGAGAGTCAAGTTGTATAAATACATCTTGATGGTTTCGTTCAAAAAATGACGATATTCTTAATATTTCAATTTTAAGGAATGTCTGAATGCGCTGGAAAAAAGGATAAATGATTATTAGATTAAAAGACATTAGGTAATGATAATTGAGTGATGCCGGTGCGAAAGTTAGGGAACGGTTAGAGCTATGAAAGTATTCACATTCATTCCGGTAATAAAAATTATATGAAATATCAATTATACCGAGCGCATATATTTATTTTACCAGTTAATACTATATATTATATGTGAAAGTGGAAATAGTCGTTGAAAAAAGTCTAACCTATAAAAGGTCGCGGTCGTTTCCGGGCTCGAAATACCTCGACGCGACAAGTATGCAATAAAACGAGAAAATAATTGAACGAACACGCGTGCAAGTAATTATTTAATGCAATTTACCTTTTGTTCAAGACGGCATCATAGATCGCCTCGTCGATACTCGCGGATTCGCACGAGGCGTCTTTTTATCGCCGGTACACGGCGATGATACGTTGGCGCTGGCCAGACATTGGCAAGCCGGCGAGAGCGTAGCGAAAATGGCGCACGACACAGCAGCAGCAGAGTGTAAAGTGGCCTGCCACCTCGACTCTACGTAGCTGCGGACGTGCATCGTCACTGCTTTGGCGCTAGTTGCTCTCTGCTGCGGTCTGCCGAAGCCAAGTGTGTTCCTTGCTGCTCGACTGGTACACCGAAATTGAGAGAGATGAGCCTGGCCGCTCGAATATTATATAGATGCAGTCCCCGGAGCCGTATAACTCGTGGCTTGTGTGCGTGCGTTTGTAGGAAACGGAAGCAACGATTCTCAATAATACGCAGATGGCGTAATTCTTTTTTTGAGGCAAATACGAAACTTTTTTAAGACTCTTGCTCGAAAGATCTCTAGTTAGACCTGCTACTACTTTGCTGTTTACACATTTGTTTTCACAAAAATTATTTCGAACAAACTTCATCGAATGCTCAATTTTTTTTTCGATGTCATAGTAAAAATTATTTTTCTAATTCTTAGATGTTCGATTCGACATCGAGAAATAAAAAAACAGTTTTCGAGTGTTTGTCTCTGAGTATCAAATTTTATAAAAATATTAAACTAACATGGACAAGTTGCATGTTAATAATGAGTCAAATTTCAAAAATTAAAAGAAAACCTCAATACATTACAAAAATGTTAACTTGTAAACATCGAGGTCCCTTTTGAAGTGTACAAATTCAAAAGAGCAATTATCAAAAGAGGTAATTAATTTTAAATCAACTAAACTTTTCTTCGTTACCCTTAACGATTATTTAGGTGATCGCATATTCACCAGCTTATATGAAATTATTTCATATGCGTTTTTAAAAATTTAAGAAATTTATATCATTCAGCACTAAGAATGAAGAGTGCTTTGTCACTCGTTTACGAACTTTACAATCGAAATGTATTGAATTTGCGTTGTAGCTTTAATTTTTTCCTGATAGCAGCTGCGCTTTTTTTCGGCTTCTTCTTGTTCAGACACGTCGGTGTTTGTGCGGGAGGCATCACTAGTGCCAGAAGACGATTGCGCCGGCGAACATAGCCCATGACTTTTTTCCGAAGATGCAGAGACGATTTGCAAACGGATAGCCAATTTTTGCAGACCAGAGCCGAGTTGAGGAGCGAGCCAGCGTCTAGTTTGGACAGGATGATCACGGAAACCTCGAGGGGCAACTCGTGAATGAAGTCGACGCCAGGATGACGGGCTCCGAGCAGGCTCATCAGTCGTTTAAAAATATCCATAGCTTAGATTTTTTACTCGCGATATCGATTTATTCTTTTTTATGTTTATTTTTTTATTTTTATGTTAAAAATGTTTGATCTCTGCTTTCCTTAAACGATAAACGTTTTTCATGTAATGTGATAAAAATGCGTACTTTGACATTTTTTGGGTATTAAATAATCGAATTTACGATACCCAATGTTATCAAATAAATCCTCAAAAATATTCGGAACTTTAATTTTCATTCGTGACCGTCAGTTAAAAAAAGTACATTACAATTGCATAATATAAATAAAATATGTATGACTAAGACAGCTTTGGTGCAGCGCGTACCTGCTATCAGACTATTTACTATTCAATAACACATGAATATAAGTTTTTATTATCGAGACTCACATCTAACTGTATCGAAAGCTTTGGAGTCTGTCGTTCACTTTCCTTTATTATTCATACGTAGAAGAGTACATTTTGATTTTAAAAAAACACATGGCTCACTCGGCACTAGGTTATAATTATCGATCTATGTAATTTCGATATCGCGACTGTGCGTGTAAGCAGGACAATTGGTCCAGTGTACTACTGAATGGGTCAGAGAAATTTATTTGTTTACGTGTGCCCATAGATAGAATATGTCGATATTAGACGCGAATCAATGATCAAGCGTCATAATTTTGGCATTTTTCAGCTCGATCGGCAGCTTGACGTTCTTGAGCTCGGGCGAGGCCAAAAAGTCGTCGGGCCTGCAGCAGTACGTGTAGCCCTCGTAAAACTTGTCCAAGTGCGGATATCTGTCCCGGCAGGGCTGGTGCTCTCGGCAGAGCCTGTACTCGCTCGGCACGACCGCACCTTCCAAGTAGGGATTGTTGACGGTGACGAAGACCAGAGCCTCGTTTCTCGGCCGATCGTGGACGAGCTTGTAGAGGAGCTTGGGCACCGGCACCAGCTGCTTGGAGTCGTCGCGCTTGTCCCTGGCCAGGTAGACGCGCCGGCCGCTCAGCTGGATCACGCCCAGGCCGCCGATCCAGACGTCGAGGTCGGAGCCGGACTCGGAGGCGCGACGACGCACCAGCGACTCGACGCTCTTCCAGTTGCCGTTGTTGATGCTCTGCCACATGGGCAGCACGTTCAGGTAGAAGTATGTGCTCAGCTGCTCGGCCGGATAAAACAGGTCGGCTCGCGCGACCAGGTGACCTTTGACCAGGTAGTTTTTCTTGCCTGTAAAATTAAAAAAAAAAAAAATAGTTGCTCGTAGTAGAAGAAATTATATATAACAGCGAGGCATCGAACGCACCATCGGTCGGTAGATAACGATCGACCAAGCTCCGGTCGTTGTCGAATATCCGTAGAAACGTTTTCTGCTGGCTCGACTGCGGATAAACCTGAGTCATGAGAACGTTTTGAAAGTAGGCGCCTTTGCTGAAGGCAGGCGTCTTGAAGTCGTTGGCGAATCGACTGGCCCCGATGACGGCGGGGATCCTGGCGTGGGACCACAGCGTCGTGGCCAGATCCGCCGAGTAGCACAGATCGATGGTCTTGACGAAGAGGCTCGCGTTCAGCTGGTAGCCGAGGTTCACGACTCGTCCGCCTTGGCACTCGTGGCCGGCGTCGTCTTTGGCTAGGGGCTCGGGGCTCTTGGAGCAGCTGATCTGTTTGAAATTGCCGGGGTCCGATGATTTTTTGCCAAAGATCAGGCTCGAGTCGCTCCTGCACTGGATCGTGCCGCTCCTGGAGTCCGGGCTCGAGTTCGGCTTCAGCAGCTGTCCGCCCGAGCAGTACAGGAGGCGCTCCTGGCCACTCTTGAACGTCAAGAGCTTGGGCGTCTCTTTGTCGGGATAGGCGATGTTCAAGGTATTTTTATCGAGAATCAGGGGCGAAGTCGCGTTGATGTCTCTGGCTAGATCGATAGAGCATCTCGATGCAGCCTGATCGACAGCGTGTCCGAGAACGCGAGCTTTAATTTCAACACACAATACATCGAGTAGTAGCAAGGTAATTTATAGATAATAATAATGCATGGATGCTGTCAAAGTTATAATTTCATCGCTGACCAAATAATTTTTTCTCCAATCGTCGTAGTAGTTGCAAATTTTTTACCTAAAGCTATTTTTATTACAAAATTTACAAGCATCGATTTTTATGTACAAAGAATCAATGGGCCGATCACCATATCGCCATTTTACTGGCATGCGATTTGCGATCTTTACCTACGACGTACGAATACAAACGTCTGGATCGGACAATTTTTTGTTGAGATCGCGATAATATCCGGTCTGACAGAGCTCGCAATTGTTGCCCGATGTATTGTGCTGGCAGTTCTCGCAGACGCCGCCGCTGCCGGTTTTCTCGTAGAGCTGCGCGTCGAAGCGGCACTGCCTCGAGTGGCCGTTGCAGCGGCAGGCCTGGCAGGCGTTGGTCTTGGAGCCTTGGGCCCTCCTCCAGGGCGCGTCGCGATACTGACTCTTGCACTGCTCGCAGTACTTGCCGACGGTGTTGTGCTCGCAGATGCAGGTGCTGCCCACCATGTCGAGGTCCGTCTCGCTGCCGAGGCAGTGCGACGAGTGGCCGTGGCAGGAGCACAGGCCGCGCACGATCATCTCGCTGATCGCGTAGTAGGCTCCGTCCGGCCTCTTGGCGGCATCTAACTCGGCCGGGAATGCCGACAGATTGACGCGCAGATTCGTCATCTGCATGTGTGCGTAGGTCTCGTCGATGTTTCCGCCCTGAAGCGTCAGATCGGCTGGCAAGGCCCTGCAATTGCGATCATGCGTTTTTGTTTTTCATTTTTCATGATTACATTCTCTGTGAGATGAGTTTTGAGCGGCGATGCGTGAGGTTCGATAGTGGGCACCAACCGAAAAATGACTTCTCCGTTGGTCGCCGGCTCGAAATCCGAGTGTCGGGACTCGCAAATTGCGTCGGACAATTTCAGTCGCTCCCTCGGAGCTCCGGGGAAGGATTTTTCGCAGTCGCGAGCAAAGTACTGATAGGCCGTCCAAGTCTGGCCGAAGTCGTCGGACTTTTCGATCGACATGGCCGCGGGTCGACGACTCCGAAACCGAACGAACAGATAAGTGAACTCGAAGTGCGCCTCCAAATCCAGCCTTATCGTGACGTTCTCGACTCCGCTCGCCGATTGCCACCAGCGATTACGATGAGATCTAAAAAAATCAAACATCACAGCTGGATCATCGGCCTTGCGCGCGCACGTGGACCGCGTGGCTCAAAAAATCGACTCGTGCGGCCACGATCATCTGTGTAAGTGTCCGGATTTATTTATGTACCCGTCGCCGACGATATTGTCGATCTCGTGTTGGGTTCTCGAGCTCGATTTGTCGCATACGTGGCAATCCCTTCGTCCGCCAGGACCGTGAATGCAATAAGTTTCCGGTCCAGACTGGCCACAGGTCGATGAGGCGCTGAGCCGATCCTTCCTACCCACCAGCAGGTTGCCCGATCGTGGATGGCACGAGCCTTGTTCGCACACCTCGAAAAGTCCAGCTTCGTTCCATGTACAAAAATCGTATTAGCATTTTTTTGAAAATGCCTCGCTCAAATATTACACTTTTGCTCCATGCTAATTTTCATCTGATATTTTTCACTCGTTTGAGAGCGTAACATTTTTAATCTAATTTTGATCATTATTTACTTATTAATATTATTTTAACCAATTAAAATTCATAAGTATTTTAAAAACGTAACGTGAAGTATACAGCACATTTAAAACTTGATTGAAAAAAAGATTATTTGGTCGAAAATGAGCCTCTGTCCGAGTCTCACGAAGCACACACGCAATCATGAAAAAGTAAAAACTTTACTCACACGTCGGTCCGTAAAATTGAATCAAAACCGCTCCGAAGAGGCAAAAAAGCGCCGAATGCCGCATTTCAAAGCGTTAATACGATCTTGACGATCGCTCGAGCAACTGTATGCGTCAACTCGTGCGCTTATATTCCAACGATATATACGGTACCGACGACGATGCGCGCGCAAAGTCAAAGTTCATCTCTTGATAACTCGTTGGCGCGCGCCAATTCTTTAATGTGGCATAAAAGCGTCGTTGCGCTGCACTACTGCAACGGCAGATTTCGACCCGATACAGTGCACACACATACATTCGTATTATTGTTGCTGCTTTTTGCATACGTTAAAAATAATAGCAATGTGTTTTTGATTGCAGATAAAGAATTATCGTTCAGCTTAATATGGCACAATGATAACGAGCTCTTTAAGTATGTCGCTCGAAAATTGCTTTATTTTCATCTCGTGCTACTAAAACTAATATATTCATAATATAAATTTGAAAAAAAAAATACTATAATTCCGTCTTATAAAAAGTAACGAATATAAATATGTATATATATCACAGTTTCTAGTCAATGACACGACCTTGCTGCAGCCATTGGCACTTGGTCGCCTTCACATCCTGTAATAAAATAGCAAATGATATATAAATTCACTTAATCAACGCGTAAATAGTGTAGCTACTAATAATGATTGACGCACGACGCTGTAGTGTAACACGCGAGACGCGTTAGACGCGCTCACGCGAAGTGGACAAGTGGATGCTTACAAGAAGAAGCCGCGTCTGCAGGCCTGCGGGTGGGACATCTTCAGCAGGTGGTCCGGATAGTAGCCGTGCTTGCAGCGCTCGCAATTCTGTCCGGCCGTGTTGTGCTCGCAGGCGCAGCTGCCGCCGACCGTGTCCCAACTGCTGGCGTTCGTCATCGTCGTCGTCGTCGTCGTCGTCGTCGAGTCGTCGACGGGTAGACATTTGGACGCATGGCCGTTGCACGAGCAGACGCCCCGGATCGTCATGCTCTTGACGGCGTAGTACATTTTCTGCGGCTCGAGCCAGGTGCGCTGGAACTCGGTGAAATTGATCCGCAGATTGGTCAATCGGAGCTTCTGGAACAGCTCTTTCGAGCTGTTGCCGTTGATGCCCGTGCCCGTGGGTAGTACTCTGCCGATCGTCATCGTTTTTCAAACATAATATAATAAATTTGTGCGAAAGCGTACAGCGAATTAAAAAGCCAATGGTTTTGCTTGCTAAGTGAGCAATACGCTATCGTCGATGAATCGAACTTATCAATTGGACGTCGAACTTTGATGTACATAAACAATAAATATGGTGGCATACAATTGGGGGAGTGCGTTTAAATGAGACTGTGAGGTATTTACAGTACAGATGTACTTATACCTATTCTATTCAAACGCACGTCAATTCACGTTTATTGCCTATGTACATCAAAGTTGGAGGCCGAATAGCCGAAGCGTCGCTGTTGTTTGATGCTAAAAATACACAATCGTACTCTAGCTTAGAGCACACTCAAACGAACCGATATATGACTTCGCCGTTGCTGATTGGCTCTAGGCTGGAGTATTTCGATAGGCAGATAACGTCGGCCAGGCTCTTGCGTGGCCCCGTCGGAATTCCGGGGAACGATTGCGAGCAGTTGCGCGCAAAGTACTGATAAACCCGCCACGAGCGGCCAAAATTATCCGACTTCTCGATCAGCATCGCCGCCGGCCTCGGGCTGGCGAATCTCATGAAAAGCTGGCTCATCTCGAAATGCGACTCGAGCTCCAGCGTGATCGACACCTCCTCCACGCCGTTCTCCGACTGCCACCACAGATCTTTGTTCCTCCTGCGCTTGCACGCAATATTTCGCGATATAACGATTTCTCTATTCATAAAGATAATTTTGCATCACGTGTTACTCACCCATCCTTGTAATTGACGATGTTGCGTATAGTGTGATTGACGTCGGAGTCGCAGGTGTCGCAGACGTTGGAGCAGTCGTCGTCCTGGTCGCCGCGACTCTTGAAGCTGCAGTATCTCTCGGGCAGGAAGCGCGAGCCGCAGGTGGACGTGGCGCTCAACTGGTGTTCGCGTCCGATCAGCAGATCGCCCGAGCGCGGCCGGCAGGGCCCGAGCTCGCACGACTCGGAGAACGAAGCTTTTTTCGTCGATACATGCAAAGGCAAATCTCTTAATCGCCCCAAGTTAGTGTTTGGTATCGCATCTATCGTACGGATCAAGTCGAAACAAACAAAAAAATTGAAAAAATAAATGAGAAATCGGTAAAAGTCATTGTGGACTCACAGGTAACGAGGATAAGGAGCTGCAACTGCCCCAGTACGGAGAGCAATACGAGTCTCTTTGCTGTAGCGGCCATCGCGCTGGAGCGACTGCTGACACTTGCTGCAATTTTTTCGTGCCTATCCGCGTGCGCTTGTGCATCTATGCGATATCTGCACGATATGTGCGTGCAACGCGATGCTATCGATGCACACGATCTGTCTATTTTGCTTTGGGCTTATAGTTCAGCTTAACTTTACGATCCAGTTGGCAGCGAGCCGTCCGCGTTAGCGAGCGATCCGAATAGGATCAAGGCCAGAGTTCAGAGCGAGAGAGAAACACGAGCATATGCGTATACGCGATCTGTATCAAGGACAGTTGACGTGCAGCCCGAGCTGCGACATGGTTGTAAGCGCGATCTTGCTTATTATACATCGTATATCCGAGTGGCGCGTTAGTTGATTAGCGAGGTTCGCGTCACGAGAGCCCGACTGACAGGCTCGCCGTTGTCTCGTCAATTTTGATGTGAAACATCTTTAGCGGCGTTTAATGTGATGTCTTACTTGGAAAACTGGTCTTCCCTTATATTGTAATTGTTGATTTACAGGCTTATCTGCCCACTCTGTAAAATTGTATCTACTTTCTTTTGATTTTTTAATTAAAGGAAGGACTTCAGAACTTCCAAAGAGCCAAAAAGCTTCAATACGTGGATCAATATTTAGCATACTCCAAAAGGAGCACTGCGTGACCAAACAAGCGTATCGTGTGCTCCCGACTGCGGTGCTGCTGGTGCACTCGAAACAAAAGTGAGATTCACTATAAATAGTTGAGCTCCACGCGTGCTTATATTTCTAAACTTATTATTATTATTCGTAGACTTGATCAAAGTTGAATGTAGTATACTTTGTGTTTAAATTATTGATTATTTGTTTATAACTTTGAAGCAAGTATAGAACGTTTATTTGAGATCTCGCTCGTAAAGGACTTGAAGCATTTCTTCACCGATGGTAAGTGCCCATAGTAAATTTATATTATGCTATACGCGAATCTTGAAGTTGCAAAATATTGAATTGAATCACGAAATTTCTATACAATTTTGTGTCGAAGTCTATGAAAAAATATATTTTAACGACCATTTGATGCTTGGTATATTATTTGCTTGGTATACCACCTGCAGTTGCAGTAGAGAAAGGAGAGTTTTATTATATTATGCTAGAATATGTGCTGTAATTTTTGTAAAACTTAATAAAACGCTTTTCATTTGAAAATATCATTTTAATTGATAATTACCTAACTACATTATTCGTAGAGTTAAAAAATAAAGATACTTATTTATTAACAAATTTATACAGTATGTACCCAAGTTTATATTTAAATAGCATTGTGAACCGCATTTGAATTAGGTAGCATAGATTAATTAATTCTGAATTTTAGATTTAAAAGTTATAAATTCATTAATTAATCAATGTTGTATGCTAGGGCACCTACTATGTAAAATTGTAATAAAAAATATTCAGATGAGAACATTTTTTCATGAGATATGCTTTATGCTCCGATGACCGGAGCATACTGTACTCCGGTGCGCCGGAGTACAAGCCTGACTCGATGTCGGACTAAAGGTACCTCATTTTCTAACCACTGCGTTCTCCTGCATCATGGCGCGCATGGCGCGCATGGCGCTCTTGGGCAAGAGTGCGGCTCGTACCAAAATAGTCTCTCAGTGTGATTGTGATAGGCGTTGCCGACTGCCGTTTTTTATTGGCAAAGATGGTTTGCCAAAAAATTGTTCTTATTCAATTGGTTACTCTTGTTTTGCTGTCCTGCTCGATTACAAATGGTAAAATACTCTCTATAATTAAGCATAATTAAATATGTATATAATTTCATTTGTATACAAGCACTTACCCTCACCTTTTTTATAAATTTCAATTTGATTTATTGAATAAAACCTGTATCGTAGATTTTTTTTTGAGCAACAAGTGGTAACCTGAAATTTTTTTTAAAATATTGCCATAATTTTAGGCTTGGCGATAAAATGTTGGGTGTGCAGATCAGATTTTGATCCAAATTGTGGTGATCCTTTTAAAAACACAACTGCTCCAATCACTGATTGCTCCCAGTTCAACGATTTAGAACATCTACCTGGAGTAAGACCAACAATGTGTAGAAAAATACGACAGAGAGGTAAATATACTTTTATTCAGTATCTTTTCTATTGAAATAAATTTCGGTAGTCATTACTGCATTTGATAATTCATTTTAGTATCCGGTGAATGGCGAATCTTTAGAAGTTGTGCTTATTTGGGAGAGCCAGGTATCTTGGGAGATGAAAGTTTGTGCTTGATGCGTACCGGTACCCATAATATTTTTATGGAGTATTGTACTTGTAACAGTGACGATGGTTGCAATTCAGCCACAGGACTTTATCACGATCCATATCGTCCAATAAGTTTAACGGTACTTGTTTTTGCTTGGTTTCGTCTAAGAAACTAAATTTAATGCACATCCTTAAAACGACTCATGAGTGAATTTTAGAATTATTGTTTAGTTTTCACCAGATAAATATTGTATTCTCATAGTTTTTTAAAGCAACAAATTAATCCAATTTAACATAAAATGTTAAAGGATGAATCTATAGATCTGAGCAGAAGACTGCCTTAATGCTGATTCCGCCCTTAAACGAACGCAAAATGAAGTAAGCTGTAGAGTAAACGTTTTTATATTTCGTAGCGCTCTAAACCTAAAAATCGCAACTTTGCCACTAGTTTTAGGCTCTTGTGCTATAAAATATTGTAGATAAGTACAATACTTGCCTTTGGCTCGTGATGCAACCCCTCTTTTTGCAGAAAAAGCATATCCACACCCGTTGCTTAAAGTACTATTGTACCGTGTATGCCTGACCTTTTTTTTTTACAATTTTTGTACATAATACAACACATAATCTCAATTGTAAACGATATAAGAAAATTAATTTTTATAAGGATTAATAAAGAAACTTTATTGAAATGTATATCAAACATAAATAAATAATAAAATAAATTCAATCATTGACATGAAGATTTTGATTACAATGTAATATTTCTCTTTCACCGAAATTGTTATTCCTGGATTAGTAATACTATATAAATAGTAAGTCTCAAGAATTTTCAATAGTGAATTGAATTACTATCCGCTAATGTTAAAATTAATTAATGTTAATATAAAATTAATTATTATTTGTACTTGATTGAGTGACTAAAAATCAATTAAAGAGTGAATCGATACGAAAACGAACTATTTTACTATAACTTTAATGAATATTTCATAACAAAAAAACCATTGCAACAGATTTTCATCCAACGCGAGTATTTTTCTGTAAATCTTGCAAAAAATAGTCACAATTCATTATGTTTTTTAGTATACTCGTTAAACGTCGCTTATTGAACGGGGCTCGATTACAAACTATACATACTTTTTATCCCTCATGTCGAAGTAAACTTTTCCTATCGTCAGAGCGTCAACGAATTAATATGATAAAATGATATCTCTGTCTCGTGTATAACATAAGTAAATTCGATACATACGTGCGCGCGCTTACATATCTCATCAATATTACAATTATTGTACTATTGGTTAAAATTTGTACATCGAATAAATTTGAAAATTGGATCGATGGCAATAGAAAATTTTCATGAAAACGTAGCAAAAATAAATCATTCGAAGGGCTGTTATTTGACGACTGCGTGTCTAGGTTTTGCCAGAACTTGCTTCTATTGATCGCCGTACGTGTCGCCGGTCTCTGGACCGATGACGAAGTGTCCGGGGTTATTTTTTCGCCTGATAACATGAATAAATTAAAAAATGGAATAGAAGTGAGTGACTCGGCCCGCGTAACGGCTTAGCATAATCACTCATAGGCAAAAATTCAATAATTAATCAACTAGGCTTTCATCTCGCCTTTTTAATGACGCTTTTAGATTTTAAAAATTTCTCAATTTCGCTAAAATACAGTTCTTTTTGTGGGGTGCGTTTTTATAGTTTAAAATTCAATAATTCTGCTTCGCTCGAGTTATTAAAAACCATATTTTACCTCAATCTTCATAAAATTCCAAGGACACAATTGAATTTACTGACAATGAGTCGAAATTGGAACGAACTTTTCTGAGGTAATATTTGCATAAATGATGCAAATGTTATAAAAGTATTAAAGTTATTTGGATAATATGTCGGAATATTTGTAGATTTTAAGGACAATTTAATTATGAATATAAACTACTCGACTACTGTATCAATCCAACGATTGAGTCTAGAAGGCTTGACCATTGGTTTCAAACATTAAACAACGTCGAACGTCTGAAAGTGTACGTCACTCAATATCCAATATAATGTATACTATACTTTACATAGCTAATTAATCAATGTGGTGCATACTATACTTTATTTTACCAATGATCATAATAATCGCACGAAGCAAAAGCTGCCTTGTTCTTTTTCTGATGGATTAATCTCAATATATTTTTCAAAATAACTGTATTTGAATGCAGGATTGAATTTTATGGATTGTAAAAAGGTAATTAAAATAAGTAAAAACCATATGTTGCATGCAAAAGTATGATTTTTTTTTTAATAATTCATGTAAATTTTAATTATGACTTGTCGTCTACATGTATGAACGATTTCACATGAGAGACTGTTGAACCATTCAATGTTTTCATTTTACTCGTTTACAACGATGAACTTATATAACAATTACATCAATATGTGTATCGGATTGAAAATTTATAATTTATAACTACTTTATATACAGATACTAAGTCCACAGTGCCTAAAAACTTGATGACTTCATTTTGTATATTCACGCTCACCCCATTTTCGATTGCCAATAAAAACTTAAAAAATCTGTAGGTGGCATGCTATTGTCAACCATCCCATTCGGATCGGCACCATTTTTCAAAAGTAGTTCGATTACTTTTCGGTGTTTCAAGTAACTATTCGCTTCATGAAATGCAGAATATCCGTCATCATTTTTGATATTTACGTCTATTCCACTTTTTAACAGCAGTTCAACTGCTTCTAGAAGGAATGGATTATTTGCTGCATTGTAGTAAAAGATAATATGTAATATTGTATCACCCCGGTGGTCGACAAGTGTGACATCAGTTCCGTTTTCAAGTAATAACTTGAAAACTTCTAAGCGTAATTTGTAATTTTTTGCCCCACGAAATAAATTCATTATAGGACTGTGACCGCCTTGATCTTGGATATTAACGTCGGCATTATACTGAATTAAAATTTGAATCATTTTTAAGTGGACTTTTGTAAAGCAAGGTTGATTGCATAAAAAATTCAGAGCTGTCATGTCTTCGCCATCAACCATATTTGGATCAGCGCCGTTTTTCAAAAGCACTTCAAGCGCCACTGCAGTGTCTGGATTTGCTGGATTACAAAGAATAATATTTCTGAATATAGTTTCACTATCGTTGTTGACGAGTGTGACATCGGCTCCGTTTTTCAGTAGTAATTCCAATGCCTCGATGCGTAATCCCATATCATTAGATTCATTATATTCCTTATTAAACAGAATCATCATCGGACTGTTACCATCTTCATCTTGTATATTTACGTCGGCACCATACTGGATAAGAAATTGAATCATTTTCAAATGGATCTTCGTGAACTTATGTTCAGAACATATAAAATGCAGAGCTGTCCAGTCAAAATCGATAACAACCGCATTTGGGTCGGTACCTCTTTTTAATAAGGATTCCATTAAATCTAAATTTTGCGCACCAACGGCATCGAGGAATTTTAACTCACAATATTCGAGAGACATGGTTTCACTTTAGTTTTTGACCAGAAACACTTTAACGAATTAATAGCTCCGAGCCGCTTTCAATACGACGGAAAACTGTTATTTAGTCGCCAAATTGAATAAACTGCCGACTCTTCTGTCATCCCCTCTACTGATTTTGTGTATCTTATGTTGATTTCAAGAATTTCCTTCTATTAACATGATTACTACTGCCGTTTCTGAAATATATCGAACTATGAATAACAGGATGTGAGATGAAACGTTAAAAATAAAAACAAAAGCAGTACAGAAGCGAGAGCTTAAAAAGCTCATACTACATATACAGAATACAGAAACTCAATATTTTTTTGACATAAAAAAATTTTTTGATGTGTTTTTAAAGAATCTAATGTGCAAACATTATTAATTTAAAAAAAAATTTTCTTCTCATAAGAAATCATGAAAAATGATCACTAGAACATGTTTTTTCCATTGAAAATTCTAAATTTCACGCATAACATTTTTTTCGGTGACTTTTAACAATTCCATTTTTTACTTATTTTTACTAAAATCGCTCCTCACTTGAAGTAACTGCCACGGAGTAATTTTTGAGGGGGATGAAAACTATGACTCATATTTCTATTTGTTTTTAATGTATATTCGAAAAAAAACCGCTGCCAATTTATTGGCAAAGAGCTTCCTCATAAAAAATTATATTACTGAAAGGGTTTAGTTATTGAAGGAAAAATTTGTATGCGACAGTTTTCATTTTTGTATAAGAAACTCCAAAAAAACATAGAGATTTCTACAATTTCGTGCAAGATTCCCTTTAAAAGACACCACTTACTTCTATCTTAGCCAAAAGGCCGAAAAGGCAAACATACATACAGACATTTGTTGGTAATTCAATGTAGTTTCCAAATATGTTCCAAATATGCCAAATTTTCCTACGACGTCTTGTTCCAAATCTCATTTTCAAGCCTATCACATAGCTTCCTCTATGAAGATGCAGAACTTGTTGTTTTCGATGTCAGATTTGTCCCAAAAAATTTTTGTAAAATTGGGGTCTTCTATGATACTTTTTCAGAAACCCAAAGTTGGCCATTTTAGTTTATCAATATTAAAGGTTTAGTTAGTTTATATTAGTGGTCATTTATAAAAATGTAGTGTCAATTCAGGGGAAATTTACACGAAACTCTAGAGATCTCTAGGGTTACTTAGAGATTCGTATACGAAAATAAAAATTGTCATGTACGAATTTTTTCCTCAATACACAAAACTTTATAAAAATATTTTTCATGCGGAAGCCCTTTGCCAATGTATTGGCGGCGGTTTTCAATAAGATCCGAAATTCTCGCGTGACATACGGTATATCATGTAATTCATTCGCGGCTTCGTTGAATAAAATTGTTCAAGTTGTTTGTACACTTAGGAGCAATAGGTTTTATGGGGTAATAATGCTGTGAAACGATTGAATTAATTCAATCGACCATGGGTTTTTTTCTTGATTTTTTATGAAATGTTTTTTTGTTATTTTTGTACTCAATGCAACCATGTCTATTTTTTTAGTTATTTCTCATAATTAATTGAAATCGATTTCAATCACTATACCTTCAATGCAGAATCAAGTAATTGATTTGCATCTTGCTAAAGATGTAGTTAAATTATTCTGGATTCGAGCGAGCAAGAAAAAACTGTATATGAAAATAAACTTATATAATCCATCCTTGAACTTGACTTAGTGGCATAATCGAATCAGTGCGCAGTTGTAATATCCACGAAGGTAAAACAATATCGAAGCTTGCTTCTCGTGTTACATCTGCGTTCAGACTATTGATAATGAGAAATAAAAATACTATTCTAGCTCGGCATACTCGTTTGAAAAAATCATGAACGTATTTTTTTTTTAATTTACTTATTTGGCTATCATTCATCGAGGCGTGTTCCGAACTTGTTTTGCAATGCATACATAACAAGATAGCATGTGAATAAAATGATCGGAATAAAGTAAATAGAAAGATCAACGCATACGAATGAACTAATGCAATTGAAAGAAACATTTTATGCCAGGCTCTTAGAGTTCGGTGCTTGCGCCACCGCACCTCGGATCATTATAGAATTGGGGCAATGTCGTTGGGCACGCCGATCGGCAGGCCAAGAGTCTGCACCTCCGGATTGGCTAAAAAGTCAGGTATGGAGCAGCAGTACATGAAGCCCTTGTCCTTGTTGTTGAATTTGTCGTGGAGCTCGCGACAACGAGGATACTCAGGACAAACTATGTAATCGGCCACCTGCGCATCCTCCAGATACGGATTGTTGGCGGCCAAAAAGACGAGTCCTTGATTCGATTGCCGACTGTAGGCGACCTTGAATAGGATCTTGGGCACGGGCATCACCGGATGCTCTTGCCTCTTGCGTTTTCCCAGATAAATGTCTTTACCCTCGAGCCGAAGCACTCCGAAAGCCCCGACCCAAACCTCGATGTCGCCCTTCGTGGCCGCCAATGGCCTCACTATCTTGTCCTCCATGTGCTTCCAATTGCCGTTATTGATGCTGTTCCACATGGGCACGGCGTTGGCGTAGAAATACGTCACGTACTGCTCGGCTGCGTAAAACTTGTCGGCTTTAGCTATGAGGTGACCCTTCACGAGATAGTTCAAAGGCAGTTTGTCGTCTGAAGCATCGGGAGCAGGGGCAGCGGCAGCGGCGGGGACATCCGTATCTGACATTTTGTCGTCGTCTGTTCAAAAGTAATTCTCCAATTATAGTGACTGACGAATATTAATCTAACACAATCAAATTCTCATAAATTAATACATACCGACCTCAGGATCTGTCTTTTTTTTCTTCGCTAGCAAAATCAAAATTATCACCAAGAGTCAAATTAATAATTTATTTTTGTAAAACGATAATTATTATTATTGAATATTTGTAAGATACCTATCATGGGACGAATGTATCGGCTAACATAGTCTCTTAGCTCGTCTTCTCGCTGCTGCTTCTTTTTTCTTTCTTCCTCGGTCGGCTCTCTGCCGTCGTCCATGTCGTAGCTATCCTGGCCTTCTTCGCGAAATATGTCCATGAAAGTCTCGACTTGTACGCAGCCCACGTAGTACTTGGCCACGGTAATATCCTCGAAGAGCTTACCTTTGCTGAACGTCTCCTTGTTGCTCTTGATGACCTGTCTGTTTTCGATCGCGGCCGGTATGACGCTGTAAGCCCAAGTAGTCGTTGCCACGTCGTTGACGTAGCACAGCTTGATCGACGGCTAGACGTTATCACGAAAGAAGCGATTTTTTAATTTTTTGACAGATATGACTGGGTAGCTTGAACGAGCTTGTACCTTGGCGATTTGCGAATCAAGTGGAAAGCCGAGATGTTGTACGCTGCCCCTGCCGCAAGTCTCACCAGTGGCCCAATCTACGACCTCGGGATTAACGTTGCACGACAAAAATTCCAAGTTGAATCGAACGTGATCTTGGTCCTCTAATTCGAGTATGGCGTCCTTGATGCAGCGCACAACAGGTGGCAAATTGTAGGGTGTTTCGTCCCTCGCCAGCAACTGCCGATTCTCACCGAGATGTATGGTCCCACCCGGGCAGTAGACGAGGCGGTCTTGAAACCATCGCAATCTCACCCACTCTGGATGGCTTGACGGCGGATAGATGAAATTCAGCTCATGATCCAGCAGCAGCGGTGATTTGTCGTGAAAGCTCGTTTTGACTTTGAGCCCGCAGTCGGCGACTGTGAGATCGTTGTTGATATTTAAGGGGCCCCAATGGTTGTATCGACAAGATTAATATTTAACTCACGGACTTGAAGAAATTGAGTGATGAGCAGGAGCGTTGCGAAAACCAAGTAATGCATGTCTCCTGGTTAACTAATTAGACTTGACTGGTATCGTTGATCTAGCGCGAGACATGTCTTCGAGATCAACGATGAGTCGATGATCTCTCGAGCTTTCCTCTTACGGGGTGAATTCGTTCGTAAACATCGAATCTACGCTGCTATAAATTCCCAGCTGCATAAATTGAGAGTACACTTCTCGCGTGCATACGTTTTCTAGTACGATCCAGTTATGAATCGATACGCTTCAAGTTTTACGATTTTTCGCCGGATGTAAAGTATAAGATAAATTATTATATATGTATTTATCGTGAATTTTTGTTACGTCGCGTCACTCAAAGCGATGCGGCGGCAATCCGCGAGTCACGCAGGAGCTTCGGGGAAAAAATATCCATTAGAATCGCGTCTTAAAAAGATCCGATTAAATGTTGGGAAGCAAATGGGGTTGCATTGCAGCAGGAGTAGCTCAAAAGAGACGATTTTTTAATCCATTGAGTCGAGCTTTCAGGAGCGAGCTTGATATTTTGCAATCGATTTCATTCATTTTGCGCGTGACGTACATAATGATTGAATAAATTTTCGATCGAAATCCTGACTTGGTAAGTAAAGGTGAATCGCAAAAATGAATCGCGTTACAAAAAGAATGACGAGAAAATAGGGCGTCGATGAATGTATTAATCAACGACGATGATGCTGCGAGCACGAAGCGTCTATAACGTTGGCTGTAATACGCGGCAGCAAAAAGCCGACCGAAATAGAGGAAGAGAGAAAGAGACGGAAATGAAGGCGTCGGTACTATATATATGTATATAATGTTGGCGCGCAGATTGAGACGAGCGAAGAAAGACAGATAAGGGAAGCGCGTGTGTATTCGTACACGATGATACGCGGCTACTTGTGCTGCTGCTGCGGCTCGCATTTCGTTTTGAAAAAAGGCCGGCCGGCTGCTGCCGCATATTGAATCGCGCGGAGCGCTGATAATTTACAATTGAGCCGGAGCCAGGCAGAGAGGCCGCAGAAGAAAGAAGGGTACACGCGCGATACTAATAGTTCGCACATGTACATAAAGTATGCCGTAAAGCTGCAAAGTTGGGCGTGATTTTTCGTAACGCGCAAGCTATTTGGGAAGAGAAGAAGCCTTCGCTCGTCTATTGCTCGCACGATATGGCTTGACTTTTATCGCTCAGTTTCGCTATGAGTCTTGTGCCTTCTGTGTATTGCATATATATAATATAAATACATGTTTATACGTACACGCGCTCGTGATAAAGAGGCTGTCTAAAAATGTAAAAATAGCCACTTAGACTTAGAGCGGGACCGCTCGTCGCGCTTTGTTCGGATCGCTTCGAAAGAAATGTCTGCCTATTGGGGTACTATATAGAAAAATATCTTGAAACAAAAAATGTTGTATCGCTCAAAAGTACTTTCATTGGAAACGGGGATAATTGATAAAACACGAGGCGCGCTATTCAACGATGCTGCAATAAATAGAATCGCGCGCGCATTATAATTGCATAAAAATGAATCGACGGATCAATGACTCCGTAATCATTTTATATAGCTGATGCTGCAATAATAACGAACGAACGGCTAAATAATTCCCATTGATCGTAAACAATCGAGCTGCGAGGGAAAAAGTGGTGCGAAATAAAGTCGAAAGAAAGAGCGTAAACGCAGACGAGAGCAGTGCGCCGCTGCAGTATACTGGCACTCTCTCCGCTCTTTATTTCTCTTTCTTTCTCTCTTTCTCTCTTGGTCGTTGGTCTCGCTCGATCGCAGCCGTCTCTGTTGCTCTCTCGGAACGCGTGCATACATACGCGTATACAGGCACAAAAGTCCCCTTTCCTCCCACCCATGAACGTATATGTACGCCGGCCGATCAACGCGCACCATTGACTCGGTGGATCCCTGTGCGCTGGAGAGAGAGAGAGAGAGAATGAGAGAGAGAGAGAGAAGTGCGGCTGCTGCGGATACACGACGAGCGAGCGAGCGAGCGACGACGGCAGTCACAGGCTAGAGAACGAGCCTATGTGATGCTATATACAACGCGACGGGGCCTCCATATCGTTACATCTATCGCGTAGGTGCAGGTATATTATATAGGCTGCACATTATAATCTCTTGTCGCGTTGACGCGTGTCTTGCATTTAATTTTTGAAATAAATAATAAATAGTTCGTAATATAGTTCAAGATAGTGCGTTTTGTTGTTTGAAAAATTGAAGGGCATGTGCGTTAGATGTTGCTGCGTTTTCAGTGCCGTCTCTCTTTCTCTCTTTCACTCTAAGGATCTTACATAAATGCAGCGTGCAGCAGTGGAGCAGGTAGAGGAAGGTGCGCGCGGCACGGCTTGTTTTTGTGTATACGCACGTTCTGTATACATGCGTGCATCGACCGCTAGATCTTTTCGTGCTCGCGGCATGCTGCTGCTGCTGCTGCTGCTGCTGCTCTACTCGTGCATCGGTTCGTCTCGCTCCCACGATTCTACTCCTCGAATATAATACGCGTCTACAGTACCAATAATCCGATATGTCAATGTATTTTAAATGTGTCCTCGAATGTGCGTTTGACTTTTTTTTGGTGCTCGTTTAAAGTACATCCAGTGATCGTAAAAGCATTGTTCCGACCTGCCTATGCACGAAGAAAATGCAGTGCATAAACACGGACGTAAAAAGTGATAAAAGCAGTGCAGAGAAGCGAGATGTATACAATTGCACATATATAACAACGAAGAAATGCTTCGCGAGGGAGACTTTGGACTGCAGGCAGCTATTTTTGTGACTCGTGCCTCTCTCGCTCTCTGTATGTGCGAGTGTGTATACGTTTCTTCCTGCACTCGAGAGTTCAACGCTATGACTGCAGCTGCACTTCTGTGCGTGCCCGTGCAGTGGCACTGATTGCGCACTCCAGTGAATTGTGTACAACGCACGACCATATAATATATAATGGCTCAAAGCTCTCGCGTGCTTAGAGATTAAACAAAACGAGAGAGCGCCCAACGATTTTTCCCGATCAAAATAGCTCCGACTTTCGCGTGTTATTATACATTCGTCGTGCGAGTACATTTCTTGGAATCCGTTGGCTTTTTTTCTTCTCTCCAGCGCCTCAAAATTTCGAGCTTCTTCTCTTCGTTCAGCTGTTGAGTACGACTGCAGGGGTGGACGAACAATAGAGAGCCGGTGCGCAGCTCGGATTGTCGTCGCTCACGCGCGCGCGCGCCTATCTCTGATCCTTCACGTACGTGCGAAGCTCGAGTTGGCTGCTGCGAAGCGTGTGCGAGAGAGGAGAATAACATCCTCGTGCGTAAGCCTCTGTGTCAGTGTGCGTGTCTGTGCACATGTACAATGCTACGATGTAAGGTGCCCGCAAACGCTCCAGACAGTCGTGCATAAGTATTATTATCGTTGTTTAGGCCGATGGTCTGTTGGTGCGCACTCGCGCGCGCGTGCGGAGAAAGTACAGTTGTGTGCACTCGGATTTTTTTACAAACGAAACGCGGCTAAGGTACTCGAGAAAGAGAGAGAAAGAGAGATGAGAACAGACGGCAATGCGAGACGAGATCACGTGCTGTCTCTGCACTTGAAAAATTATGGGACAATCGTCTGGTTTTCAAAAGTTAATTATTAAATAAAACTGAATGAACTTGTAAAATGACTTTCGAAATTTTTCACATTTTTCAAATCGTCCATGATTCGACATTCTTGACGCCCTTTAATGATAAAAAAGTAATGGCTAATAAAAGAGTTCAAAGCTTCACTCGCTCTTGTAAATTATAATAAGATTTCGAATTCGTAGTTCACCGAGCTATTTTGGTAAAGTAGCTCGCGAATATCGCTCTCTTGCGAAGATACGACTATTTCTTTCTTTCGCTTCTTTTTTCTCTACATTTTTCATCTCAAACTAATGGTTTTTCTTTCCCGACACGCATCATCCCACGTGCGCAGATGACGATGGAGTAGAGGAATTCAAGAGCGCCACGCTCCCCCCTCGCTGATCGTCCAAATTTTTTTCGCAACGAGTTGCAACAAAATCGACCAAACATGAAAAACGAAACGATGGCTCATTACTTTTTCATCGGCATATTTTTATTTTATCTAACAGGTAAGTTCTTTTTGTGTGTGTGTGTATCCGCTTCGTTCATGATAATTTGCAAATTTCATACAAGTATAAGTAAGCGGGCGATCGTGTAACGTTATGACAAGTCCGCGAGCGGGGGACTTTTGTCGCGAGCTTTTTTCCAAGTCCACGTCACCGTCGCCGTGCCTTGATCGCGAATTCTCAGCCGTGCTTCGTATAAAATTACACTAGTCATCGTGAAATATTATAGCGAGTAGAAACTTGGTGGATTTGTTTGAAAAACTGAGCCATCTTCCAAGTATAAATTTTTAATGACTTATTATTCGTATTATTCATGTCCACATCGCGGGGGTATTTCATTCATATACTCGAACATATAGATACGCTACTGCTCTCACATAATTTCACGAATATTAGATAATAAACAATTTTATATGTATTGTCTTGAAAGCTTGATTTTGCACTTGTTTGTAGCTCACTATTTGAGAAAAAAGGGGGAAAAATGAATGAATAGCTGTGAAGTGGCTAAATCGACAACGTTTTTTGGTACAATAATGCATATTGTAATTCGGTGATTCGTCACTTCACACGCACGAAAGGGTCGCCGAGGTCAATTCATATATAATACTTATTCATAAAGCTATATCTTATCAAAGTACCAGACGAAAGCCTTTCATCGTATAATGCAACTGATCGTCGTGCGCGGCTCACGATCATAATAAACTACAGAAATTATATACACTGTTTGGGATGTCCGGACCGGACTTGGAATTTTCGTCATTTTCCAATTAAATAGCATGCGGCACGATCGATTTTTCAAAGATTATAGTTGGAATTTATAAGTTAATAATTTATATAGCATTTATGAGAATCGTCGTCGACGACGAGAGATTCTCGGTAAACATCCGCTGTGGAGGCCTGCAGGTCGTTTTGCTCGCTTTTCCTATGCGTATTACATACATGCTTCGGCTGATAATCTCAGGCCGCCATATAAATGGGGAAGCCGCAAGGAGATAGCGAATTTTCATTGAAAAATCATCCTACGCGTTCGATGAAAATTACAATCGTGTCGACTGACGGGCAAAAGTCGCTTTATGAGCATATGCATATTATCGCGCATACATTTAATATTTATCGTCATCTGTGCATTCATCGAAATATGTCGTCGGCTTCTGCAGTCCAAACGAAACTAATGTCCGATCGTTTTATCGTATGTTTGCAGCTATTTCGGACTCCGTTGACGCAGCCTACAGCGATTACAGAAATTACTCGCGAGTGCCCTCGTCACGAGGTAAGCTTTTATTTTTTTCTATACTTCTCGTTTTCCCATATAATGTCGCTGATATTTGAATACGACGTAAGAGCTATTCGAAAGAAACAATATGCCATACAATGTACTAGTGGTAAAACAAACCCCATGACTTAACGAAAACCATATGAAATGTGCGCTAAAGCCAAATCGACGAAAGAATGCGAGCGCAGAAAATTGATCGAAGTGGCGGCGATGGAGTCTCGCACGAGCGCCGTTCGCCTCCAATACCGGCAACAGCATCAACAAGAACAACAGCATCAGCAGCAGCGATCGGAACGAATGCAGCGACCGATCGAATTGCCAGAGGCTCCCGAGCTTTGGCCGTGGTCCTCGTCGGCCGATCGGCAGCGATCCCGAGGTAGCCTGTGCACGAAACCACACAGTAGTTTCCTAACTCTAGCCAACTCCGAAGCTGTTTCTCTCTGACACACACACACACACACACACACAAAGGCCTTGGGAAGATCTAAAAAAATTTCATCTAATGTAAGAGAGCATAATACCCGAGAGACTCGTATAGGCTGCCTACATGGCTCTGCTAATTTATAATATAACACGCGGACATATGGTGTGTGGCAGATCATCGGCGAATCGGAGGAACTTTGGCCAAGAGAGCTGCTGTGTAAGCGAGAGCTTGTGCTAGAGTCTCACACGTGCTGCTTGTACACGTTATTTTCGGAACCTAATACACACATACACACTCACACTGGCTCGCGCGCAACGCAGAGAGCAGAGAACTAAGCGCTTGCGATGCGTAATGGGAACAAAGAACTTTAGCCAGCTTCCTTATACTCTTTGGTTTCTATATACAATCTGCGCGTTTTGCGTACTCGACTGTATACACGTATACACGCCACATTCTCATGGAGCATGGGGATTTATTTTCGCTATCGTATATTCTTTTATATAGAGCAGATTAACCAACTCTGATTTATTTCGACTCGCTCCTCTGTATCATTAATACTTTATGTGTAACTCGAAAATTCAAATGGTACGGCGGATATAATAATAATTATACCGAAAAAAAAACATGTAACATCTGTTTAATCGAAAATTTCGATAAGATAAAACTCCCCTTATGAAAGAAAAAAATTCTCAACCATCTCGTTACGGGATATGCCAAAGTCATCGCGGAGACGAAAAATAATTTTTCTTTTTTCTTCTTTGCGACCGAAGCAGGAGGATACATTCAACGGGTTCATCCGTGCGAGCAGAGCTCGTGTTACCCGGCCACGGGAAATCTGCTGATAGGTCGGCGTCATCAGCTGCACGCGACCTCGACCTGCGGCCAACACGGACCCGAGCGCTTCTGCATCGTGTCGCATCTCAAGGAGCGCAAGAAGTGCTTCTTCTGCGATGCCAAAGACCCGAGGACCCAGCACGAGATCGGCAATGTCGTCGGCGGTCACGAGGATTAGTGAGTCGTGCACAATTAGTTTGGAAAAATGACGATAAAAGCTCGAGCTTAACGAAAATCGCTACGTTACCTTGTGATCCACAGCAAGCGCGGCTCGAGAACCTGGTGGCAAGCCGAGAACGGAGTCGAGAACGTCTCGATCACCCTGGACCTCGAGGCGGAGTTTCACTTCACCCACGTGATCATCAGCTTCCAGACGTTCAAGCCCGCGGCGATGCTGATCGAGCGCTCCTACGACTTTGGCCAGACGTGGCACGTCTATCGCTACTTTGCCCACGACTGCGCGAGTGCCTTCCCGGGCGTGCCGACGCACCAGCCGACCAAGCTCACCGACGTCATCTGCGACTCGCGATACTCGAGCGTCGAGCCCTCGACCAATGGCGAGGTCATTTTCAGGTACAAATCTTACTCTCTTGTCCTTATCTTTCACGTACTAACGATTCACTCAAGTGTTCATCCTCAAACTAACAAAATACGATTCCTTTTTACGCTTATCAGATTAGAGGAGCTAGAGAGAATGTAAGCTTCGTTTGAAAAAAACATTATTCGGCGAATAGTTGTCTTAACTTTAACCCTGCCGAGCTATCTTTGACATTTTATTTGTTGATTTAATTAGAGTTCTGGCCAACAACATAAAAATCGACAATCCGTACTCGAGCGACGTGCAGAGCTTACTGAAGATGACGAACTTCCGGATAAACTTCACGCGTCTGCACACCCTCGGCGACGACTTCCTCGACAATCGGCCCGAGATCCGCGAGAAGTACTACTACGCGATCAAGGACATGGTGATCCGAGGCTCGTGCTCGTGCTACGGCCACGCCTCGCGCTGTCTGCCCCTCGAGGGCGTCGACAACGAGGAGGAGATGGTCCACGGCCGCTGCGAGTGCACCCACTTCACCAAGGGCCGCAACTGCGAGAAGTGCGAGGACTTTTACAACGACGTGCCGTGGAAGCCGGCCGTGGGCAAGCAGACCAACGCCTGCAGGCCCTGCAACTGCAACGAGCACTCCAAGAGCTGCCACTTCGACGAGGCCGTGTACGCGAGGAGCGGCCGAGTCAGCGGCGGCGTCTGCGACGACTGCCAGCACAACACCCGCGGACAGAACTGCGAGCTCTGCAAGCCCTTCTACTATCACGACCCGGCGAGACGCATCAGCGATCCCGAGGCTTGTCAACGTAAGATCAACAACCACCGCTTGAATTTCGCTTCGGTGAAAATTGCTCAATACTTTACTTTTGACTGCTTACGCAGCTTGCGACTGCGACCCGAGAGGCTCCCTGGACGACGGTATCTGTGACTCTCGCACCGACGTGCTCAGCGGCGAGGAGTCCGGCCGCTGCCACTGCAAGGTGAACGTCGACGGGCGACGCTGCGACCGCTGCAAGGCCGGCTTCTGGAACTTCTTGGAGGAGAACCCGGAGGGCTGCCAGCCCTGCACCTGCAACACCCTCGGCACCGTCGACAATCAGGGCTGCAACATGATCAGCGGCGAGTGCACCTGCAAGCGCTACGTCACGGGCCGCGACTGCAACGAGTGCATGCCCGAGTTCTGGGGCCTCAGCGAGACCCAGGACGGCTGCAAGCCCTGCGACTGCGACATCGGCGGCGCCTTCGACAACAGCTGCGATCCCCAGACCGGACAGTGTCGCTGCAGACCACACGTCACCGGCCGTACTTGCAATCAACCCGAGCAGAGCTACTACACCGGCGATCTCGATTTCCTCACATACGAGGGAGAATTGTCCAGGCCCACCGATGTGAGTGTAAAATAATGAAACATCTTAAAATTCCACGATATTCACGACTAAAACTCTTGAACATTCGTTTCTACAGAACTGCCAGGTGGTGATTCGCGAGCCGTATCGCGACGGGCGCAACAACAGCTGGACCGGCCTCGGCTTCATGCAGGCGCTCGAGGGCTCGGTCCTCAACTTCACCATCGACAACGTCAAGCGGTCCATGTGGTACGACATCATCGTGCGCTACGAGCCGAAGCAGCACATGGGCGAGTGGGACGACGCGCAGATCGCCGTGGAGCGCAGCGAGCCCATCGATCCCGAGGGTCCCTGCGCCGACTGGCAGCCCGAGTACGACAAGCTCTGGGTGCAGCTGTCGACCAGCCAGAGGAGCTCGGTGGCGATGCCGCCCGTCTGCCTCGAAGCCGGAAAGACCTACAACGTCCAGCTGGAATTGAGGAAATTCAATGGACCGGCCGATGGTCCGACTCCATCCATTTTGATCGATTCCGTAAGTCCCGATTTTCAAATGTCATAAGTTACACGCAGACTAGGGACAATTGTATTAAATTTTTCTTCTCCCATTTGTACGAAAGATCGTGCTGAGACCTCGTTTGGACGGTTTGCCCTTCTTCACCGGCTCGGGCGAATATCGTCGCCAAGAATACGAGAGATACCGCTGTCAGGACTATTACAGCACTTTCTACGATTACTACTCCATGTACGAGAACCGCAGCGATATCCGCGAGATTTGTACCAAATACCAAAACAGCATTGGTCTTTACGTCTACGACGGTGGTCACGGTGAGCAAAACCTCTTTTACAATATTCGATGATTACTTTCGCTGGATGCGGTCACTAATTCGATGATTCGTACTCTCAGAGTGCGATTGCGATCCAACGGGTTCGCACAGTCTCCTCTGCAAAGACTACGGCGGTCTGTGCCCCTGCAAACCGAACGTGGTGGGACGTCGCTGCGATCGCTGCGCTCCCGGCACTTACGGCTTCGGGCCCGAGGGCTGCGTCAACTGCGACTGCGACGGCGTCGGCTCCCTCGACAACTTCTGCGACGTCGACACGGGCCGCTGCAAGTGCCGGCCCAACACCTACGGACGCGACTGCGGCCAGTGCGAGCCCGGCTTCTGGAACTTCCCGCACTGCCGCAGGTGCGAGTGCAACGGCCACGCCGACACCTGCGACTCGGCCACGGGCCGCTGCATCGACTGTAGGGACTTCACCACGGGCCACAACTGCGACAGGTGCATCGAGCAGTTCTACGGCGATCCCCGGATCGGCGAGGACATCCCCTGCCGAGCCTGCCCCTGCCCGGGCACCGTCGACAGCGGCCACTCGTACGCCGACAGCTGCTCCCTGGACCCCCAAACCCAGGACGTGGTCTGCGACTGCGACCAGGGCTACGCCGGGGCTCGCTGCGACAGCTGCGCCGACAACTACTTCGGCAATCCCGAGCTTCCTGGAGGCAGCTGCCAGTCCTGCGAGTGCAACAACAACACGGACCTGGCCAGGCCCGGCAATTGCGATCCCTACAGCGGCAAGTGTCTGCAGTGCCTCTACAACACCGACGGCTTCAACTGCCAGGTCTGCAAGGCCGACTACTACGGCGACGCGCTCCAGCAGAACTGCCAGGCCTGCCAGTGCAACATCCTCGGTACCGACGCCAGAGCTGGCCCGTGCAACCCGACCAGCGGCCAGTGCCCCTGCTTGCCCCACGTCATCGGCCAGATTTGCGACCAGTGCGAGGAAAATCATTGGAGGATCGCCAGCGGCGAGGGCTGCGATCCTTGCGAGTGCGACGTCGTTGGAAGCGTCTCCGACAAGTGAGTTTTTCAAAATCTTCGATTTGCCATCATTTGTATAATGAATGTCCTCCGCTTGCACAGATGTAACCCGTACGACGGCACGTGCGAGTGCAAGCCGGGCTTCGGCGGGCGTCGCTGCAACGAGTGCCAGACCAACTACTGGGGCAACCCCAACGTGCAGTGCTACCCGTGCGAGTGCGACGTCATAGGCTCGGCCAGCCAGCAGTGCGATCGCACGACCGGCGTCTGCGTCTGCCTCGAGGGCATCGGCGGCGACAAGTGCGACCAGTGCGACCGCAGCTACATCGGCGTCGCGCCCAGCTGCGCGCCCTGCGGCGAGTGCTTCGACAACTGGGACTACATCCTCGACGGCCTGAGGAACAAGACCCTCTACGTCATCGACGAGGCCTCCAACATCCAGAAGGTCGGCACGACCGGCATCTACAGTCAGGAGTTCATGGAGATCGACAAGAGCATAGCCCTGGTAATTGGCCTCGCTGATTCTTCACTCGATTGCTGTCTCGTACCGAACTCGCTTACTGATTTATTATTCCGATTCGCAGGTCAAAGATCTGATCGAAAGTTCCTCGGTCAAGAGCCAAGATCTCGAAGAACTGAAGGAGACGGCTGCGAGCCTCGACAAGGAAATCAACGCCTACGCCGAGATCCTCAAGGACCTGAACGCGCAGCTGAGCGGCGTGACGGATCACGTGACCATAGCCGACGCCAGCCTCAAGGGCTTCAAGAACCGCATCGACAAGCTGCACGAGGACGCGATCAAGCTGCGCGAGAACGCCAATCGGCTCCAGGAGTCCAACGTGCAGGGCGCGCTCAACGTCACCCAGCAGATGGCCGAGCAGTCGCGCCAAGCCGAGCGGATGGCCGCCGAGACCAGCGGCATACTGGCCGACGCCGAGCGCTACAAGAAGAACACGGAGAATCTGCTGCTCAAGAACAGCGTGAGCGTCGCGGCCAACCAGAAGCAGAACAAGGACTCGCTCGAGAAGCTGAACGAGAAGCTCGCCGCGCTCAAGACGCACATTCCCATGCTCAACGAGGACATCTGCGGCTCCAAGGTCGACGACTGCAGCGACAGCTGCGGCGGTGCTGGATGCGGCGTCTGCGGTGGCTTGGGATGCGACTCGGGTGCCAAGACGAAAGCCAGTCAGGCCCTCGAAGTCGCCAAGAAACAAGCTGAAAAGATTCGCGATCATAGAGACGAGGCCGAGCAACTCTTGAGAAATGTGCGTTTATCTTTACTTTTTATCGATCGCCGCGAAGAGCTTGTACTTTACTAATGAATATGAATTTTTAAACAGGTACATCGTCTCAGGGATGGAGCGGCGCACGCTCGACACGATGCCCAAGAAGCTTTCGACTTGGCCATAACAGCCCGCAATCAGTCGGACAAAATGGTGTCGGATTTGGCCGACGTAAACAGGAAGATCGAATTACTCATGGAAGCCGAGCAACCGTCGCCAGCCGAGGTCCGCGATCTGGCTCAAGAGGTCTTGAACAAGAGCATAACATTGACACCGGAGCAAATCAAAGGTCTGGCCGATCAGATCACTGAAATCGTCGGATCGCTCAGCGATCCCGATCGTATCCTTCAAGAAACATCGAGCGATTTGGCGCTCGCCGAAGAGATGCGCAATCGCGCGGAAGAGGCCAAAATGATCGCCCAGAAGCAGGAGGATCTGGCAGCTAAGGTCACTGCTCTGCTGCAAGAGACGCGAGCCAGTCAAGAGCTCGCTCAGGAGGCCATCGGTAAGGCGGAGACCGACATCGAGAACTCCCAGAGGGATCTGCACGAGATAACTCAGATCACGAAAGAGGCCAAGAAAAAAGCCGACGATACTTACAATTCCGTCAATGATTTGGGTAAGCTAATTTATTCAATTACTTGCTTTTGTGGAATAAACCTTATGGTAGTAGACAAACTTATTGGTGGTGGCGTCTTAAATTTAAAATGTGAGATATTTCCTAGTAATCGCAGATTAGACCATTTTTTGCCTGGAGTCATGTTTTTCAGACCTCCAGGTTATGCAATAAAATAACCATTTTGTTTGATTAAGTTACGTTTTTTACACCATTTATTGTTTAACATAAACTAAATAGGCAAAATGTGTATACATAGTTTTGCAGACAATAAAAATAAATCGTGTCTATAAATACGTGGCATAGTTTAACTCGCGATTACTTACGTAAAAAAATGAAACTTCGAGTGAGATATCGACATAATGCAACTTTCCATGTGATTTTTGTGCAGAGGTCCGACTAACGTCGCTTCAGACCGAGGCGGTGCGCAACGACTTCATCATCAAGCAGGAGATCCAGGCCCAGGCCCACGACCTGTCCGAGGAGGCCAAGAAGGTGCAGTCGAACGCCGACCTGATGGGCCGGCGCTACATGCAGGTGCGCGACTCGCTGTCGCAGCGCGACACCAAGAGCAAGGACGACATACTGCGCACCAAGAGCCTGCTGCAGCGCGCCTCGGAGCTGACGGCCGACACCCAGAGCAAGTACAAGGACCTCGAGGGCATGGAGAGCGTCTACAAGGACAACGAGCGCATGCTCAATCTGCTCATGGGCGAGGTCGACAGTCTGAACCAGGCGATGGACCGCGAGCTGGCCCACTTCGAGAGCAAGGCCCAGCTGTATCGCCAGTGTTGAAAATATCATGTGCGCGCGACTTACACGGACACTTTGTTGTTGGCTAACAAAACGAGCGTGAAGATGAAAAAATGAAAAAGCAAAAAAACAAAAACATATCAATTAGAACTATAAAGCGGCTTTAATCTTGTAATAATTGAGTTGTTCTGAATTCTTGATTACAATTATCATGTGTGTGTGTATTTTTATCGGTACTTATAGAGTTTATACATGTAATTATAAATATTTATATGTTCAGCGATGAAAGCGCATCGCCTATAATTGCCTATATCACCAGTACACGATGAAGACTCTCTTAGTTTTGGAACAAAGATCTTTTATATGCGTTCGTATAATTTTAAGCTCTGTACCGTAGTAGTTTATCCTTTAATCTTTGGTTTCATTCACAGTCAAAGAGGCATTTGTTTTTTTTTATACTTCTACTTTTTTTCTCACACCACTATACCTTACTTTTTACATGTTTTACTTAGCTCACGTTGCGATTCCTCACGTATGAGTGCCATAAAATGGTAAAATACATATTTATAGATGATGATACTTGTGTCAATATACGAGACTGTAAATATACAATTAATTGACTAACAATCTCGTGTTGAAACAAAAATATTATTACGATAACGTTGATCGATTTTTTAAATGAACCTTTTTTTTTAATGAAAGATAAAATATGAATTGAAAATGATTTTTTTACACACAATGACATGTAAATGTGATTGATTTTTATAAGTGCATTTTACAATAAGACAATAACTAATTTTAGTACTTTTATGCGATTCAAATCAAAGAATAATTAACATGTATTAAGGTCGCTCTTTATTTTGTCGTAAAATTTTCTTTTAAAAACTTCTAAAATATTGGCTCCTATACCCATCTAAACCAAAGTTTTTATTACGAATCGCATTTCGAAAATTTTTATGGAATAATATCTAGAATTTGATTTTATTGACGAAGAAAAACTTAAGAACAAGAATGATATACTGTAAGGCTTAAACCAAAAGTCAGAAATTCTTATATATTATATACTTTGTGTAATTATTATATGCTTCATAAGTATATTTAATGTATATGATTTATAATAAAATTAGTTAATAAAATTGTTGGTAGCGATTTTATTGACAGAATCCCTCACACGGATCACGGATTGCAAAAGTGCTATCGAAACGCTCTAATTTTCTCATTTATGCTTGCAAATGTTTTGAAAGATCTCGATCTATTCTCATTCTCGATCTAGCTTTTTTGCAAGTTTTACCATATTACTCAAGCGATAATAAATTCATCTCTCAGCCGCTTTGAAGAGAACGAGGGGGAGATAAATGAATTTTTTCATCGAATATATATTGACAATTAGTAAACAAGTCGAGTAACTCATTGTGCCATGCACTTTGTGCACTTGCTATCGAATAAATCATTGTCGAAAGCACAAAAGAGTACGTTGCAGAAAGTTACTCGTTGCAACGGTCGAATCGAGCGAGCATTGTGGAGAATTATGCATTGAAACATCTCGAGATAGAAAATTCATAATGAATAGTAAAGTAAGAAGGACATTTGAAAAATTGTTCGTTAATTTTTATATTTGCGTTTCGATTTCGATAATCATAAGTAAAATAATGCCTTCTCTGTTCGTCCCGATTCAGTGAATATATCGTTCGTTTTGGGTTTATAACGAGACATAACGATTGAATTAACGAGCGATTTAACGATGCACCGAAAGCTGTCGATCGTTTTACATATGCACAAAAGACGATTGAGGTCATACGTGTGCTTCGACAAGATACATCATGCGATCTAAAATTGGTCTTCGATGAAGAAAGTCAACTTTTCCGGTTGAAATTTTCTACCAATTTTTCGCTTAAATTTAAGAAACAAAACTGTTGCTTATTTCTTCATGCCAGACAAATAACTTCGGCTTTTGTCTCGTCCAGTGCTCGGCTCTACGCGCGGACAGTGAGTCAGACGAAGGCATCGGATAGTCATTGCGACACGCTCAGCTTATCAAGTGTTATTATATCATACATGGTGCAAAAGTGACAATGCGACCATGACTATGTATCGCTCGTGCACGAGTTTCGCTCGCAGTGCAGTGCTTTGTGAAAAATCTTTACGTCTAGGCTGAGCGACGACTCGAGCAAAACATTGTATCTCCATGCTCACTTTGACAGATGATGACGATGATTGTTTAATTTCTCAAGTCAATGTTCGCTTTAGATGACTGACCCCCGCGATCGATATTCGACCGTTATGCTGATTAATGACGTAAAAGGTCCCTTTAAACTCGTTACATTGTCCGGTCCTTTAGTCGCACATGACGCTTTCCAAAAGTTCAAATAGCGCCGCTCGATCAAATAAACGGACGTACTGCGACAAACTCCCTCTCTGACATCGTTGTTTCGATGTAACGGCACGCGAACGCGAGGTAAAGGTTCCACCCCGGCTTTTAACGCGCGGCGTGCACGGCCGCCTGTCATCGCCTCGTTGTATCGCTGCCTTCTATAATTAATTTCCGATGTAAGTACAAGGTCCGTGTATCGCGCACGACACCCAAACACGCATCTAAAGTGCGTATAGGCGAGTAACGTTGCGAGTCACACGCGCAAACGAACGACAGTTGCTCGATGGTTGGCCAAAGCGCTCGGATGCAGTATACAACCGGATGATCTGCTCTCGATCCACTCGAGCCCGCGCCAATGACTCTGTATCATCTACTCGAACGATATTTATTGTTTTACAAATTTTCCTTTTTTCAAGCACGATTGTCGAATACTCTTGATTTATTCGTCGGTATTTACTTGTCGCTCGCTACGTATGCGCGATATTTATATCGCATAAGCCGCGATGTAGTATATAATTAGCTACGACGATGCATTGTAAAATCGTTAAAAAAAAGCTGGAAGCGAAAAAATCGGCGCAGTATCGCGCGTCGATATAGCCATTGTTACTTAACGTCGCTTCAGCAGCTATACGTATGCATGAATTACAAGCGGATACTCGTTGATTACGGTGTAAGGTCGATTGAAAAAAATTGACGCGCGCCTCCTCGCTTACTTACTCTCTTTTTTCATGTACTAGATAAAGGTAATTCGTGCAGTGGCGTCCATCGTCCCATATCGAAACGCTCTCAATTCGCGTAGGTGATGTTATTATCATCTCGTTTCGTTTAGGCAGCAGCAGCAGCAGCAGCAGCAGCAGCAGCAGCAGAGTATCGCACCGGCAAAGTGTTAAGCAATACATCCTACATACGTAGGATAGTAACGCGCGGCTATAGTATGTCGCATGCAGCGCGTGTATATGCCAGTTGTGGCAGAAACGCAGCGTAGGTTTTAACAGCATCGATAGTAAGCCGAGTCCACACACAGGCAGCAATAGGTATATGACTACGTACTGTGTATACGCAGGTCGCAGTGCCGCTATAAACACAGGCGTCGTAAGCGCGCCTCAGTCAATGTGTGACCGCGTGCGAGTTAGCATCGGGCCTGCGTTGCGTTACGTACAATAGCCTTACGTACCTATATCTGTATCACGAGGCCGCCTCTCTCGCTCTCGACGATCGAGCCTCGTATACCTACGCACGCGACTTTCCCGTGCAGTTTTCCTCTGGCAGTGCCGCGCGAATTTTCCGTCGTAGTTCCTTGCGGTTCGTTCGTTGATCTGCCTCGACGCGATCATGACCAAGACGACAGTGCGTGCAGGTGATTGTTCTTAAAGAAGAAAACACAACGAGGACTTTTTTTGTGAATCGGTGAATCGGTTGTCCGATGCGTGCGGTGCAGGCGTTCTCTGCCAGCGACGATCACTCGAAGCTACACACAGTTCTGCCGTTGTTTCGGTAAGTAATCAAGTACGCCTATGTTAATCTGACGTTTCTGCTTGTATTCGATGCGATGGGAGTGCAAATAAACGCGACTCTCGCATGGCATTAACACCGAGTTCGATGCGCGACAGCGGCGTTCGTGTCTTTGTTTCTGCAGCGCGATGATAAGCTCGAGTACTGAATTGATGATCGGCACCGCGCTCGCCTTTTATGTTTTCAATCGTTTATCAATATGCTTTCGACGGTGCTATAAAGTACCGAGTAGTATCGATATGCATCCACACGCGCAACTGCAATTAATCCGCTTTTGGGCAATTGCACTTCGTAACTATCGTACACACGTGTGTGCGTATTGGCTCGGCCGTGTCGTGTGCAAATTAACTTTTTTCCTTCTTTCCGGGTGTGTCGCTGTCGCGTTGCGTAAAAATTTATCAAAGATCGAAGTGATCGAACGAAATTACCAATCTTTTATAAATCGCGTGAATCAGATTTTAAAATACCGATAAAACCGACCGATATCTTATAGCTTGTCATTCGTGAAAAAATAACTCTCGCGATTGATTCCGTTCGATTATATTCGGCTGAATATTACGACCAAGACAATCGTTCGATCGAATCACCATCGCTCTGGACAATGTATTATATGCTGCTCTAATTCTGCGGATAAAAAAGAAGTCATTCGACTACGAGGCGCGCTGCGAATCACCAATAACATTCGTAACGCAGCAGTGTCGCCAATCATATTACATTAAGTTAGTCGGCGAAAAAAAAAAGAAAAAATTAAATTACGCGCTCGAGCATCGATCGAATATTTCAATTTTCTCGTATTACTCGCTCGTAAACTTGTGAATAATATCACGCGCATATATGCAGTTTTCATTTGCGCGCGGGCGAGCCTCGTGTATTTTTTACCGTTTTTTTTTTCATATAAATATAACATGTATCGAGGGCAGTGTAGACAACTTACATCATTTACGCGAGAGACTGATAAGTGCGATACGCTTGAAAAATGTTTGCATACGCGCGCGCGCGTAAAGCTGAAAGAAATTCAGCCAGTGCATATGAATTTTATTATTGACAATCGGAAGTCAATTTACATTTTCTGTTGGCGTTAATAGTGGAACGAGAGAGAGACAGATAAAGTCGATATGAAAAGTTACTTTGGCTCGATCAATATTTGTTCTCTGTTTGTTGGCACAAGTATTTTTATTTAAACAGCTCCAGACACACTCTCGATAGGGTATACGTATTTCGGAAGCGAAAGGTGCACATACGATGATGTATACACAGCTTTGTGTATCAGCCGAAAGCCATACGTGCCATTGAGACAAATGACATTTTGAAACCAGCGTGTTCGTGATACCTTTTTATCTTGCTCGCGAGAAATGCAAATAAAATTAGTTGCTCGTTGAAGATAGACTAAACTTTGAGCTTTAGTGGAATTAGTACGATTAATGGATGAGTCAAGTCTTCTTTATCAATTACAGCGATCTATCTTTTACTACCGAGAAAGTTCAAAAGGGTTCAGATGTAACGATATGGAAATTTCATCTTATTGCGAAGGTTTAGTAGCATCCGGAAGAGGCAGAATTTGTAAGCCCTTCTTTGTAAATAATTTATCAAAAAGCTATGATCTTTTGGACGCATATAATGTGAAGTGAAGCGCGTCAGAGAGACAAGTGCATGATGGTGAGAGCAGTGGCGTTGCCAGCGTTAAGCCTCGTCGCAGCTCGAAAACTGCAGAAATCTGTCAACCACATGTTTAGTGTTAAAAGTAACTCTTGAGTTGGCTTTTTTCACAGTATACATAGGCCACGGCGCAGCTCGGCGCAGCATCGAGAGCCGAGTTGCTGATTTCGCGGAACATTTAAGATCTTCGCGTTGCATACAATACATATAATACAGAGAAGCATATAATCCGGCTTGGCGATATACTTTCTCACGCTTTTGGTGGCTTTGCCATACGCGAAAAATGCTCCCGTCCACCGATCGAGCAGCGGCGCTTGTTTATACGATAATTTACGTTTGTTTTATTTTTTAATTTTTAATTTCCGAATTATTTCCGTCAATAAGTTAGGATCAATGCTAGACGAGTCGTCGACTTTTGTGAAGAAAAAAGGGGGAAAATTGAAATTACAAGCTATATATTTGTTCGAAATGTGTCTTGCATGTCTTACGAATACAGCGTATGATATACAGTTGTAATAAATATTCTCCTCGATGACGTGTGACATTCCACGCGCTTCTACCGAGTGAAATAGTATATTATGTCGTACCAAACGCGAATGAAAATAGACATATATATCAATATATACAAGGGAGACGGTCCATGCGGATTTTGGATATACTGCCATTTAAGTCGATTTCCGGTAGAAGATCTCGAAGGAGCAAGTGAAGATACATTCCCTCATTCGATGAAAATCTTGCAACATCTCTGTTGTATTAGATGCTGTCTTTTTCATTTTCAATTACTTTTTGAGTCGACGAAAGAGAACAATAATTGCATGAACTCGAATAATCAATTCGAAATGGTACCGAGAGATGTCAAGTGAAAGCAAAAAAGTCAACATGGAATCCTAAAATAAATGCCCCAACACATGCGATCTGGCCAATAACCCTGCGTGTTTTTTTATAAATAACAAAATAAACTTTGACTTTTTGGTCTCGACCATACGTATACACGCAAATGGGCGCGCTTGGAGAAAGACGATCGAACTCGGTGGCGTACAAAAAGTCTCGAAGCTTGAGACTCGGCAAATTTTCAAACCAAATATCATATTATATCAATTGGCGGTTTGCAATATTTACGCATATAGAGACCTGAAAATGATCTCCGTAGCAAACGTCACGTATAAAAACAACGTGAAATTGTATTTTCAGGTGCAGCTCCAGGCCTCAGTTGTCGCTCAAATATACCGTAATGGGGAAAACGCTCTGGATTAAGTGAGAATTCGAGTTGGCAAGAGGCTGGCCTTATCGACATCTTCGTCAGCATGGACGAGCAGCTCAACATGACGACGGAGGCGATAATGCATCTGGCGCTGCAGCAGAGCACGACGGCGGCGTCGATCGGCGGGCATCCCGCGACGCAGTTCCCCAGGTCCCTCACCATATTCGCCGCCATATCGGCGATTGTGTTCAGCATCGTCGGCGTTCTAGGTAAGCCGACTCGTCATCTCAGCGTTCCGTCTTGTATTTCTCGGCGCGCGTTACACGGGACATTACGAGGAAATTTGAATAGTTTAGCGTCCTGACGATAAATATGTACTCTTGATCGTTGCACGACGTATACATAAGCAACGTACCTATTTGCCGATCGCATTGCAACGCTCGAGGGACGCAAAAGCCACGAGCGAGATGTGTGCTATAGGAGTGACTTTCTCCGTGCACGAGCGATCGATCGAAAATTGCCCGAGCGACAACACCTTTGTAAATACCGGGAAATATGGATCAAATTTTTCTTCTTTAGATGGACTATTATTATTAATGCAAGCGAACGCACTCCGCATGCGAGCGACCTAATTTCGCTCATTGTCGCTTTCGCACGATATGTACGTGGACGCGTACGATCAAGATATCGCGCTTATTAAAAACGATCATCGTGATACAAGCGCTGCCTGGCGGTGGGGTTCACCCTTTTTTTTCGTCTATTACGCTTTCGACGCTTCTACGAGTGTAATGCGTTATTCTCTCTCTATATATATTAAAAGTCTCGTGCGCTATCGAGGTCTCACGATGATTATGCATATGGGCCATCGCTCATACATGTATCTTATTATGAGCGTTTCATAAATGCGCAGGCCTAATTGCCGATGTAGGCTAGAATAATTATTACAGCGATCTCGATTCTTTATAGAATATATGACATTTACCTCGATCGACTTTCAGTGTCAAAAAGATGCCGTCGTTTGTCACTGCCCTATCCGAAAATAAAACAAGCTCGCGTGAATGTCGCGCGGGAAAATCACGCGATATCCAAGTAACACGTGTGTGCAGTAAAGCGTCATTGACCGATTTCCGAGTCGATCCTCCATATTAATCCGCACCTTTTGCGTGTGAATGTGTGGACTAAGATATATGAAACGAAAAAAAGGGTTTACATCTAGAAGGCCTACAAGATCTTTGTGTATTCATTATATAGTCCTGCATGTGGTTTTCAAACGGCTCGATATTTACACGAAGACAGTAAGATGTCGAGCGAACAAATTGATATTACTGTACGAAGGCGCGCGAGCGGTCAATTAAAGCTGCGACTCGAGCTACGGCACACGCCTCGTTAAATAAGCTTAATAAGATTCCTCGCGCGACTCCGGCCAAGAGGGAGAGAGAGAGAGAGAGAGAGAGAAACTACTGTGTATCTGTCGTATTACGTCTTACAAGAGGGCAGGAGAGACATGTCACACTCCTCCGGGTGCTGCTGCCCGTGAGTGACTCAACGTATGTCAATGTTTTTCTTTTTTCTTCTCGCTCTTTCCACGCGGTTTCTCGGCGAGAAATGATGATATAAAAAATACGAGGAGAGGCGAATTTAAACTTTCGAGCGAATTACATGGAAACGGGCTTTTTTATACAGGAAGTTCAACGAGACGAGTGTCGCGCGCGCGCGTGAACGTCGTCTTAAGAATTTAAATGTCGATGAAAAGGAAGAGTTCGCACAAACAAACCATAGAAAGTGTGTGTGGACGATGTACAGCCGAGAGTATTATAATGCGGCGATTTTTACATTATAATGAGAACGAGGCGTGCGCCCTTGACGGACGCTCACATTATCGATAAGCTCGAGCATTCGATATACCTACCATTCACGCGAGCTTTCATGATGACTATCTACAGATCGTCGGCTATTTTTTCAGTTCTTTTTTTACATAATTTCGAGTTGAGCAATTTAAGCTTCAACACAATTTGAAGATAAAAAATGAACGTTTATCTCGAAGTAAAACAATTGAAGTTTGTCAATGGTACGATAAAATTTCGAGTCGCTTTGATGATTGCTGATTCAGAAAATTAAATAAAAAAAGAATGTATCGGTTAAAATCTCGTCAGCTGCGTACGGCGTCTATGCGTCATTAATCAGACGAGTGGGCTTCGTATGTACTGAACTCTGCACAATAGCATTGTGGCGCAAAAAAACAGAAAGAAAAAAGCAAGGAACAGCTCCTTACTGTATCAGCGCGATAAAGATCGATGATCCATACTTAACGATGAATATTTTTTTTTGCTCTTACGAACATCCGGTTAGTCCGTCCGACGAAAAAAAAAACGGAAAAAGGTGCGAATTTGGAGAACAACGAACCGCGATTCGAGTCATTAGACTTTTAATAGAGAGAGACACGGTGTACGGTCAAGCTACAAGAATAAATTTAGCATTGCGTGCGTACATTTTTGGAAAGATAGCCGTGAAACACGATTAATTTTGAAAATGAAAAAGTCTAGCAGCGGTAAAATAACGAGCTCCGGAGTGCACGAAAGCCGTCTGCTCTCTTTTTTACCATCTCCTGGAAGCGACGTACGCAATGAAGCTCGCGGTACATCCATCGGGTAAAAATATCGCGACAACAATTAAATGGCCATCGCTCGCACAGAGCGACACCACTGCGGCATGCGTTCGTTGCGCCGGCCCCGAACTGCAGCGCGATGAAACGGCCGTAAACATATAACGCACATATTTGCGCGTGCAGGAGAGCAATGGCTGCAGCCCCGGTGACAAATCGAGTGCTATTCGTATGTAGGTACGGGCAGTCGTCGTCGTCGCGTGCTGCGTGGGAGGTGTCGCGCCCGCTTAATATACCATACATCCTATACACGGATATATATTGTAATATATTTCACGCCGGGCTCGTATCGTGCATTGCTATTATCCTCGAGTAGTCGCCACCACTTTTAATTATCCGAGCAATTGCGTACGTAGACACATACGGGCCGTTACTGCAGCAGTGGCGGTATGCGTCGTCGATGCGATATCTTTGCGCGTTTGCCCTACCTAATAAATTGTTTGGCACTTTTATACGCGAAGGGCTGTTCCATGGAAAAATCGATTGCAAAAGACACAACGATCCTTGTTCCTCATTATAATGCGGCTACTTGTGCTCGCGCCGATGAAAAATGAAAAAAATGTACGTATAAGCACGCATCGCGCTGGGAGGGTGAGCTCGAGCGAATATGAGATCGTTTTCTCGGAACGATGATGTGCAGCTAGAGATAAAAATTCGCTCATCCCGACAGTAACGTACATATTCATGCGCGTTTATTATGCCGTGCACGTATACAAGGCTAGCCATTGAATGGCGGGCCCTCGCAAATATCCTCGGCGAAAGAAAAAGATGATCCTCCGACATTGCCAATTTTTCGCTTTCTTCAATGAGTTCATTATATCGTGTGTACGCATTATAAAGCAGTCCCTCGTGAATATTATAAAGTTCAATATTATGATACGTTCCAACAGGCAATCTAATCACAGTCGTGGCCCTGTGGCGCTGCACCCGTCTGCGACGCAACGCCACCACGGCCTTCGTCATCAGTCTCAGCTGCTCGGACTTCATCTTCTCAGCCGTAAATCTGCCCTTGACTGCCAGTCGATATCTCAACGAAGCCTGGGTGCTCGGCGACACGCTCTGCCAGGTCTTTCCGCTCTTTTTTTACGGCAACGTTGCTGTCTCGCTGCTCAGTATGGTTGCCATCACCGTCAATAGGTGAATATTGTTACGTTATAACATCGCACGATTGCTGCGATCGATCGATTAACTTAATTTCGCGTTGTCTTTGCAGATACGTGTTGATCTCGCGCGCGGAAATCTACAGCCGTATCTACACGAAAAGGGGCATCGCCCTGATGCTCGTGGCCATCTGGACGCTGAGCTTTTCTCTGCTGGTGCCGCCGCTGCTCGGCGTCTGGGGCACTCTGGGCCTCGATCCCGACACCTTCAGCTGTACCATCCTCAAGAAGAACGGCAAGAGCCCGAAGAAGCTGCTCTTCGCCGTGGGATTCCTGCTGCCCTGCGTCGTCATCATCGTGTCCTACGCCTGCATCTACTGGAAGGTGCGCACCAGTCGCAAAAACCTCGAGGCCCACCAGGCCAAGAACAACAATAATCAGCAGCAGTACCAGCAGCAGCACGTGCAGCTGCGCAAGAGCGGCAACAAGTCCGGCTTTCAGAAGCGAGAGGACTCCCGAGTGACCAAGCTCATGCTCATCATATTCATGTGTTTCTTGCTCTGCTTCCTGCCGCTGATGATAGCCAACGTCGTCGACATCGACAGTCCGAGTCTAAACGTGATTGCGTCGATTCTGGCCTGGGCGTCGGCCGTCGTCAATCCCTTCATTTACGCGGGCACCAATAAGCTCTACCGAGAGGCTTATCGTCAACTGTTGTGCGCCAAGCGAGACGCCGGCAAGTTCAGTCTCGGCGGACCGATAGTGGGCGGTGGCGCCGGCAACAGAGTTCTCAATTCCCATTCCAGCAAATTCTCCTCCCAGCCAACCTGATATTAGTCCAAGTTTTCCATTCTAGTTATTGGATTTTCAAAAGACGCCCCAAATCATTCCAAAGAGAGAGAAAGAAAGAATATAAAATTTATATCGACTATCGTGTGACGTAAACCAAAAATATATATATTTATATATATAGAAATAGTTTAAAAAGTTGTGATGGTCAACTGACGCGCTGTCGTTTGTAAACCAATTTATAGTCAATGCTATATATTGTAGTTAAATGTAAAATACTTCGAAATGCCAGTAAATTCGTAAGCTTTATGACTGTCGAAAGTTTCGTTATAGATATTTATTAGTATTATAATTAATTATAAAGTACAACTTTGTATAGATCTTATCTATTTTGCTTGTATCGTAGATATTAGTGCGAGCTTTTATTCATGACGTTAATTTAAATGCTCTTAAACGAGGCTCTATGTATATTTTTCTAAATCGATATACGGTAAAAATTCAATTGGTGTGTATAAATAGGTATATTACAAATGTGACACAATACCGTTTGAGATGTAAAAATTGATGCCTTGTAAGTGCCTAAGATTTTTTACTCCAATTATATGTTTCAAATGTTATGTTAATAAATGTTAAATGTTACCTATAGAAATTCTTAGAAATACTATTGATTCTACACATAAATAAAATATATAAAAATATATTTCACAAAGATTAATTTGTTTTATTAATTATGATTATCGATGACTAATTACTTTTATTACCTGGAAAGTATTAAATAACAAATGTTCTTGATTGATTAAAAGTTGCAAACTTTATTTTATGTAAAATACAATACAAAAAGTAAGTGCAATAATTAAGTTTGCTACTTACTATATTTACATGTACATCAATGAAAAAACTTCATCTTAAAATATTTTGTATGTACAGTTCATTGAATGCTAAAAACTAATTTCATCTTATTGCTGTAAAACTGTTGAAAATATTTAGCATTATGACATAAGTTTTATTATATTTTCAAAATTGAAAGTCATTTGTGTATAAGTATTGAGTGTAAAAAGATTATTCATTTCTAAACATTTGTACACATTATAGCAAAATCGACGTAGGTATAAAAAGTGTTGATTTTTATAAAACCAATATTTTCGTAGAAGGCAGTAGACAAGTTAACACTTAAATGCCACAATACTGAGATAATATTGAATAGTTAAAAGTATAATTTCATTTTAACTAAATTAACACGAGTCACACACTATCAATTATAATTATAAATGTACTAATTACAGCATAATTAACAAAAAATGTCACATCATTCAACATAAAATATTTAAGATTTAAAAAAACTAAAGGAAATGAAGGTGTATAGGATGTACTCACATTTTGACATATGAAACAGGAATTGCAACCTGCTGAAGCATACAAATGCTGAAGCATACAAATGCTGAAGCATAGCACATTCCAAATGCCATGGAACAGAATTAGAGTACATTCAATGTACTCTTATAAAATACAGTAAAAATCAGTCTATACAACATTAAAAATTGGTTCTTAATTAGACTTATAAAATATGGACGGATATTTTGATCGAAAGTTCTAATTACATTATGATACAATCATGTTGTCAAAATTTCTTTTGAATCTATATCGAAAATGTTTTTATATTGAATAAAATATAAAAATAATAATGAATAATAATGAAAATGTAATAAAAGAACTATTTTCGACGAATGACTTGAATTAATCTTAAGTACAGAAACTTACTCCTTTATCCAGTATAAAAACTTTGATATGGAAGCATTATCTACTAGATTAATTTAATTCTAATTCTGGTCTGTATGGTTCGGTGATCGACGTAATTGGAAGAATGGTTAGAGTATCCTACAAAATAAAAGAAACATTGTTTAGTTTCTAATAACTTTGGAAAGTTCGATTTTTTATTATTATAGTTACCAGTCGTATTAGTTCATCAAATGTAGGCCTTTCTTCAGGATCAGCTAGCCAACATGAACTCATAACTTCATACACAGGATCAGTTACATCAGGTAGCTGTTGCAAGCGTTCATTGCGATTTAAAGCTTCTTCAACATCACTATCCATTTCAAGATGATGATAAGGCGTACCACCAAGACTAAACATTTCCCACAATAAGACACCAAAAGCCCAAACCATACTTGGTCCATTCTGTTTTTTTATGTTTTCAAAGCATTCAAGAGCTGTCCAACGAGCATATTTAGCGTCTTCTAGTACATGTTTTGATATTCCTTCAAGTAAACGTATTATTTGTAGAATTTCATTAATTTCTTTTCAATTTAAATTAATAGAAATAAAATTTACCATGTCCCATAATTTTAGGAGACCAATCGTTGTTAAGACCAACACTTCTTGCACAAACACAAGTATGCACAACTTTGAGACTTTCCAAATATCTGAGAGCATCCGCGATGCAAGCACCAATCTTTAATATGTACTCGTGAGGGAAATGATCACCAGAACGTGCAGCTAATAATCGCATTTTTAAACATTGAGTTGGTTGCTCAAATGCTACATATAGTGTATCAGGCGTTTCACAATTGCCAACAAGACTGGAGAGATACTTGTAAGAACCAGATTTTATGCATGTGTCCAATTCTCTCAACATTTTCCTGAAAATTAATTTATTAGTGAGTTTTTAAGTTTTAATAATAATACGATGTACAAATATCAATATATTTTTTAATAATTACCGTTTCTCAGAATTCCTCAATTGAGTATCAGAAATTTTAAGAATTGAAACCGGTATGTTAAAGTTATCTTTTTGTACGGTTCCACTGTGAATAGTACCAAATCGAAATCTTTTAGTAGGATTAACATTGCAATTCAAAGCGTTCAGCGGTATACTCCAAACTTTGCTTTTTAATTCTTGATAGTGATTTACCCTCTCAGGTATATCTTCTGGAATATATGCCATATTATCCACTTCAAACGAAGGTCCTTGGAGACTTAATTCTTGTTGTTCTGGTAGTCTATGCATTTGCACCTAAAATAAAATAATTAGGATTAATACTTATTTCCATACGTTTTAGGTATATGTGATTAGGAAATAAAACAAACCTTTTGTAGTCTTTTTCGCAGCATCAAAAACGCAAGCACTGAAGCTAACAATATTAAACTTAATAATACTATAAGAACCCATAAAATAATATTAGCTGCATTAGTTCCTGAATCTTTTGCCCCATGAGCCATACTTCTGTGGTTACTAGAGGTCAAATCTGAATAACTGTACTGTACTTCTCCTCTGATTCTAGATTCAACAGCAACACCAATCTACAGACAATACAACAATATTTTAGGTGTATATAGTAATGATTGTATTATTAATAAATAGAACTTACCTGTGGTTGTCCATTTTTCATATCCAATGGAGCATTGTAATAGCCTCCAATTAGTTTACCATTTCCAACTTCAAAGATTTTGTTTCTTCCATAGTCTGATGTATCAAATTTTCCTGTTACATAGTATCCTAAACCACCTCTACTAGCCACATCATAATTTTCATAAGCTAAATCATTACTTTTGGGAGGCACAACCCCAGGTAGCACTACTACAATATGATAAAAAGTTAAAGGACCATTTTCACTTCTGCCTTCTGGTACTTCTATTGTTATAGTCTTTTCTGTCTTATCAATTATTTTTGGTTTGGGTGGTTTTTCGGGAGGTCCTATATGAGTCCAATCAACAGTGTACGCTTCTTCACTGAAACCTTGTGAATTAAAGGCCACAATGGTGATATTGTATTCTGTACCAGCATGTAAGCCGTATAAAGTAGTTATGTTTGCACTTTCTCCTTGAACATCAGATTGAACAGGTAATAAAGGAAACTGAGCATTAGTTCTCAGAGGGATAGCTTTAAGTGTGTAAGAGATTATTTTGCCATTTGGTATATCAGGTGGTAACCAGCTGACTCCTAATGAGTCCTGAGAATATGATATAATTTTTACTCTTCGAGGAGGACTTGGTCCTAAAATTTATAAAAAAACTTCAACAAATGTATTCGCCTTTTATTTTTTCAGACTCAAAGAAAGTATACCTTTTTGTCCAGTAGAATAAATATTTATTGCTTCATCGGAACCACATATTGATGTTGTATCATTGACGCATGGTATTTTACATTCATCTGATGGTCCTGCTTTACCGTATTGACTTCCACAAAAGCATTGATAGCCATGCATCATACCAGAAAACCTGGGAATTATTTTATTTCATAGTATTTAAATTTAAATTTGAAATAAAAAATTAGAGGAAAAGAATGTTCTTACTTGTAATGCCTAGCTTTGCACTCTGCGATACATTCTATAGGTGTACCTACTCGCCTTGCCACTGTTATAGGTAAATCAGGATCTAAACTTAAACTCTTGAAGCACCCGATACTTTGCTGTGCCAGGGCATTGTCCTGAACAAGCATCACTAACACAAGAGAGGCAAAAAGCATTGCCCGTCCCATAAACATCCTGCGAGGATGCGTATGAACAAACGTCAGTGAAAAACGTAGTTGAAAAATCTGCGGTGTCCTCGTAATACGCACTTGGTCATAATCGTGCTGGACTATGAAGGGCGTTGTGCTGCATGGCACATGAGTCAGAGGACGGCGGCAGGTTAGGATAAATAAAGTACGCGCGTATATTATCGCGGTAGCGTACTGGACTCCAATCCTTCCACTTTGTGCGTACGTAAGCGGATAAAGCGTCGTCGAGGCTGGCGCATACTTTTGACGTTACGATTCACTCGCGATAGGTCGTTAAATTCGACGAGCTGCACAATGCGCTTATCGGTCTATAAGAGTTAAAAACAACAACATCGTTGCGGATTTGCGCTATTATGTGTGTGTATGGCAACGGCGTGCACTGCACTGCAGATTCCAGACTGGTGTATAAAAGCACAAACATGCCCATGCCATAAGCAAGCAGCACAGCATGCAGGTGTGCCACGGCTGCTACACGAGCGCGTCGTTCTGTCATATCCCCCCTCTTTTTTTCTCTCTCTTTCTATTTTCTAAGCAATGCCATAACATATGTCTCATACACTGTACAATTTCCTTGGCTTATTATACATTTAGAGATCTGTGAATGAAAGGATCGTGCATGCATGTGTTGGATATGAACTTTACCAGACGGCCGTGTGAACGATTTTTTATGCCCTCTACTCTTATGTAGGTGCGCGTTGCAACTCATGCTTATAAGATTCTGCTGCTCGTAAGAGAAAGAGAGAGACAGCGAAATGTTCATGAAAGGGCGTTGGCCTTACAGGTATCCGATCGGTAGTCGACAGAAACCGGTACGTTTTGTTAATCCGTTTTTTGAGAATTAAAAAAATTGACAAGTTAATCATTACAATCGCGAGGCTACGTTTTCACGTACGTGATCGGAAAAAATTAAAAAAAATTCTATTATATTTGTTGACTAATTTTTTAGACCTTGTTGTTCCTTTTCTGAAATACAGAATTGATGCAGCTTTTGATAAAAAAATTATAATTATGTAATTAAAAAGTAATAGCCCCAAAATGATGGGCTACAGCTGAATTGACTATTGATTATAGAGATACATAGAGAAGTACAGTTTCCTTTCATTCATAAAGAAGATGCCTATTTCATTACAATGAGAATCGCAACAATCTCAACAGTAATCATTTAGATTACATTTAGAAAAATTTTTAAAGATCTTTCTTCTTTTATATTTTGATGTTTTCAGTTATTTTGGTAGAAGGTAGAATCAGAAAATTATAATGAAATAAAATTGGAAATCCAAAAAAAGGTTAAATTAAGAAAATCATTACATTTTTCAATTTTTTTTATTTGATGTTATGGAAGGTATGCAATATTAATAAAGGACAATTCAAAATACTTCAAAAAATATGCCGAGACCTTAGCTGAGTAGCTTCCCAAAAAATACGATACAAATCCTTGTTTATCAGTTGGTCTACAATCATTTCACGGCAGAGAATCTGCAATTTGTTGCGCGTCAGCTCCTGGAAAGAATCCAGTGCCCAGTGCGTGCACACCAAAGCTACTTCTACATAACACCGATTGGGTGAGACTTCGTCTGAACGGTTGTGTGACTATTGATTGCTATACCAGTGCTACCGCTTCAGTCGGAGCAGAACAAATCCAGTGAAGTCGCCACTAATCGATTTCTGTAGAAGTAGAAGCCTAAAATTAATCTGACTCGTCATGCCGCACAGCGAAGTAAAAATGTATACACCTAGTATGCCACGAAGCTGATTTCAACGTTTTGTAAAGGACATAATATATAGAGGAATGCTTTAGCCCATTAACGCTCAAACACGATTTTGATAGGCAACTTTTCGCTATTACTATGATCTTAATTGAAACGAAAAAAATTATGAAAAGTACTTCGTCTTATGTTATTGAGAGTTCTCCTTCCAATGGTGGTATTTAAAATTAACTTGATTAACAATTTGCAATCTCTTATATGAAATCGTTAATTTAAACTATTTTTGCATTATTGCAAAGAGTAATCTAAAAAACATAAGATGTTGTTCTTTTCAAAATTTTCGTGGATTCAGGAGACATAACATCGTTCAATCCAGTAAGTTGCGCAGGGCTCTCTAATTTGATTTGTTTTGCTTTATTTCAAACGATCTATGGGATAAAACCCTGTTTAACAAGTCTTTCATTATGCCTGTCTGAAGTACAGCTGCGAAACAAGCGGCGACGCGAGCTTTGGATTCAACCGCTAGATGTCATAATCGAATCCGAACGTGAAAAAATAAAGCCTGGCTTTATATCCCACTGAAATTTAGCAACTGGCATCGCTTTCACGGCCTATTTGGCTATGATCAAAGTGTAGTATCTGTTCTTATTAGATTGAAATCTAATAGGAGGTCTATATGACCTCTTGAATTTCAAACTGATTTTTGAAACTCGGTAGAGTGTCTGGGGCTTGCTCCGGCTCTACCATGGGTCTTGTCTGCATTGCATTACCGCAGATAGAGGCCTGATAACCTAATTAACATTAAAAACTGTGTACAGTCAATAACCTACGGCAATGCCGAGCTGCTGCTAGGTAAATCATTTACATTGAGGGATTTTTAATTAAACGTACTGATGCTAACAGTGTCGATATCGCCCAGAGGCTGAAAGTGTTCATGCTTCCTCCGGAATGATAGAAATTCCTGCTACTTCAGCTGGCGATTTGTTCACCCTGTGAGATTCAACTCGAGATAAAAAATTATAATAATTAAAAGTGTGAGAATAAACAGTTTTCAAGAGAAATTCACGTTTAAAAAAATTATTTTTTCAATTTTACAATCATTTATCCAAAAAAAAAAAAAAAAAAATCAACTTCAGTCAAACAATGCAAAGAATAAAAAATTTTTAGATATTTGTCAAAGAATACGTGTGGCTCTTTTTATAAATTTTTGAGAACTTTTTAAAAATGAGAATAGCCATTCAGGCGCGGTGAATAAAGGGTCGAAACTACGTTCTTTTGAGACTAAACTCCTGGAGTAAAAATATATTTTAGCAGGTCTTTGAAAATTAGAGATATCCTTAAAATATCGAATTATTATTTTAGTAAAGGAAAACAAATAAAACGTTTAAAAATGTTAGATTCGGCTGGTAGAGGACTCGTAGCTCACATGCACTGAGTGAATTTGTTTTTCTTTCCAGACTATCTGAAGAGGAAGTGAGTTACACAGTTGTAGGCCCATACACACAATAGGCTCTAACATCACGTCGAAGTGTAAAATAGCTTAGTTTTATAATCGATTCACGAGCTATGCATGATGAAAGTATAGAGTTTTTCTCGTTCATCGCCATCTCATACCTGGATAATTTGTTTCTGTCATCGCCACGCAGGTAGCATCCCCTAGTGAAAGTTTATTCGTGAAATGTATGTAGATTTCATATAAATAGGTTACGAATATTATACACGATTTTCACATGAACTGTATATGATAAGCATGTGCAATGTACATGGAAATTGTCCAATTTTTTTATCCATATTTCACAATAATTTCATGTAAATTTTATAAAAAAAAATTTACACGAAATATTTGGAAATAGATTGCAAAAATTTTCCAAAACGATCTCCCGAAAGCGCTTTATATAATATAGATAAGAAATTTATTTGATTTTTTTGTGTCTTTTACATGATTTTTATACAAAATTTATTTAAATTCTACGTAAATTTTCAATAAAATTTTCTTGAAAATTATATGAAAATTTAGGAATTTTTTCCCGGCTCCAACAGTATTTCATATATGAGTGTTTCTGACTAACTTTTAAAATTGCACGTACTGATGTGTAAGTCAGGTAATTTACCATGCACAGTTCTGAAATTTTATCAGGGTCTTTAAGAAGACTTGAGAGATCTACACTTTTATTTTTGAGCGTTTTGGTGGCCCGTCCTTTTTGTATCGCACGTTTGAAAATCGATTTTACTCTTGAGTCAAAAAACGTACTGCGAATAAAATAAATTTTCGATAGCTTCTTAAAAAATGGACTATTAACCAAATGATCTGAAATTATCATGTTACCTTCCTTTATTCACATACTTTAGAAAAATTTGTGACCTGAACTTGATCCTCCTAAATTGGAAATTTCCCAGAATGTTTTCCGCGCGTACTGGATTATTTGAACTTTTAGCTTTTTTTATACATTTTCATTTTTTACAATGGACTATTGTTTTTTTTTATATCTGTATACATGTTTAAAAAGGGCTGGAAAAGACGAACAAAATGAGCCCAACCAGAACTCTGTCCCTTATTTAATAAGAATTGTACGCTGGATTGAACATTCGATAATCCTGCGTTAATCACTTAAAAATTTTTGAAAAAAATTTTTTTTTCATGAAATTTTTTTCTACTATGAATAAATTAATTAATTTATAAAAAAAATTTTTTTCATGGGAAATTTATAAACAATTTTTATAAACAATTTTTTTTTTTCATGAAAAATTTTTATAAATATATTTTTTTTCATGAAAAATTTTTTTCTTATCATGAATAAATAAATTATTCAACAAATAATTTTTTTTCACACACTTTCTTTTTTTATTTAAAAAATTTTGCTATATCATCAAGGGCAAGGCCGTAAAAAAAAAATTTTACATTTAATTCATTTATAATGACTACGCAATTCGCCTACGTAGATAATTATGTGCGGGATGATATAAGTAATGTCACATGAAAACACATGAAAGAAAAAGGGGTTTTTTCGCTTCAAAAAGTGCATAAGGAAACTTGAAAAAATCCAAAGAAATTTAAGGTCATGTTTTTCAATGCATAAAACAGAGAAAAAAATTTTCGAGTTTGATATTGGCTCGTATCGCCGTATATAAATTTTCCAAATTTTTAATTATTTTATCTGAAGGCCTGAAGCCCTCGAAAAATCTGAAGAAATTCAAGGTGCTTAGTTTTGTTGATATGTACTATTATGAATTTTTTCAGATTTTTTAATTACTTCAGGGCTTCAGAATGAATATAAATAAAGAATGGACGTTTATAGGGGTGGAGGGGGTAGGAGGGGGGGATGGGGAGTAAAATTTTGGCTTTAGGATTTTTTTACCATGTACTATAACATATCAAAAGCGCATCTAGATCGGTGTCATTCGAAAATTTGAAGAAGTTTTATTTTGACCCACATTTAAATCGGGTTTCCCAAATGGACTATGGAGGAAAATAAAGCCCAAAGTTATTTTTGGGATTCTTTGTTGATAATATTCAAGAAAAATTCATTCCGGATACTGTGCCGCTAAATTTTTCATCAAAAATTTTTTTAGGCGTTATTTCAAAAGTTAGTCAGAATCACTCATATGTAAAACTCACGTTCAATTTATACGAAAAATGTGAAGACGTATTTGCAAAATGATACTCTAGTACCCAATATTTTTAGCTTTGTCTATTATTGGGATATTTATAAACAAATTCAACTGTTTAAAAGCTCTTAAACAGGCCACGTCAAGTAGAAGGAAATGTGTAAGTTGAGTCCACACACTTGTAAAATGCGAATAGCGTAATAACACATGTACAAATCAAATACAATGTATGCCGATTGACCGTGTGTAAAAAAAAAACAACTGCTTTCGGTCTTTTTTATAACAATTGACCTGGCACAGGGCGGGCGAGCGCGCGAAGTGCCACCACCTTATTTATAACTGATCTATGATGATCTGATTTATGATGATCTATCTTATTTATGACCCTACTTCTCTGGTCAATTCTATCTAATTCAAAATAATACTATTTACCACTTATAAGATATTAATTAGAAGAGTCATTTTTCTTGACTGGGTGTATAATTGAGCACGCAACCTGCTATTATAATTGTAGACAAATGCCTTGACTTAATCCGAAAACCCCATACCTATGTACATTAAATGTAAATTTATTCGGTTCCGAACAAAAAACGTAAATAGAGTAAAGTAGGGGCTCTACCTTTACTAGTTCGTATACTGCTGTTATTACTGCCGCGTATGTCATAGACATTGGCGGCACCCACTACACTGAATTTACATGTAGTGTACAAACTTAATTTTGCTTTCAAAAACGGATATGTAATCGTCGGCGGATGGGCCTATAGATATGACAAAGATATTTTAAGATTTTTTAAGAATAAAAATATTAGAACTTCAATATTATGCAGTTAACAATATAATGTGTTTTCATGCGTGCAATGATATTCAAAGTAATGAGTTATACCATTGTATAGATTTGATTGCACAAGAACCCGGTAACTATTTCATTCTGTTACACGATGCAATCATAGAAGAACTGTCATTTACAAATTTTTAAAGATTTAAGAAGCTTTATTAAATTGCTGGTCATTGAGTGTATTTCGCATTAAAAAAACATCCTCATTCGTAGATTAAATTGTTGATCTTTCTTGAAATGCGATTCACCGGTCAGCCGTCGTATTAATCGCGCGCATACATGTATTATTTTTTGATATTATGCATACATCGTCCATCGCACGTTAAATAAATCATATAGTTTTGCCTCGCGACTCGCCGAACAACATACATAATGGCTCATTTGCCAAGAGATATAAAAACACTTTCGGTACGAATTTTTCGGACTCTTTAGACGACCATATCGTGGAGACATCGACGCCAATACTGCTGCTGCCGACGCGGCGATCGACTATTCCATTTGATTTAGGACACGGCATAGTACAAGTACTCTGAAAAACATGAAGTTTGCCGTGTTCACGTGTCTCATGGTCCTGCTCGTTGTGCAACATTACCCTCTCGTCCAATGTGTAACGATTGCATTTAATTTACATATTTTCATGTTTGAAATTCGTAAAATAGTAATTTAATCGTATATTTTAAAGAAAAAAATGAACATAGAAGAATTAAAAGGATTCACAAAGCCGCTTACCAAGACGTGCAAGACGAAAACTGGAATCAGCGAAGGTATACGTGATCAAATAGTGTAGAAATGTTGAATTTAAGTCATACGATTGTGTCATTACAGCAACTCTAGCACAGATTGCAAAAAGAGAGTTTCCACCTGATCCAGTGCTCAAGTGTTATTTCAGATGTATCGCGCAGATGGGCAAAATGGTTCGTCATGAAATCTATCTCAAAAGGGGATGACACGGATGTAAAATAATGAAAACATTTTTTTCAGATGGATAAAAAAGGTAATCTTATCCTTGAAAATATGATAAAGCAAGTTGAGCTGTTGATTGTTGATGACATTTCACCTCGAGTTAAAAGTGTTTTCACAGAATGCTTCGGAGAAAGTGAGATTTTTTAACAGTTCGTTATCATTCAAATTTAAAAAATTTAACTAAATTGTAATTTTCGATACAGTGACGGCAGAAGAGTCATGCCAGTTGGCTTTTGATTTTATCATGTGCATTGAACGCATAGATCAAGAGGTAAGTGATATGATTCTGTTAATGTTCTTTTCTCCCGAAATAATACATATTTATATAAATTTTTCAGTTGAACATAATTGTATGAATATTGTTCATTCCGAAATAAAATTGGTGATATTTTTCCTGCAACTAACCGACAATTTCAAATTTCAAATACGATTCATATTTGTTAATAATGAATAATTAATAAAAAGAGAGGTCCATTAAAACTGTATGAGTGCGATGATAGTGTACATATTAAGAATAATCAAATGTAAAAATACATGAATTTTTTTTACGTATTGATAAAACAAATTTGTAATATTAAAATATTCTTATTCGTTAAAAGAGTGGGTTTGAGTGATTTACATTATCAACGGTTACTTTTCAAAGTTTAAAAAAATGTTGAATTGTTGTAACGAATGAGATTTTTATCGGATTGATAGAAAAAAATTGTGATATTTTCAATCGAAGAGAAAACAGATCGAGTAAACAATTGGATTTTTTAATTGATTTTAATAAATTTATGTAATTACATACGAATTTACATTTGTTCAACGAATTTAATATGTTTTATTGGAAAATAATAAAAATTAAGTTTTCATTAAAAAATGGCATATAACTGTCCAGTAGACTCATCCAAATTACGCATGAGAGATAAAAATAATTTCTGACTTCCGTCATTTTTGTTGATCGATTCACCTCCGCGCTAGCGAGAGAGGGAGGGAGAGAGTGAATTAAAGCGTCAATGCACTGCAGCGCGCACAGATGCGGCCATACGCATCGCGCAAGTATCGATGACAAACGGAAATATTTCTGCTCTCGTCTTTGAAAACATTGTTAAGCGATCGATGACTTTGACGCAGTGACGCATGTTTACCTTAAAAAACGCCGAAGCTTTTATTCACGCAGAGAGACAGCTCTCACGTGAGAGAGAAGAAAAATGCGAGGCGCAACTTGAAAAGGTAAATAAATAAAATATTCACGCGTTAGTCAAACCAAACAATCGGTCGCCAGCGCGTACCAACTCGGGCGCGCACTCGTTTCTCGACGGTAGTTAAGTATGGCACCTCGTAGAGGAAAGCAACGATTTAAATAAATTGAATATTCGATAGCACCGAGATAAGAGAAGCCAAACATCCATAGCGAAAAAAGATGCCCGAAAACATATTCAAACGACTATTGCGAAAGATCAATCAGAGGCGCAAGAGCTGCGACGATCGCGTCGATTTCGTGCAGGAGCTGCCGATCGAGATCTCCCTCATCATACTGTCGAAGCTCGACGACGCCTCGCTCTTCAACGCAGCCAGAGTGTCGCGCGGCTGGTGCGAGGCCTGCAAGTCCTCGACGAAATTGCGCCGACGCATACGCCAGCGCCAGTTGCACATCAAGCAGATGGAGATCAACGAGATGATAGCGCATAGCATGCAAGTACAAGATCGCTTTTATCGGTCTTATCAGTTCACCTACCCGTTAGTTGGCTATAGTTACTGATTCGACGTCTCGTCCTTTTTTGTACATTTATACGTTTTTTACGAAGAAATTTAACAAAGATTAAAAAAAATTGTCCAAAACAAAGAGACTTGTGTTTTTTTCATTATTTCTACCCACGCAATCGAGTGCGGGCGCGTTTCGCACTCGAGTCAATTGCTGCGGGCCGCTGCTGGTGGCAATGAGCTCCTCGAGCTTTCCTCCGCATAGAAAACACGTTTCCAAGACTACGCATTCAATATACACTTCTGGTCTGCTAACACCCCTTCGACTTTTTAACTAGCTACGTGGATAATTCCCACTGCGGCTCGCGCGAGCTTCGAGCTGCGGGCCTATATAGCCCGTAACAACGCGATGCAGCTGCAGCAGCGGCAGAGGTGCAAGTCTATCAGGCTGCGCGCACGCGTACGATCTAACCTCGCGTGATGAGAAAATTTCTGCACTATTTATTCGCGCGCCTCGTGACGCTTCGAAAGGTGTGAGAGCGTCGGCAGATTAGCCGCACCCGCAGAGGGTGCAAGGGAGAAACAGACAAGAGAGAATAAAAAGCTCGCTCAGGCCGGATCGAGCTCGTCGCTGTTATGGTCAATCAAGAGGAATTTTGGAGGGAAATCAAACGCAAGCAGCAGCGGGAAAAATGCCGAGGACCGAGGGTCGTGCCTGCATTTACCATTCAAGCCCTCCAGGTGAGCGTGATCCAGGATTTACAAGGCTTATAATTGCGATAATTGAGGTCGTTAACTTTTTAGACAGTTTTAATAATAATCCTGCTGACTAAGTGAAGTGAGTGTCGCGTGTTTGTTCCCAAATGCATGTGGGCATAGGCGTGACACGCGAATATATGAAGATGCGCCGGATAAAAACGTCAAAAGCAGCTACGATGTCATTTCAGGAAATATTTTACCAGTCATTACGATATAAAAGTAGATAGTTAGTTTGCGCATCAAATCACAGAATGACAGTCCAAATTTTTTATTCTTGTGCATTGCCTAATATCAGCCAATTAAATATAGTGAATTGTTTGTTTAAAAGGAATTTTTTTTTGGTATCAAATCTATGACGTAAATTTGAAGCATTGAGAAAATTTAAATGGTGCGAGGAATATATAGAGCAAATAAAAATCGATTCTCAGTCTCGAACTTTTTCTAGTTTAATAAAGAGTTTTAAAAGTTCACTCGAAACTTTGTCTACACATGCGAACTGTGAAAATGACGCCGGAGAAATAATTACGTTATTTTTTACTCTTTATATAATTATATAATATGCATGCGTGATCACGAAATTTTTTAATCGTAAAAATAATAATTATCGGTTAAAAATAAAAGGCAAGTCAAAAGACATGCGATGCAATAGCAGTAATTTGATTTGTGCTGAAAGTGATTGACAGTTAATAACGGGAATATGAGTTTTTAGTCTTGAAATAGCATTTATCAGAGTCTAAAAATAAAACGATCAATGCGCAATATTCGATAAGTCTACATTATTCGTCAATGTGCCTTTTCATTGAAGAATAACACAGTGGTCGAAAAGCCACCGCGTTGCTCGCCTTACGATGAGCGTCCACCAAAGGCCCCGTCCACATTTCGTCGCTACTACGAGCGTGGCGTATTCCCCTTGAACTTGGAAATCGCCTCGTCAGTCCTGCGCTTGAACTGGAAGTGTAAAATGGAGGAACTCGATTACAACTTCTATCTGCCGCTCTTCTTTGACGGGCTTATCGAGACCAAGTCACCTTACACCTTCTTGGCCGAGCAGGGCATCTACGACATGCTCGAAGCTGCCACTGGGACCGACAAAGTACTCAAAGTCTTGCCTCAGCTGATTTTGCCCATTAAAAGTTCGTACAGTGATTTGCTCTATTTTTATAAGCTGAAACATGTTATTTAAGGAAAAATCGTAGATATGATGTTTTTAAAGTTTACACCGTTATGTAGGAGCCGTGGATACGAGAATTCCAGATGTTCTTTGTCGATCGTTGCGAGTGCTGCAACAGCTCGTGCGCAGTGGTAACTGCATTGGTGAAGCCTTGGTACCTTATTATCGGCAAATTTTACCCGTTTTCAATTTGCTCAAGGATCGAAATGGTAAGAGAGTAAAAATGCTCTAACAAAATTTTTCAAGTCGTCTGAAAATTAATTTTTTCCTACTTTTCTATTACTTTTTCAGTGAATTTAGGCGAGGATATCGACTACGCTCAACAACGTGGTGAAAACGTATCCGATCTTATACAGGAGACATTAGAAATCTTGGAACACTGCGGTGGTGAGGATGCGTTTCCCAACATCAAGTACATCGTGGCTACTTATGAATCTTGCATGAAAAATTAACCAATTATTGCTAGCATGTTAACATATTCCGAAATCTTAAAGTGAATATCGCAGTGCGCAGTATTGTGTTGTTGAAAATTGTAAAAAAGGGGGAACAAATTTAAAAAAAATTTTATTTACGTTTTTCATAATACATACACAATTTTAAATATGTTAAGAATTTTTATTGCACCGTTTAAGAGTCGTTTAAATGATTAAATATGAATTATTAAATTGTTGATGAAATTTTATATCTCAAAGTTGTTACGTGAAAGTGTTGGAATGAATTATACTTATTAGCTGGCCAACTTATCTTTGACAGATATGACCAAAAATTTTGAAATGAATGATTGTAAAACAAGTCGATTTTATTAAAACGTCAGCGATGAATAATGGAATCAAGTCGGGCTGAACTGAATTTCTTATATGCATTTCTCTTTTAACATCTATAATATGTATTGCAAATCAAGCTCAAGTCCAATAAATAATGATTATAATTTGCACAGAAAATTAGTAAAGCTAAACAAGCAAACAATAATAGAATGCAGTATTATACATAAATATTAAAGCTCTCAGTAAATATATAAACATGTACGTAATTGTACTTTTTGTTTGAATATAATAGATAGGAAAATAATTTATTTTGTTTACTTAGTTGATTTGACTTGTAATATTCTCATTTTTGTGCTTTAATGAAAATTAAAAGTAATAAATGAATAAATATTGAATATTTTCTTCTTTACTGAATAACAAGTAAAGATTATTTCGATAAATATTGATATGTTGTAGAATAACACGTCATTTTCCAAAATTGTAGATAACTTTATAAAAATCCGTAAAAATGTTGATAAAAACTATCGAACGAATCGGTCACACTTTCGTGTTTATAAGCATTTTTTGTCGAGGATATGCGCTGCTCGCCTAAGCACTGATTCTCACATGTAAACATAATAGTCGAGTTGGAGCATGCACATGTGTACGTATATGTGCTATATATAAGTACACAAGCAGAGAGAAGAACGGAGTCAGCCCACAGAGGGAGGCATATAAGAAAGGGTAGGAGCGCGAGGAGGCACCACGATCGAGAGCCGCAGGTAGAACGAACGAGCGCAGTTTATGAGAAAGAAAGTCTGCTGATGGTCACGCAAGACTATATAGTGTGCCGAGCCACGCTATTGTGGAACTCATAGGGGAGCTTATCCAGATCTCAACATCAGTCGGTGCCGGGCTGCGATCATGGCAGCAACAGCAGCAGCAACATCGTCGTCGGCGAGTCCCAAGGGGACGCCCGCGAGCCTCGGCCTGTGTCGTTATTTTTTTGTTGCTTTTTTACTGGCTTCGAGTGTCGTGGTGACCGTTCAACAAGGACAAAGGACTAATGCCAGGCAAGGAAGTGGCGTGGCTGGCTTTGGTGCTTCCAATAGTGCTCCGACTGTTAAAATACCTCAGGGAACTCTGGTTGGCCGGGAGGTGCGTTTTTACACCTTTTTCTTTTACATCTTGATAAGTACTGATGTTTACCATTGTTAAACAAATGGGAAAGGTCCAATGAAGCATCTATATTTGTTTCTTTTTTCTGGTTTATTTGTTTGTTGGTTTTTTAAAGATTTTTACGCGGTAGCAGTGACGATTTTTGAAAATTTTGCCTACCGTGAATTGAAACCAAGTACTCGGGGTCGGATATAACGACGCGGGGGAATGCAAAGAAAAAAAAAATAGAAAAAATTCGCTGTCACGCACATGCAGTAGCAAGAGTGCAAAGTAGTCGATGCACGCCATAATATAATCTTGACAGAAGAAAGCAAAAATTGTACCTTCGAACGACAATCTGATCTGTGTATATACGATTCCTTGGAAAAGAAAAAAAAGTTTTATTTCGACCGCTGTTTTACGCTACGCTCGTATTATTCTTTCGTGAGAATACGTTTTTTACTTTTTTCATTTTTTGTAAAATGATTAATAGCGTTTATTTTTGACAGTTTCGTACAGATTACGTTTTAATTTATATGGAAATTACGAAAATATATATTCGCGTGGGATTTAATAACAGGCAAAATTCATAAAGTATCGATTTTACGCGAAAATTATTTCCAACGAAGGTTTTATAATGACTGTAATAATGATGCATTGTGCGGGGGTCTGCAAACGTAGCTTTAATTTCTCGCGAGTCCTGGAAAAAGTTGAAATTCACTTATCAACGTTTTACGCGTATTCTCTCAATTAGGAAGAATCGATTTTACGAAATTATTAACCATGAGCTTTGCATATTTGTATTTCAAAAGTGAGATAGTTAAGACCATTATAAGATTGTGGTAACGTTAGATGTATGAACAAGAAATGATAGTCGTGAAAAAATGGGTCGTCTGTCGAAATATCTAAAATGACGAGACAAAGTGCGTGGCGAGGATTTTCGCTTTCTGCATCTCGCGAGAGCCGCGAGCGTAAACAAAGTGCTCTTAACGCGCAACCTGTCATATCCGCCTTTTCCGTGTTGTTGATTTTGTATTACGTTATGCCCGGCGTATATGTACTTGTATGCAGATTAGCTTGTATACGTGTATCCACCATAATAATGTCGGTATAGCAAGTTTTCAAATATTCAATGATGTTGTACCTGTACGTTTAAATACGATTACTAACTATTTTTGATTAATCGACAGTTTTAATTAACCAGGTAACCGAATTTTATCCACAAGATATTCAATTTTAACTATCGATTCCTTTTCGTTTGTTCACTTCAATCAATTTTTTATATGAACTTTTAAAGATTTCCTTTTATGCGACTCCGTGCAAAGTAATTGCCTTCTGTCGGCTACACTAGGGCAAAGGTCAGTATCGAATTTTAATCAAACGTCAAAATGAACGTCCATCGTATATAAGGGCTATAAATCGTTCCGATTGATAAAATTTTAATTTTTTCCTTTTATTTGGCAAAAGTCGCGCTTTGAAATCCCCTCACGAGATAGCCTGTCAAAAACACTTGAGTAATTTTGTACAGTGTCATTACCATCTCCATTACACGTACGCAAGCCATCATGCATGTATCAAAGTCCATAGCATCTTTCACAATGCATTACGAACATCTCGCAACGTACATACGTACGTGCACGAGTAATGAGATTTTTGCGTCTTTTAGCTTGTTTTTTTCTTACATCGTCAAACGACGCACGAGAAAGTCACACGTGCACTTAATTCGTGTGATTTTAATTTCGAGGACGTTTGATAATAAAACAGCATACTCGCTTGCAGGCGGAGGTACTAGATTTATCATTATGTACGAGCAAGATGATTATATTTTAGGTACACAGAAAAATGTCGTTCATCAATATTTTTCGAAATCATTACGCGATATTTGAACAGAGTAATGAAATTGCTCAACGAGAGGGGAAGAGGGAGGCGGGGTCATTGATAAGGGCTAGTTGTATAAAATAATACTATAACATGTCGCGTATCTAATTCAACGATCTCGATATTGCAATGCGATAAAGTGAAAAAAAAGGTGAAAAAAAAGCTATTTACCATTCACACGAGCACACACATCCAAGGTGTTAAGTGTTGATGAATATTAAAGATATTAAGAGTTGTTTAAGAGCCGTATAGAAATAACTTTCAACGCGCGTCACAGGCGAAAGGAATCGATCGGCCGCGAATAAAGCTCTCATTTTTACTTATCAATCAAGTCGGGCGCGCGTGCGAACAAAAGCACATACATTGCGTAAGATCCGCTCGAAAGCGAATTGCGCGAAAAGTAGTAAAAATTGAAGGGCTCGTATTGTACGCTGTTTATGTGGGTGTTTGTGTGCACTGCATACATATAAGGTCCAACTGATTTCAATCTAGCCGAGAGAGAATTCAGCACGGTCAATGCGAGTGTAATGATCGGTCGCGAGCGATAAGGAAAAGCTCAGCGGTAGGTCTGGCATTGCAAGCATGAGCTGCGCAACTGCTGGCCGTACACATACATAATACGCTGCTCCAGTTTCGAGCTTTCAATGGCTCGAATGGTCGCGGGGGCGGAGGACGCGCTCGCTTTACGATCGTCCGGCTCCCGTGTGTATCGAATTCTCTCTTGACCGATGCTCGTCGCCTGGCTTTTATTCGCAGGTATTCATCAGTCGTACGCAGCGCGTCGTGCAATTTCTGGGCATCCCGTACGCCCAGCCGCCGATCAGGCAGTTGCGTTTCGCGCCGCCGATGACCGATCCGCTGCCCAGCTGGAACGGCATGAGGAACGCCTCGATGTTCGGGCCCTCGTGTCCGCAGGTGACGAGCCGGCGCAAGCTGCACGATCGGCTCTTCATGCGCCTCTTGCCGAGCGACATGCCCGATCCAGGACTCAGCGAGGATTGCCTCTTTCTCAACATTTACGTGCCGGACGGTGAGTGTGGTTGGATTTCTTCTCTAAAACAATAATGATAATAATAATTAATTATTTAGCGAGTACGTGGTTGTTGCGCGTCGCATGAGCGAAGGTCCGGCGCGCACTTTTTGCGCAACTTCGCGGCCAACACGTAAGTCGCGTACGTTATAATATACTTTTTAATTGACATTGAAGAGGGAAAAAAAGGTACATGTACGTGCGGAGCGCCAAACAACATTTTATAATATACATAAGTAAGTATGACTCTCGCTGCAGCAGAGAAAGATATAGAGGCGCGAGCTCACTAAATTGCTTCGTTCGAGAAAATGAGCTCTCGGCGCGCTCTCGAGTCCGCGGGCTTTAATTGACTTTTACGTTGAAAAAGCAAAACAGAGCCGCGCGTGCCTCTAGAGCTGCCGCCGAGAGCGTATACAGGTACGTGTATACAATGGAAGAGCAGGAGAAACGCGATGAGCCTTTAAAACGTTTCAGATGTTTACATCCGCTCCGCGCGAACACGGCTGTTGCTCGGGCGTCGAGCGCCGTAGCGAGCGTGATGAAAGATAGATTAGCGCGCTCTGATGAGCTTCGAATGAGGTGTAAACGCTCGCGTCGCTCTATGTGCGAGTGTACGCGGTTCGTTGCAGCGACCTTCGCGCGCATTCACGTCTTTTTTTGTAAGCCGCCATGTTCACCCTTGATTTCGCAACCTCTCGTTAATAATTGTGAGAATCCGTCCTACACGCGCATATCGAGTAAATATGTGCTTATAAATCGAATAAAAGCTCAAATGCTCGCTAGCACAATCAAACGATCAGCTTCGAGCAGTGGTGGTGGCTATCGTCGAGTAAATTATTACCATACCCCATCGGTCGCACATATGTCCCGATGCCGGATATCATTCGTCATTCTCTAATCCGGCCAGGCCATTGATATACACGCGTGCAGCCATACAGGCAAGGCATCGTTGCTCGAAATTAGCCGAACGAGTTTAATTGTCCTGCAATACATCGGAATGACGATTGATTTTCGACTCTCTCGTTTCTGAGACGATGCTCAGCTCGCGGAGCCGCAGTCGAAAACAAACAAACGCATATACGTGCACGCACCCCCAAAGCGTGTGCATCTCTTCATTTCAGTTTAGTAAGCTGCTAATACATGCAAGTACATTATAGTAAATATATCGTTGCGTTGCCCCGCGCAGAACATTGACCCCCGCCAGTCACATAGCGCGTGAGGAGCATATAGCAGTTTCGAATGCAGCAAAACGCTCAACGTTCAAAGTCATTGCAAACTTTGGGGTGCCTGCACAGGACTGCACAGGTGCACACGTGTGTATGAGTGTGTGTGTGTGTGTGTGTGTATGAATATCACGTTGTACATATATACCTTGGTATATATCGATCGTCTTTGCATTGCACACATGCGAGTCGGTCGACCTGCAGCGTGGAAGAACGTCGCGCAACTCCTCTCCTTCTTACCCTTTTCAAACACGCGATCTCTTCTCGATTCCCAGCTTGTAAGTATATATGTGTATGCATTACTCGCTCGCACGCACGCACACGATAGAGAAGAAAAGAAAAAAAAAAGGATCCCGAATGTCTACCGCGCGACTATGTATATATAAGTACGAGCTGCCCCGCTGTACATACGTATATCCTCGTCGCCTAGGCCGTGTCCCTTTTTTCTTTTAGTTCTCCTGCCTTAATGCGCAATGACGTTGTCGTTATTTTTCTATTATATATAAATTCCGCAAGCACATAAGTGTAAAAGTAGATCGATATGGGCCGATATTATACTCGTACGGTTGTTGCGCGTTTCAAGAGACTAAATGAAGACAGTTTTATTGAATGAATGTCTTTGTATGTGAACGTCTGTGTGTGACCTGTGTAAATGCGCTCTAAACATTAAATTCATTCGAACACGCCAAAGTCAAATGTCCATTGATATGAGTATTCAACCCCAAGATTTTACGCAGATAAGACAGTCGCGCTCATACCCGCGTATACATAATGTACCAATGTACATATATACATACATAAGTACATTGAATTACACAGATTTGTTGAAATTTCAATTTCAAATTCAGCTTTGGTCGACATTGACAATTTTTACCAGTTTATATGAGACTTCTTTATCACGTTTTATACTTGACGTACTACCGAGGGCCTGAGTAGAGGGTGAGCGCATGTATACACGTAAGTTTTATTAAAAGTGGACGTTTCTCATTGCATATTACATTCTCAATTCTACACGAGTGTCTGTGGCAGGAAAATAACGTAGTTATGTCAACATTCTGTCAAATAAACACCATGTATATACAAAAAAAAAAAAATAATAATAAAGCGATGCATACCGCTGGCAAAAGACGCGGCAAGGTGCAACAAGCCTCGATGCAATGAAAAGTCCTTTTATCGCGAATCTCAGATCTCGGATTCATAAATCAGCTACTCTCTCTCTCTCTCTCTCTTTCTTATGTATACTTTAAACTCCTTTGAATTTGTTTTGCATAGCTTATTTATTCTCTAGTGAAAGTTCGTTCGTCAAGTGTGAGCTAGAATAAAAATAATAATAATAATGGAATAAAAAAGCTATAAGTTTCGGGCATTTGGGTCAAGGTGTAGCACGTGTCATTCCTCAATGAGGAATCTGCCGCAATGATTACATCTACGTTGACGTTGATACGAGGGGCTAAGTATGTGGTAGGAGCATGAACCCATGTCAAATTCCAAGGCACATCGAACTGAATGATATTTGAAAAAGTGGCACATGCTTGACTTCTATGCGCGACGATCGTACTCGTTTTTATCGAACAAACAGTAAAAACGACATATTTCGAAATCACCCAGTCAAATGTGTCCGCAATAAATGTAATTACACTATATTCATATTTGGATGCATTTATTTTGTTTGGCTGTACGAAACAAAAAAAAAGTGTGTCACCAGTAGTACAGGATATCGTTGTCAGCAGAGGTAGCCACGAACGGCAAATTTCACCACTCGGGTGGATTATGTGTTACTTGGAACGAGCTACGAAAGCAAAAACTATTCTTGGACTCGAGTCTTTTATTTTATTTTTTTCACTTATATGCCAATCACTTGTCAACACCGACATTGCACTTTTGCTCGTGACGATGTGTCCCTTTGAATAATTTCTCAAGTGCACGTTACATTCAACAATTGACCTTGATACTTCGAACAAATATAATCCCTTGGGCGAAGCTAATTCCTCTTGATCAATTGTTAAAACACCGCTTACCAGTCGTTATTGAGTTAAAAAAAATACGATACTCGTCGATGTATGAGCATCGATCTTCCATTAAACAGATTTTCTTTCTCTGCACCCAGGTTCGTAATGAAGATTAAATGGTTAATTTATGTGCAGGAAATCGACCAGCTGAAGGATGGCCCGTGATGGTCTGGTTCCACGGAGGTGATTTCAACGGAGGCACGCCAGCCATATGGGACGCTTCCATCTTCGTTACCAAGCAAAAGGTCAAGTTCACATGGCTCCATTCTAAATTTAATATGATGATTTGCTTTATTCACGGGAATTTTAGTTTTGAAATAAATAAGCATAGCGTAAAAATTTTTCGAATAATTTATTCGTATAATCGTAATAACAGAATTTTAAGATTTTATTACTCGCGAAAAATAGAACGAGATGTGGGTGTAGTTTTTGATTATTTTGTTCGACCTCGAATAAAACGTATTATTTCTTTGGGGAAGGGCCAAGGTCAATGGATACGCCCTCAGAAAAATGATGCTAGTTGCAAAATAATTCGTGACTGACATCGGTTTCAAGAACACGATAGTTCGTTGAAAAACGATGATTCATCGATGATTTGTTTTCTCTCTTCGATTGTTATCATGACGATCGATCTGCTTCAGTAGTTTGGTCACACATTTGGTCAGACTTTCATTAATTACATTCAATGTCAAATCAATCAACTTAATACGTGTATGCATTTGATCGAATCGCTGAATTTATCCCAACAGGTGTTAGTAGTGACGGTAGCCTATCGTCTAAACATCCTGGGATTCTTCACGAGTACCGACGCAGAGTCGCCCGGCAATTATGGGATGCTCGATCAGGTGGCTGCTCTAGACTGGATCGGTCGTAACATCGAGTCCTTCGACGGCTCGCCGAACAATATCATCATCTACGGGCACAGCGCCGGGGCCATAAGCGTCGGTCTGCACATGATGAGTCCCCTGAGCCGAGGCAAATTTCACAAAGCCATCGCCATGAGCGGCGACGCGATCAACTCCGTTCGGACGGCCCAGGACGAGATGTCGGTCGTCGATCAAGTGGCCGACAAGTTTGGCTGCTATCGCAAAACGGCCGATCTGATGGAGTGCCTTCGCAACGTCGACGTAGACATACTCGTCCGCGAGTCGGCCTTCATTGAGACTTGGGGCCCGATAGTCGACGCCGAGACGAGCAACTCGACCGAGGGACCCTTTCTGCCGAGACACCCGCGCACCGAGCTCAACGACGCCGAGGACCTCTACGCTGTCCCCTTCATCGCCGGCTTCACCAACAACGAGCAGGCCTTGGCCTTCATCGAGTCCATCGGCAGCAGTAACGTCGACGGCCGTTTGCCACCGAGCCAGTTCGAGACGATGATACGCGACGAGAGCGCGGCCGCTGTGGTGGCGCCCGACGAGAACAGCACCTGCGAGCTGCGCCCCGAGCTCGTTTCCGAGGCCGTTCTCTTCTTTTACAAGCCCCATCCATCCAACAGGGATCAAAAAATCCTGAGAGATCGCTACTTGGACTTGCAGACGGAGAAAAACTATGCCGCAGGCCTGACTCTTCTCGCTGCTAAAGTGGCCAAGTGAGTCGTGCTCACGCAGCAAGACCTTTTATTTAAGTGTGACATTTTCAAATAACCTTTTTCTTATTTTCAGCCATCCGTCGAAGGTACCTGCTTACGTTTACCGATTTGATTATCGAGCTCGCACTCAGGCAGTGACGCGCGACGTTCCCGAGTGGGCTGGAGTTCCGCACATGTTCGAACTGCCCTTCGTTTTTGGCCTGCCCTACAGCGTGTCCACCACGATACAATGGAATAACGCGGACAAAAAAATGGCTGACGTTGTGATGGCTATGTTCTCGACCTTCGCGCGTACCTCCAATCCATCCATACCAACGGTAAAATGGGAGGCCTACAGCGATCGTATGCCGGGAATATTGTTGATAGAGCAGAGAAGCCTCGACATGAGCAATCCCAATCAAGTGGATTATAAAGCTTTGGCCTTTTGGAATGAATATTATCCAACGGTCCTGGAAGCCGCCACGAACAACTGCTGCAACACGACCAGTGCAGCGGAGACCTTGCCAAGTAGTCCGGGAGCTTGCGCCGTCGCCCTGTCTCTCGCTGCTTTGAGACTCTTGACCGTGCGACATTTTGTTTGAACAGCGGAACAAGCATCGACCCGAACATGGTCGCTGTACGATTTACTGTCCAGATCACGATTGAAGTTGATTATTGTCGATTTTTAAACTGCGCTTCGAGCAGAGACGGAATATGAAAATTACACTTTGCGTGCAGTTGAATTTTATCGATAAATGTCAAAAATCACTGTAAATGAAACTATGTGAGCATTTTTATCCGACTCAAACGTGACGCATACATCACTTTGATTTTTTATTTGATGCACTCACTTCTTTGTCATTTTGGACGAAGATTCAATAGTGTGTTGTAAGTACATAGAAAAAAATTAAAAATGAATATTAATTATAATTATAATTATAATTATAATTACAGATTTAGTGTTTTTGTAAATAAAGAGAAAAATATGAGTAGTAAAATTTACGAAACTATCATGTCTGTATATTTTAGTAAAATAATACTTACAGTAAGCTGATAATTTTTCCATGAGATCATAATAATACCGTAAAAGATATAATGATTATAACATTTGTTTCATACACGAATTTTTATGTCCAGATTTTAGTCTTCTTTGAGTTTAACAAATGAATTAAAAATAAAAGATATTTTACCTCGAAAGTTTTTTGCATGTAAACACAGGCATTTGTAAGAAAATGTATAAATCTATTATCTGTACACCTATCGAATAAAGTTGATTACAAACTATAAATTTTTTTGATGTGAAATTTTTCATCGGTAAGTATATGTGGAATGCTCTGAAACGTTTAACATTTAAGAAGCCGATACAGATCTTGTATTGCAATTATTTAAACAATATCTTTGACTATACTTGCATTAGTATAAAGTATATTGAAAGTCAATATGTACAGTAGATCGGACAGCTTTGACATCAATATCTAAATATCGCTTGGATACAAGCAGATTCTTAAAATATAGGTTTTTACATAAAAAAAAAATTTCATTTCTTATAAGAATCAGCCGAGTATTTCATATTTTACGAGGAATCGATTTACCGAATCAGAATTATCGTATCTTTTATAGATTTCAAATGATAACGTTAGGTTGTTTTCGAGGGTCCCCAAATCGCGATTCTCGTGTATATATGAGAAGCGTGGAGTGACGATGCTCTGGTCTGGCATACTTGCCAATCGGAGCGCGACACGCGCTCCTCGATATGTAATATGTGTATGTTATGTTAACATTGACTTTTTGAAATCATTTATTTTTATGTCACATAATTGCTCAATACCAAAGCTTATAGAAGCCATACTTTCAAGATTTGGAAACTATTGACTGTTAATGAAATGAGTATTTTCTGCAACGGGTATGAATGTGATTTTTCTGCAAAACGAGGGGTTACAAAATTTGTCGAAAGTAAGTAGATACGCTTTTCTGTGGTATAAATGTGCAAAAACTAAACATTTTCTTTGAAGATCAAGCATAATAATTTGTATGCATTTGTATGCGGAAAAAAACTCACTCGTGCCAGCGTGGCCGACCCTCGTGTCTTTTTCCGCACACTCGTGCCCAAAAACACCTTTTGGGCCCTTGTTGCATAAATAACTATTTCAATACCACATTTGAAAGTTCTTTGAGTTATACATTGTAACAGTACTTTAAAGTAGGGGTTGAGGGTATTCGACCCGAAAAATCGAGCTACACGACACTTTTACCCAACTTGTCAAGTTCGGGTCGGATTAATACACGCATAAGCGTATACTATTGGGAAGTATACGATACCACAGCGCCTCTCAGTAATCAATGTGGGCGATCCACAAGAACTAGAGGCATAGGGTAAAATCAGCCATACCCTATTCCTCTAGTTATTATGGAAATTAATTTTGAATGCATAGAGGTGCTGCGGTATCGTATACTTCTCAATTGTAGACGAGAGCTACACGAGCGGCTCCCCACTCTGCAACGCACTGCTGCCGCTACCATCGCCGGCGCACCGACTCCACGCTGCTATAAGGTAAATGTACCAATGGCTGGCTACTTAAGCAGCTTAGCTGAAAAGATCTGCATAGAAATGAAATAAATGAGTTATTTTGATAATAAAATACTATTGGATTCTTGAGAACTAATGATTGTGGACACGAGGGACTATAAAAAACTCATCAAATATTCGTATATTTACCTTATAAGCAGGCGCACATAGCCACTGTAAGTCATTCGCTAATTGCTTTCACACTCTAGCGCAAAGCACACCACCCGAACTTTCCGGAAAATCGCTACACTCTCGGATCTTTCAGAATCCCCCTAAACCTTTGCGATTAGTGTTAGATTATTGAAAAAAAATATCGATATCGAGTAATCGATTATTTTTGAAAAATAATTTTTTTCTACACTCTGACCTGAACACATACAAATAAGCCGCCAATTATAGGGTTTCTAAGCGAAAAAATGTTTTATTAAATTATTTATCACATTTTTTTTACCGGAACCTTTTTTCTGAAAAATAACGTTTTTCGGCCATAGACCTCACCTTCAATTAAAAAATTTGAAAAACTCAAGGTAATGTATTTCAATAGAAAAAATGAGAAAAAAATTTTTCCAGATTTTTCAAGGCTTTGTATCGCCCTAAAAAAATTATTTTCGTTAAAAAAGGGCGTTTTTCGGCTCTAGACGTCAGAGTCCTCTCTGAAAAAATCTGATAAAATTTGAGGTTATGTATTTTGATGCCAAAAATAAGTGAAAAAAGTTGAGGCTTTGTATTGCATGGTAGTGCCATGTATAAATTTTCAAAATTTTCAATGATTTTATCTGAAGGCCTGAAGTACTAAAAAAATCTGAAAAAATTCAAGGTGTTTGGATTGTTCAAAAATATTTTTATGAATTTTTTCAGATTTTTTAATAACTTGAGGGCTTCAGAAAAAATATAAATAAAAAATAGACGTTTATAGCGGGGGTGGGGAGTAGGAGGGGAGAGGGGGTCTAAAATTTTGGTTTTGGGGCCTTTTTACCATGTACTATAAGATATCAAAAGCACATCAAGATCGGTGACATATGTGCGCACTTTTATTTAAAAAATTCTGAACTTTACCCAAATATTTTGAGTTTATTCCTTCACTAGTGGCAACTAAATTTTGCGATCCAAAATTAAAAAATAATTAATTTCAGAACAACTTGGCTATGGAGTGTAAGCAGAGGCATATTGTTTCTAAGCTATCATTTGAACGTTTGAATCGTTCCCTCGTAAAAAGACAGCTCCGGTTTTTTGCCTATAACTTTTTAACCAAATCGATTTTGATAAAAAAGGTTTCGGGGGTGTATTCTACGGGACATTTGTTTACTAAGTAAGCAAAGAAAAAAAATCGATTTTTTGATTGAGTCTCATGAGAGCCTCCTCTTAACCCATCAAGTCCCAAGAGAATATTTTTTTGACACTTATTTCGATCGCTGTATTTTTAATGAAAAAGGGGTAAAAAAATATGCGAATAGCCTGTTCTTATGTAAAACTTAATGCCCTTTTAAAATATGAGCTCAGATTTTCAAAAAAATAATAAGGTCAAAAGTTATGGTTGATTTTATAAGAAAAAAATGTGATTTTGAAAAAAAAAATTTTTTATTTTTTGATTTTCCGAACGGAAAGCATTTAAAATCTCATGGTTTTCGTACAAATATTGCGTCCTCGACGTCTAAACTAAAAGTTAGAGGGTTTCCGATTCGAAAAATTAATGTTTAAACAAACAAAATGGTGGTCGGAACGCGAAAAAATGTGTGAATTTTTTTTCAGAATTTTCGGAGCGATTTTTGGATTTTTTGATATGACCATTTTTCCAAAAATCCAAAAATGGTTCCAAAAATTCTGAAAAATAGGCATATTGTTTCTAAACTATCATTTGAACGTTATCATTTGAAATCTATATGCAAAGATAAACTACAGCGAGTGCACCTCGCGCACTTGCGCCAACCATAATTACAAACGAAGGCGCGGGCATGCATATAGCCTGGTGCATAATTGCATATTTGTTATAGGCTCATTGGCTCGTATGCACACATACACACATACACATACACGTCTCGTGAATTGATACGTAATTAGTGATCCGTGCTTCGCGTCTAACAGTGTATTTTACTTAAACAAGCGTCGAAATGAAACGCGCGTTACAAGGAAACATGTGTATAATACTTAAACGCGCGTGACGAGGTGTAATTCGTCATAATATACGGAAAATGGTCAGTTGTCTGCTTCACTTCATTTGCAACAGTTCTTTGTCCAGCTGATTAGGAAGTCTCCAGGCCAGTAGCAAGTGTTGCCATTTTGGCACGACGAATCTTCATAATTTCAATCGTAAGTACTATTTTCTCAATTTATTAAGTAATCTTGTTAGATAAGTTTAAAGTTCTTCAATTTTACTGCTACAGAAACTGAGTGAGAAAAATGTCCGGCAAAGCAGTGCACATTCGCGAACTGGATTCGCTGTTGCGAAAGGGCCTCGGTAGCCAAGAGCTGCAGCTCATCGAGTACAGCGTCACGCCGCTGGTGCCTCTCGGCGAGAATTACGCCAGCTACGTGCTGAAGGTTGACGTGACGATTCGTCGTCGCGAGAACGCCAAAACGGAGTCGCTGCACCTGGTGGCCAAGACGGTTAACGCCACGGACAAGACGGTGGCCACCTGGTCGGTGCTGCTACCCAAGGAGGTCTTTGCTTACGAGCAAATCATACCGGCCTACAGGCAGCTCGAGCGCGAAGCGGGTGTGGCTGAGAGCGACTTGATCGACATCGCGCCGACTTATTACGGCTCGCGGATGTCTCTGGACCCGAGCCAAACCGATCTGGTGGACGACGACTCGCTGCTTCTCGTGGAAAATCTCTGCACGAGAGGATACTACAATTGCAACAAAGCCGAAGGTTACAAAGAGCTTTTTTTTCTACGCCTAGTCGTTTTTCCAACGAAATCGTAATATCTCTTTTGTGTTATACTCGCACGCAGGCACCGACAAGGAGCACGCCGTCAAAGCTTTGACGGAGTTGGCGAGATTCCACGCGATCGGCATCGCGATGAAACAAAAGAAGCCGGACCTATTTCGAGAGATCGTCGAGTACTCGCGGAAAGCCGGTATAGACTGGGGTCAGATGGACAAGGCCTATAGAATCTTACTGGACAATTTCCGCACGCAGCTGCACGATGAACTGAAGGTCAACCTGGACCTGATCGAAGAGCGCGTAGCTTTCTCGATAGGCGGCAAGACGTACAGCGAGGAACCCAGCGAGCCCTGGGCTACGATCTGCCACGGCGATTTCTGGCTCAACAACATGCTGTTCCACAAGGAAGAGGTCACGGGCCAGGTCGATGCGGTCAAGTTCATCGACTATCAGATCTATCCGTACGCGAGTCCGCTCAAGGACGTGGCCTTTTTCGTCAACTCCTGCCTGAACAAGGAGACGTACGAGCGCGACACCGACGAGATCGTCGACGCCTACTACATCCAGTTCGTCAAGTGGCTGCAGCGGCTGAGATGCAACGTCGGGCCCTACACGAGGGATGCCTTCGACGAGGAGCTGAGACGGCAGGCCCTGCGGGAATTTCCGCTGTGCGGCGTGGCGGTTAAGTTCTTCGACAAGTCGATCGCCAAGCCCAAGGGCGAGGCCCAAGAGACCAGTACCGATCTCATGCAGCAGATCATCTACAGCAAGCTCAACGAGCGCTGCGTCGAGCGCATCCTGAGACTGTACCGATTCTACGTGAGCAAGGGATGGTTCAGGCGATAGATCATAATAATGAGGAGAGATAGCATTAATGTCGGGACAAGGTTATGAAAATTCCATTCGCGTGTGTATCACGACGAACTTATTACAAAGAAAGAGATGTGTTTTTTTGCATCGAACATGTTGTAAATTGCAGCTATTATATACACGCGAGCGCGACAATGTCGCGGCAAGCATTATATAATCAAGAATCTCGATGAGCTGAAGCGAAGACAACGGCGGCGGCTCGATACCAATTCTCAAAGTATTATTATGGAGGAAAGATAAAGTGATGGTCGTTAACCGCCTCATCACAGCCAAGTTATTGTATTTATAAAATTAGACTTGTAAGTGTGTATGCGCGCGCACACAGTGCGAATAAAACTTTTTTGCTCGCTCGTTGAGTATAGTAGCGAGTTACATTGCTTGATCGAGACACGCAGGCAATTTTCTTGCACTACACGACGAAAGCGCAGACGTTGCATTTATTTAATTTTTTTCCTCATTCCTTACATTATTCCAGTACACTATAAGATTGCAGTGTGCAGCATAACTCTCCATCTGAACGCGATATTTATTTAGCAAGTTCAATAGCAAAGCTTGGACCAACTGCAAAATCTGTTCAATTACCGGCTCATTCTCGACCTTCAACTCCGGAACGTTTCTTTTGCACTAAATTACACCTTATGCTCGGCATCTCATCATTCGCGTTTATTGTTACTAAATTCTTACTGGTATTTTCAACCGGTAAATTCCATTCATTATCATTAATTTGTACGCGAACGAAATTCATACAAGTTGGTGGCGCAAAAAGTTTTACGCGCCTATTCGTCTGCATAGGATTCGGATAATCTACAAACAGATGATTATCTCTCGTTCGTAATTCGAAATTTCCGTCAATTTCAAAGTATACTACGTTCGGCATTTCAATGAAATTCTGACCAACGAGCACATCGTGTATTCGATTTTTTAATAAACTTAAACCCGTGTTCGAGAACAAGCGATGCTCTAATAATACAATCGGAACATCCAGAGACAATGACCGCGCGAATATTTTCAACCTCACCAATTTTAACGTTTTTAAAGAATTTGATGAATCGGCATTAATAGTAGTTACTAGTTTTGTTTCAGCCTCGGACGTTTTATTCGGTTTGTTAGAAATGTGTCTAGTGACACCAAAATTATAACATTGAACCACGCTTTTACAATATTTCGCAATGTGACCCGTAGCGTGACATTTGTAATATTTAATGTTAGACGTGCTCTTCGACTTACTGTTGTTGTCATCTTCGACTCCGAAGTTGCCTAATTTCTCGGAAGAGTCAAGCGCCTCATTGCTGCCGCGTTGCATCTTGACGCTTTGCTTCCCTTTACGTCGATCATCGCGATTCGTACGCTGTTGTTCTTATCTTCCTGTCGCTGCCTGCGAGTCGATTTGAAGTTTTCTCGTCTGCTCCCATCCTTCAAACTCCGTTACCATTCGCATCCAAATACGTTTTTACTGTAACTACTGCTGCTGCATATCTCGATAATAACCCTACGGTTATTTCATCTACGGAAAATTTCGAGGGGGTAGCATATCTCAATAGCCTGTTAGTCAAACGCGTATAGGCTTTAATTTCAAAAAACATACATGTTTTAAAAATAAAACCGAGATAGCGCAAACAGTCAGGCAATAAATGGAAATTAAAAAAGTACCAGCAAACGAATCATGAAATGCAATATTTACATTTAGTCAAAATAGCTCGTGAAGATACAGTCACAAGCGAAACCCTCAAAGGCCGAATGCAACAATGCTGCACTACGGCTTTGACCGAAATCGGAATTAGCCTAAATCTGCAAGTACGAAAACACAATGCGGGAACTCTTTACAGTTTCATTTAAAGCACCAGATGGTGCTGCTTGAAATACATTCAGTGTTGATGGGACTATTTGAGATTTGTACGATTTTTATTGGCGAAACTTGGAATTACACTGCCAGAACACATTATAGATGACGCTTCGGCATGAGATACAATAAATAATATAGAGTTGAAGCTGAAGTATAGCACTTCTACGCGAAATACAATCTTAAGGAGGTTCGATAGCACTTTCAAGGGGCAGGCGGGGCGAGGGGGTCGCCTATGCTTATACACGGGCACGAAGTAGTGATACCAACTCATGGGAACAAAATATTATTAGCAAAATAGCATGCTGCGGCCGTACGGCCCTTATAGGCGAAACTGCTTAACTTCTATCTCGCTGAAAAACCCCCTAAACGCACTTTAAAAAAATATGTGACATATGATTTCGATTAGAAATTTCCTCAGCTTTCCGATTGTGAAGTCAGATTTTCAAAAATTTTCCATTTTCCACGGAAAATTGTAAAAATAAACTTTTAACATTAAATATCTCAAAAAACGCATTTTTAAGATTTTTCAAAGTAGTCTCAATCGAAAGCTGAGGAAATTTCCCATCGAAATACATATTTTCCGTAGAGTGCATTTTATTTTTACTAGATGAAATATAGCGATGAACGTGTAAAAACGCGACATTTCGGCTCGCGTGGCTCAGAATCTCACGTTTTTAGACTTGTTTATTGAGCATTCGGTGTTGTAAAACGAGTCGTTTTTTTTTTCAAAATGATCAATACCTTCTTGGCTTCCTAAAAAATAGTTTTTTTTTCATTTCTTAAGTCTAATTCGTTTGCATAATGCTTTTTTTGTGACATTGTTGTAACTTTCCCCATAAGACCCATGTATAAGACGTCGTTTTTGATTTTTTTTTTCTCGAAAACTAGATTGTAGATCAATCTAAGATTTTAACAGTGCATTCATTTCTTATTAAAGATTGAAATAAAAAAGTTTCAGGCGTTTCTAAAGACATGAAGTTTACTATCGAACCTCCTTAAGGAGGCTCTACACCAATCATAACAGTAGTGTTGCGAGGCATCTGTCTGTCTCTTTCTCACATTAGGCAGACAACCGCTCGCACTATTCGAAATCAATGATTTTGTTTAATTACTCATTAGTTAGTTCGTTAAGGGGTAATTTTTAACATACCAATCGAAAGCTTGGAACTTTCTCTTTCAGAAAATATATTTTTTATTAAGATGGTTGATCTTTTAAATTAGTTATGAACAATAAAAGACCGCGTCCCATAAGAGCCCGTGTTAAAATCGCGATTTTCAAACTTGTTTATCTCGAAAGTTAGTTCGTCAACCACATTTTTTTTTTTGGAATCTCATTTGGAAGATCTAACAAATCGATTAATATAAGTTTTATCATGTTGGATGATCTTTTGCATAATGTGTAGAGCCCCCTCTAGGGGGGCTAACAGGAGGCTTAATTATTTTTCATTTTTCAATTACAGTACTAGGCTGTAAAAGTGAAAAAAATTTTTTTTCAAGAACACACATGGTAAACCCTTTTCAATACCCTATTTGAAAGTATTTTGTCCAGTTACATACTTAGAAACAGTTAAGTACAATAGTAATGAAGGTTTTGACACACAACACAAGCTTTACACATATCTAAGTTACCTGCGAAAATTTTTTGAAGAAATTTCCACAAAATACTCTCGAAGTCATGTACTTTCACATATATATTTTAGAAATAAATTTTTTTTTCTTTACTAGTCAAAAAATACTTCAAAAAATGGAAAAAATTGATAAATCAACACCATATCCCCCTCCCCTCAAGGGCTTTAACCCGTTTCGGGCCAAACGGACGAAATTTTAGTTATTTTTTCACTCGCTGTAAACTCTGTGAAAAAATTATGTGAGAAATGTCAGAATAGTCATAACCGACGTAAAATTTTATGAACTTTTCGAATCCGGCATCAGAATTGTAAAAAAAGTTGATGTGTAAAAGTTATGAACAATTAAACAATAAAAAACACGATTTTTTTGAAAAAAAATTTGATTTGATCCGAATTTTCGAGTCGAAACAGACTTGCTCTATAGGTCTAACACGTTTTTTTGCGTCCATGGGGTGTAGACTTAAAAGTCCAATAGTTACGATATCGAAATTTAACATGGCGGACACGAAAATGGCGCTTCGTAGAAAAAAACCGTATATGAATGTAGTCAATTTTTTTATATGTCAACCAAGCGCCTAGGAACAAAACGTTATAGAGAAAATGTTGAATTTCGATATCGTAACTATTGGACTTTTAAGTCTACACCCCATGGACGCAAAAAAAACGTGTTAGACCTATAGAGCAAGTCTGTTTCGACTCGAAAATTTGGATCAAATCAAATTTTTTTTCAAAAAAATCGCGTTTTTTATTGTTTAATTTTTCATAACTTTTACACATCAACTTTCTTGACAATTCTGACGCCGGATTCGAAAAGTTCATAAAATTTTACGTCGGTTATGACTATTCTGACATTTCTGACATAATTTTTTCACAGAGTTTACAGCGAATGAAAAAATAACTAAAATTTCGTCCGTTTGGCCCGAAACGGGTCAAAATTTTATAGGTTCAACTCCAGACAATTTAATTAGCTTTAAAAAAAAAGTGTATCTTTAAGTGCAGTACTTTTTGAGATATCTTGCCGCTCGATTCAGAAAATATGGTTTCGAGAAAAACGCGTTTAAAGTTTTAGAAAGTGAATAAACATACATACATACATCGTTCCCTCGTAAAAAGACAGCTCCGGTTTTTTGCCTATAACTTTTTAACCAAATCGATTTTGGTAAAAAGGGTTTCGGGGGTGTATTCTACGGGACATTTGTTTACTAAGTAAGCGAAGAAAAAAATCGATTTTTTGATTGAGTCTCATGAGAGCCTCCTCTCAACCCATCAAGTCCCAAGAGGATATTTTTTTGACACTTATTTCGATCGCTGTATTTTTAATGAAAAAGGGTAAAAAAATATGCGAATCGCCTGATCTTATGTAAAACTTAATGCCCTTTTAAAATATGAGCTCAGATTTTCAAAAAAATAATAAGGTCAAAAGTTATGGTTGATTTTATAAGAAAAAAATGTGATTTTGAAAAAAAAAATTTTTTATTTTTTGATTTTCCGAACGGAAAGCATTTAAAATCTCATGGTTTTCGTACGAATATCGCGTCCTTGACGTCTAAACTAAAAGTTAGAGGGTTTCCGATTCGAAAAATTAATGTTTAAACAAACAAAATGGTGGTCGGAACGCGAAAAAATGTGTGAATTTTTTTTCAGAATTTTCGGAGCGATTTTTGGATTTTTTGATATGACCATTTTTCCAAAAATCCAAAAATGGTTCCAAAAATTCTGAAAAAAATCAAGCGTGTTTTTTGATTAATTTTGAAAACTTTTTGTTCCATAATTTTTAACTCGATAACCATCAATTTTACAAGAAACAATCTCAATAAGTTTTTTTAATGGGTTGGAAAATTCTGCTCTCTTGAATATCATCTCAAGTATTACAATAATTTTATATAGTTTATACAAAAAATAAAATAAAAAATGAAATAACAGTTGCATCACAAAAATAAATTAGATGCTTAAAATAATTTCTCATTGTTACAAAACAAACTTTTATAGCATCTATAATTGTTCTAACAGTGATAATAGTAATAATACGGAAAACAAAGGATATACA